ACGTCGAGACTTTGGCAGATCTGACAATTTTCGCAGCAGAGAAAGATGCCGAGGTCAACGATGCCAAATCATACAAGAGCGACCACGCTTGGCTTTTGTCCATCAAGCATCGAATCGGAGTACTTGTTGAAGCAGCACGTCTTCGAACTTTGACCCAAAGTCTGGAAAACAATGAAACATTCTTGAGAGATGGACGTGGCCTGAGTCTCTTGAATCCCAATGCAGACTTAATGAAGAAACGGTCAATGAACGGTGAATTCAATCTGGGTTGCCACCGATCAATAAGAACATGCTCTTGTACCCACGCTTGTTTGTAGTCATCATGAACAGACAGACAAAGCGTAGAAAAGTCGAAATACCTGCCCAGCGAAGCCCAAATACGAATGGCTGGTTCAACTTGAACATATTGCTCACGAAGAACTTGCTTGAGTTTGGATTGCCGGTTGAATTCACGCTTGGAAATAGTAATTGAAGTACTTCCAACATACATCCATCTGTCTCTTTGCTTGAACGAAGAACGCGTACTCCAGGACACGGGGGCTTTCAAATAAACTGCACAAGGACTCTGGAACCGTGTGAACGTGTAATCAGACAGCGTGACTCCAGCTTTGCGCAATTTTTCAAGCAGCCGTTGTTCTGGCGAAGTACCCCTGGAGTAATGGAACAGTAGAATCAGATGACAAAAACCTTGCAACCAAATGGCCATCACTTTGTCCACATGCGGAATGAACTGAAGCACAAACGACATGAACTTGCCAACCTCTGTAATAAGAACATGTGCTGACCGAATCTCCTTTGCGGAGAGTTGATTGGAAGCAAGGCTGTGTGCAATTCAGACAACCTGAAAGGCTGCTGCTGCGATGCACGTAGAGAGACTCTTGATACCCATCCTAGATGCAAAAGTCGCCGAGATCCCGAATTTTACTGCAAGTTCTTGCAGTTTTGCTTTCTCCTTGCCTCCGTAGTTGATCTGCACAAGCTTGGAGACAGACGCAATGTGTTCTTGAAAATCGACAAAGCGCTTTCCTAGGGGTCGTTTGAAGCTCTGGATCCACTTGTCGACGTCCCCCTCTCCTGATCCCTTTAATCGGGCTTTGTGATCATTCAGGGCTTCTGCAGGAACACTGTCGATCTTACGCTTGAGGTCACTCTCCCAAGTCTGCGGTGGTGTCACGGATTGTGGACACGGAGCACTAGATTGCGAGGCAACCGGGAGCTGTGTTTGCAAAGCGGGTTTCGTGGGGGTAACGGGAAGTCCTGCGGCTTGTAACTGTTCACGGCGGCGATTGAGCTCTTCCGTAACTTGAAGAAACTTCTGAGATTGATCGACGCCTGCAGACACCGGCATGTTGTCGAACATGAGCTGAACGATCTTGTCAACCATCGGCTGAAACAGAGCTGCACAATCCGTGTTCTTGTTGGGAATGATTGTAGATGGATTAGCGGCCTGAAAGAGATGCGTAGCAACTGCGTCGATGTCCACTTTGCGATCTCGAAGGTTCTTCGTGACTTGCGACATGAACACTGCTTCGGCAACCGTAGCAACTGGCACAACACTGAAAAACTTGCCATGACTCAATGCTCGAAGACGCCAATCTGAGACTCCATGAAACAGGAATTCCTGAACAGGAATGCTGAGTGGGTCTTTTCCTGCGATCCCTTTCTTCCGCGACAACGGGGTGGCTTCGATGGACTTACGAAAGGACAACCCATGAAGTACCGTTGAATCATAATGATCACGATCTGACGCCCATCCATTCGGTAGTGCAGGAACAGGACCAGGACCTTGATGACATGGCAAGGGAGTAGACGGCGAAGATGAAGGTGCCGAAGAAAGAGGAGGCGGTGGTAGTGGAGGTGGCTGACTAGCAGGTGCAGACTTGGAGAGGTTGGGATCAGTCCAACTTCCCGAGTTATACGGCTGATAGCGGTGCTGACCCCACGATTGCTGGGACCTCCCGTACCCTGTGCTGTTGTCCCACTGCCCATTCCATGCCATGGTTTCAGATCTATCAACAAATCTGAATACGCGGAATCACTAACGTCACTTCGAATCAAAAAGCTGCAACTCGAGACGGCTCATGAAGAAACTCTTGCACATCCCTTGCACGTCACTTGCACGTCCGATGCATAAACTCTTGCACATCCCTTGCACGTCACTTGCTCTTCTCACTTGCAGTACACTTGCACGTCCCTTGCAATACACTTGCACTACCCTTGCAGGTTTTCGTCACATGTAAACGTGCACAGCAGGTGACAACGGAAGAGACTTGAAGGCGTGGCCGGTCAAAGCAGCATGTTGCACTCAGACCCTCCAAAAAACAAGAAGCGCTTCCGGGATGAAACATGATGAGCGAAAGACCCATCTGCCATCTTTGGCACGGGCAACATCACGAATGTAGCTGCAGGAATGGTCACCTTCGACCCCTCCCATGGGGATTCTTGAATGGGGAGGTGTGAGGGATCCTTGACGATTAAATGCATGTCCGAAAATGCACACCGGCCGCTCACTCAGAATGCCACCGTACTTGGCTGCTGCCTCTTGTGCTTGTTCTGCATCTGAAGTGTGAGCCCTAGCATAGAAGGAAATTGGTGGGGACCACTTGCTGTCACTAGCATCCCACCAAGAAGGTCGAATCGCTCCCTCAAGAAGGATTGATGCAGCCGCTGCCACTGTTGTGTTGTGTGCAACAGGAGAACGACGAATCCCTGCTGCAGAAGCATGCGACCTGATCATGGTCCTCTCAAAGTGGGTGAAGTGGATGCTCAAGCACTTGCACGAACTCGACAAAGAACGAAGCTCCACAGAATGAATGTTTGCGGCTTGATCAGCTGCTGCAATTGCCTGAGAGACATACTTCAATGCTGTCGAATTGACAGCGTGGGGAGCAAGACCTAACAGGCTGATCAGATAGTCCGCCGTGTTTTGCATCAGAGAGCTGGGAACCTGCAACTCAAGATTGGCCGGAATCTTTGCCGAAATCTCACATGCCGATTTCATGCGGCCAGGGCTGGAACTGATCAAGTGACGTAGAGCAGTAAACATGGGGTATAATGCGGCCCAATTGAAGCTAGATGAATACACGCGTATCAGCTTCGCTTCTTCATCTCGCACTTCCAACCCACGAAGTTCAGGAATCACGAAGAAGTTTGAATCTTGCTCCCACTCAACTTCCACATGCCCTTTGAGAAGAGATCGATTCTCAAAATGCTCATACGAGTCTTGCAGCGGTCTAACTCGAAAGACGTAAGTCTGGTCCGCACTGAGCTGCCACCCTACGCGATCTGCATGAGTACCCGGAATCTGATCACAAATTGCACGAAGTCGAATGCTGTTAGGATCTGCAACGAGAGAAACTTCATTTCCAGGAACTTGCCGAAGTCGCTTTGTTGGCTGGGCTGAATCATCCGTTTGATACGTGATGGCTGACTGCTGGCTCTGAACAGATGCTGTTGACTGATTCCGTTGAGAAACAACAGACTGCTGAATGTCAAGCAAATTGTTGAGGCCAGCATACACATCTCTGTGGCCTCGGACATGTGTCAAGTTTGCTGCCATAATCGCTGAGTATTCAGCGAAATCAGCCACCGAACGAAACGACAACCGGAAACCTGTGCCGTCTGCATGAAGAGTGATTGCAGGGGAAGCCTCTTGCTGCGGAATCTGCCGATCATTTACAGGACGTGCAGCAATCAAAGTAGGAGTTACCTCTGTAGCTCTCGCTCCAACATCTGATGCAGAAGGGACCGGCAAAGAAGAAGATGAGGCAGGCGCTGGACAAACTGCAAGAGTGGGGGGTGGCGGGGGGAAGGCGGGAGGGGGAAGGGGAGGGGGGGGTGGAATCCACTTCGCTGTGGTACCACGGGCGGGGGCAGGGGCGGAAGTGGGGGGGGGAGGCACAGGGAGATGGGGGAAGGGGGAGGAAGGAGGGGGAGGAGGAGGTGGGGGAGGAGGGGGAGGGGCTGATGTGCGGGTACTGCGTCTCTTTCCTGAAGAATCCATGGCAAACTGATCAGCAATTACTCAGAAGTACAGCTCGGAAACTCGATTTGTAGCCAAAGACCTGCGACAAGTCAGCGAAAAAGTCAGAATCGGGAAAGTCGATTTGATCATAGACAGTCAATGAGAAAGTCAGCATTCAGGTTTCGGTAGAAGCATTCGGTGAAGACTCATTGGGAAAGTCAGCTTGCAAGCACGGATATAGAATCAGGGAAAGTCATCCAATGCTTATACAGTCAATCGGGAAAGTCAACGCCAGAGCTACCTCTGGGAGACACGGCGCCCATAGGGAATGCCGTTGTGAAGCACACTTGACACATCGTGTCGCAGGTCTCAAATCACACTCTCAAAGTCAGAAGAGTCAGCTTCTTGATGCACCTTGAACCTTTGGCCTGAACTCGCACTCAGAATCGCACTCGGAATCACCAATGTACAGCGACGATGTCATTGCAGAACCATTGCACAGCTTGCACTATGGACGATGTCACAAATAATTAGCAGGTACACAGTGGAGCGTCCTCCACTGCTTCACAGGCAACTGATGAGCGTCTTTGTTAGTGCCGGTCTCACCAGTGCCCCCGGCACCCCCTGCATTAGACACACTCGACCCTTTGGAACAGGGATGGACACACACACACACACACACACACACACACACACACACACACACACACACACACACACACACACACACACACACACACACACACACACACACACACACACACACACTTACTTTTACACACGCTTACACACACTTCAACACACTTACATACACACTTACACATACCCAAACACGCACACACACGCACCCCGGAATCCCAAAACGTCTTAGACATTCACATCTCGCGCCATGGGTTGCTGAAACTCGGTTTGACCGCGTGTTTTGGCGTTGTAAGTGTTGCGAGGGCTACGTGCTTGCGATATATGAGCGGAACCAGTCTCAGAGCGAGCATGGATGGTCCATGATGGTCCCCATGATGCCTTTCTGTCGAGAGGCTGCGTCAACTCTCAAGGCAGTTCCACGTTCGTGGCGGTGTCTGTTGTCTTCCCAGGCAAGCTTTCCAGCAGGCTTTTCCACAACGAGGATTGATTCATCGCGGAACCTGGGCTGTGTCGCACTTCACAAGGACTAGACTAGAGCAATCCAGCAAACGTCACAACATCACTGAGGACTCCACAGGATGGAGTCCGACGGTTGGAGACCTTCCGTACACGTCGGCTCAATCGCGAGAATCTCTGTTGCGAAAATCGCAGGATGGCCCTTGTACTCGTATCCTGGATAGCCTCTGCAGTGCAAAGTATCCCCCACGCGAAGCTCTCCCACGACCACATGGAAGGAGGCACCAAGCCGCTGTTCCTTGCACATGACCTTGACTCCACAGTCAGCAAACAGGACGTGGCCCATTCGGACCCGGCCAGCCACTCTGCCGCGAAAGGGAATCGCCATGTCCAGGCACACATCCCTGCCACGTTCTGGCCGGATCTGTTCGCATTCCTCGATGATTTTAAGCACTTCGGTGTCTCCCTTCTCGCCCTCCATCCGCGGCCGCGGTGTCAATGTTGCTGGCAGGACTCCTAGGTTGTGCCAGTGCTGCAGCGTGATGATCGCCTTCGCAGCGGCTCCAGCCTTAGATTCAAGTCCGATCTTCGGATTTTCATCTGACAGAGCACATATGACGCCTATGACTATGATGAACCCGACAGTGAAAATAATCCGCTTAAGCGTGGAGTATGTATCTGACTGCAAGATAGATGCAGGCACATGAATGGATGTGGTTTCTGGAATCGGTAGATCGCCTTGCCATTGGAGAAACAGCATTATCATCGGATCACTTGGCCAGCCGGCTTGGACTTGCCATTTTGGCCAGCTGCTCGGCTCGCCCACAGAGACTCGCACAACGGCAGGTTGGCCCAGGGACAAGCGCCGAGATTCAGCTTGCAGATCGCATAAACACTCACCCACGGATTTCTCGTCGGTTTCCACTTTCCTAAGCAAAGGTGTGACAAGATGCGAACGCGATGCGAGTGACGGCACCACTCCAGTCTCAAAGTGGGAATCAAGAGTCACTAATTTCTGGCATTCCGGAGTTAGCAGCACTCTCGACCAAGTTGGGAGCTTATCCGAAGTCAAGCAGTGCCTTGATCATGGTACATAGTTAGCTCTTAGCATGCAGGGTCGTAGCAATACCATGCAGATCAGGGAGACCCTGCAGCTATCTGTGAGATCTACGTAAACCCAAACACTTCATGACAGTCGCTGGCATTCCCATTCTGAAACCATTCATAGAATGGCTTTACGTGTTTGGGACGTCTTCAAGTCCTGTAAGCTTCCCACATACAAGCGTATGTGCCTTGCCATACAGCAGTGCCTTTCCTCACTTCCTTCGACGATCTTGATGCTTTGATTCTACTGCTTCGGGCACATCCTTCTCGATGCTTGGATCTGCTCCTTTCGTCAAGCGATCCTGGTCTCTTGCATGCCTAGTATTGCGGGGTTCCATACCGGGCACCTAGTTGTTGCATCGTTCTTCAGACCCTGTGGAAAGTCGTCCTGTGGTGTTTTCTGTATGTATGTTTGTGCTTCTGCTGATTCTGGCACTGTCGATCCCGTCTTGTCCTTGCTCTGCTTCTGCATGTGTGTTACTAAATTACCCTGTCAAGCTGGTTACTAAAATGCTTGCGTTCAGCTTTCTGCCTGATTTATACATGCAGCGATACGCAGTATCTCCTCAAGTACATGCGGCCCGTCACACCCGAATACCTTCCATGACTGAAGCCTCTTGCTAGATTGAAGCATGCAGAAAGGATCAATCGGCAGCGTGCTCAATGCATCCTCGTTTTCGCAGCGCATAATCGTTTTCGATCATGTCCAGCTAAGGTTGGCACTTTGCCTCCCCTCCTTTCTGAAAACGCAAGCGTTGTAACAATCGGCATTGAATCTGTGTTGAGTGCATATTCTCTTCTGGCACTGTGCGGTTTCAACTGCGGGCTCCAGGCCTCACTCATCCTAGCTCTTCTGGCACGATGCTCCTTAATTCGGGCGGGGACTCCACACCTGGCTTGATGTCGCTAAGCGTGATGCCTGGCAATTCCTGGCACGTTTCGGAATGCCCCTAAGCCCACCATCTGCTGTATTTATACAAGTCCCAACAATCACCTGAAAGTCGAGCGTCAGCTTCAGAGCGGCAATCACCGGACCCTCAGCTGGAACCAAGCGCCCTTTCGCAAGGTCCATGAGACTTCGGTCCACCATCACACACCGCAAGCCCGACTTCGATGGCCAGACCAAGCATAAGCGCGTGTCTCGGTCCTTACCACAAGGACAACCCTCCTGATCACAGCACCGAGTGTCACAGAACTGCGGGGCATTGAGGTCTCTGCACGGTAGAACGAGACGGTCAATCCCCTGTGCCGTCAGGCTTCATCGTAGACACTCTTGGAAACCAGGCACGCGGCAACAATTGCCTCTGGCATGTCAACTCCAATCAATGTGCGGTAGAATTCGAGAATGCAACAGCACATACAGGGCCCATTCCGAAGCCTGATGAACCTCTGTTCTGGTCGTTTCCGAAAACGGCGAATCATCTAAATGTAGAAAGAAACGAATTGACTGCCTGCGCGGCAAAGCTCGCCTGAAACTTCCTTATTGTGCACAAGACTGGAGCCTTTAATCAAGGCTTGCAGCTCTGTCCGGCTCACATACCAAACAAGCACTAACAAGCACCGTGGACTGCTGTGGCCCGTGCTTGCTGAGACAGCTCTTGGGGCACTGTCCTTCTGCACAACCATTGGCCGCACCGGCGACAAGGGAGCACCAGCATCTCCCAAACGAACAGAAGACAGAAGATGCAGACATGCCTAAGGTGAGTTGAGTAGGCTTGGAGTTTCAGGTGGCAAGCCAACAAACGACGCGGTTCGTCATCTTAGAAACCAAACGAGGCCAGGCTTCCGAAGAATGCAAAGCTACAGGCCCCAGTTGCGCGGCATGTGTCGGGGCCGCGGCCCGGATCGCCATCGTTTCTTCCTCGAAATCCTAGCAAAAAACTTGGGAAGGCGCAATTTGGATTGGAATAGTTTATCGACTGTCTGGCTGCTGAGATCCTCATGCACTCCCAGGCAGACAACTGGATTGGCCAAAGGTGCCGCCCAGCTCCAATCTTCCTGTCACGGGTTTGTCTGACAACGGTCCATGGGTCACTTCCAAGGCAACATCGTGGATGCACGAGAAAGCAGATCAGATAGGCAGATAGGTGTGCAATACGACGGACGTGTCAACATGAAGGACACTTCTATTGAGCGATCCCGCGGGGCACAACGGTCTGATGCTGCTCAAGCAAGGCTCCTTGGCGTTCTCGTCCAGAAGAACTACAGGACATGAGCCCCGCTTGGAAGTCAAGATGTGCACTGCTTCCAGCAGCGACGAAACCTCCGCAAGGATTCTTGTGTTAGTTGTTTGAATTTGTTTGACATCTGTCTGGTTTGCATCCTTTGTGGTGCTTTCTTTCAGCCTGACTCACTTCAGACCGTCCCTTCATATTATTACTCACTAGCCTCTTCGATACTTGTGTGATGCTCGCCTTCGTCTGTCTTCCCTGCTCACCTGCATTAAGAACTTCACAGCACGCAAGACTGCTCAAAAATGCAGAAGTACTGGACATAACCCCAAGCATAATAAACACCAAGAGATTTACTTACTTTGGGGCTTCCTTGTCACAACTCAATTTGGGAACTTCTGGCCCTCCAACTCTGGCAACATGAGTCTATATTCCTCGGATTCTTTTAGGGTCGTGTGCCTGCATTTCTGCCTTGCATTTGCCATTTCCTCCCATGCTTGCCTGGCTGGAAGCAAACATGTGTTCCTGGAAGACGCGGCAACACCGAACCGTTGCAGTGTGACGACTGCGGGAAATCATTCCATTGCTCAAGCCGTATTACGAGAAGGTCCACTGCTGCTACGAGCGAAAACTGTGGCATTTCCATGGCCTGTGTAATTTTTGGGTAATTTCTGGGGTCGATTCTGGGATTGCATGTTTGCTTCGGAAGTTATCTAGGAAACCCATGCTGCATGCAAAAAGGACCCTCATGATCTTACAGCTGAAACGCAATAACTGCCGATATGCGATGTGATTCTCCCCACTTCGGGGAGGCTATAAGCTGCTGTTGTGTCCTCTTCGTTGAGTGAGACTGGCATTTGGGTCAGCACAAGGAGTTGCAGCAGGGTCCTTGATCTGACTGTTTGATCGGTAGACAGACATAGTTCTGCAGAAGGTCCTTTGACACAAGGCCTGTTATGATCCGGCTCTAGTGGAGCCGAGGTGGCGTCTTGCGACTCAATTTCGCAGGCTTGGTCTTACTCGGCCTCTCAGGACTCCGGAATCTGACCAGTGTGTGTGTGTGTGCGTGTTTGCGTATCATCTGGCCTGACAGTATGTTTCCAGCATCCGCTCAGGCACAGCGCAGAGCTGTGGAATGAGCTCGTTCGTTTTCGTTCGTTCATCCAAAACAACTATGGACCAAGCCCGCCCGGAGAAGTCCTAAAGTCCTAACTGAAGTCTTCCGCCAAGCACACGTTCGTTTGAGCGACATGGACAGACTCTTTGGGAAACAAGATAGGCGACCCACTCAGGCTGCTTCGAGCGACCGGCCTCGAGCCCCGTTGTGGCTCGTATCTGTTGAACCCAATCCTCGGTGCGTCGCAGCTTACCATAGCTTCTCGATGATCCCAACTCAATCGTTCATGCAGCATCAGTCGTACAGTATACAGTCGTCGCGCCAGTGAGGTAACGAATACTTGCTTGAAGGATGTCTGAGCGGCAGACACCAAGGACCCAACAATCTAAGTTCAAGGAACCTAAACAGGGGACCGCTTCTGGGCCACGTCAGCAACAGGTAAACAAAAGGTGGGAAGGGACTCTTTTCAAAATGCAGGCCGATATGTGAAGTAGCATCGGGATCGACACAAGGGAACTGCCACACGGGCACCTGCCGCTTTATGTGAAGCTGTTCGTGCGGCATTCTATGGGATTCTGCTTGGCGCAGCCTGACTGACCACTGCAACACAAACAACGTTGGCTGCACCACGGACATCAAGGAAAGGTAGGTGCGGGTAGGCGCTGGCTACTGGTGGGAGTGGATAGGTAGGCAAGTGGGTGAGTGTGCGGTGTCGTGTGTGCGCGTCTGTGTCACCACTGGGAGAGTTTAACCACTTGCCGAAAGTTTTTTCTTTCAAGTGCGACTTCTGTGGAGCAGCTCATGTGCCCTGCCCAGGTGATAGGCCCTTGCAAAGTCTCGTTTTCGAAAGTGTCGATGAATATGAAGAACTTCCCGAGTATTACAAGTAGGCCTCGAGGGTATTGGACTAAAGTGACTGCAACGATGAACCTTGGTGGGACACAACATGCCCGTCTTTGCTCCCTGTTCTCAGAGCCCTCGCTGTTCCTCATCACCGCCTGAGGGTAAGCATTGATTCCAGGGGCGCTATTCCCACAAAGGTGAAAGCAATTTCTGCACTAGCTGGACGAAGAGGGCCATCTGACTGTGTGCGGTGTCAGAAACACATTGGTAATCATTGGTATGATGTGGGCATGTTCACAAACATCCAAGCGGCTCGCGTGGGTTAGAAGAGCCAAGAAAACTGAGGACCGTGCCAGCTCCGAAGCAGCAAACTCGAAGTCTCCGGGCTGCAGGTCTAGCACTCGGTAGCTCTCACCAGTGAGGAGCAACACCTAGGATTGCCATGACACATTCGCCCATCTCTGCTGGGCTCTGGTATGGGATGGATGTGGAGGTGAGGAGCTCGGCATTCGGAGGTGAAGGTGAAGGCGGCTTTGAGGGAGCGGACGAGCTCATCGAGCCGATGACCCAAGCGGGCAATCAGCCAAACTTGGCTCGGCACCATGGCTTCATGGCTCCCCACCCCACATCCCCTTTCATGTTTGGGCTTCCATGTGCGTGCCAACGTGGGGGGGTCTGTTGCCATCTCCATCTCCTCCAGTTTTCCCACTGGCCTTTCGCAAGAGCCGATTTGGCTTCAGTAGCGCCAGATGAAGACATGCGAGCCTGACTGAGAGACACAACGGCAAGCGACTACCTGATTAAACGCAGACGACGAGTTTCGACTGCAATCTCATGTAGCATGCTACATCGAAACAGGAAGCCTCCAGGCAATGACAGTGAGCAAGCATGGGCAAAATACACTGTGACAAATGGTGCCCCTTCTTTGTCCACGAATGTTTTCGAATCGAAACGTTCCATCCACGTCGGCTCTCGTTCCCCTCGCAAAAACAACACCTGAAAACCGCTCTTTCGCATGGTAGTAGGGGGTCGAGTGCGCGGGAGCGAGGGAATGAGGAACACCCGGGCGGGCGCGATGACCTCAGCTCGGGGCGGCATACTCTATACGGAAAGACAATGCGAGTACGAGAACGGACATCAGAATGAATAGCTGCAAGACAAACAAAGTTTGGTTGGCCGGTGTTGGACGTCTGAAGCTAGCTGTCAGTTCTCCCATCCAACAGGAGAATCCGCTGCTCAACGCTCGAAGATATTCGGCATGCAGGCACAGCTTCAATGTCCGCGGACGGTAGCTCGGTGACAAATTTCGTTGAACTTGGAAGACGCTCCCATCCGGCTTCGGCAAATTACCAAAATCGTGCAAGACGCGAAGTGCATCGCTTTCTCCTGTCGCTACCGGAACATCAGCTGCCAGGATAACAGTTTTTCGGACGCGGGCTAGAAGCCAATCCAGTCAGCTTATGCGCAGAAGCGACCCCAGAAACTTCCCGCCTCCGACGCTCCGAGGGTGCCGAAGCTGATGGTGATTCCGAAGCGGCATCAGCCGGTGTGTCTTCTGCAGGGCAAGACGTCGCCTGCACTTCACATCAAACCCGTTAAGGCTGTAAGCTCTGTGGCACAGTGGCATGTTACGCTGAAATGCGAAACGTGGACGACGGCACACCTCCTCCACACTGCTTTCGGTCTCTGAAACTTGCCCGTCGCCTGCATGTACCTGCCAGAAAGCCCAGTGAAGATGTGCGGAGAGGCGCTCGACTGTGCCTCTGAGCTTCGGAAAGCTTCTTGGAGTCCTATCCAGTAGCTTCAGCATGCTCAGCGCTGTTTGAGACTTGTGGTGACTGACTCACTGCGAACCATCCTCGGGCGAGTTCTGGATCCGCTGGGCAAAGCATCAGCCAAATGCCCCCTGTGCAACAGCACCACTAAGCCAGAGGGGATGCGCACGAGCGAAGGTTAATCCGAACTGCGAGGCGAAAGTGCCTTCATCAGCAAAGGTCCTGCAAAGCCGCCCGGAAGATGCTGGGGGAGGTCCAGGACAGTTCAGAGCTCCTCCCTTGGGATGATCCACTCACCCAGTTCATCTCGAAGATGCTGGGTATATCAAGCCTGAGATCCAGCTGTCGCATCTTGTCAAACGTGGCAGGGTGAGACTTACTTTACTCGAGAAAGAGGCCGTGTCTGCCGCATGGATGCGGCTGCGACCTCGTCACAGACCGCAATGCACTTCAGTCGACGGCTTTGCCACAATTACATATTGACGTGTCCCACAGGTTGATGCCAAAACTGGCAGTGAGGCTAGGTAATTGCTATGTAATTGTCAGTCATTATTGTTGGTCAATGACCATGTGGCACTGGCAGTCACTTGTGCAGGCCATCTTCCGGTGGTTTGTGCAGCATCCACATGACTGTCGCGTGGAGCCACTCTGAGATGAGCCTGCGAACGCGCGATCAGAAATCCAATGCTTACGCCTCCTTGCTAAGACACCCTGCCACAGCGAGGCTCGGACAACTTGCTTCTGGCAGAGGGGCCGGAGGTGAATGTCCTGCTTCGTTTGGTGGCCGCAGATGTGGCAGTGTTGCATGAACAGACAGTTACCAAGAAATACTGCTGATCTCCTGCATGTCAAGCAGTGTTGGCCCACCATCCAAAGCCACAGTGGCTGCTGCTGGGAGACTGAACAGGGTAGCATATCAACACGAGAGTATCGATGCAACCGACTGTTGATTGTCCACAGCGCTCTGGCCTGCGACTTGAAATCACACTTCCTCTGCGACGCACATGAAGAATGAAGTGCTCTGTCCCCTGCGGAATGTCCTGCGCTTTAGCAACATGACGGCAACATGCGTGCAGAATCCATGCATGTGCAATTAAACCTGTCGCTGTATTCAAGAGGATGACCTGATGCACAGAACACTGCACGCTCTGCTGCTTGACGTCGTGCCAGTTCACGAGTACATGCCAAAACCATCATCTTAGAACATCTTCCATCCGGCTCTCTAGCATCCGTGGAGAGCCCCCCGCAAGTCTCGGTCCACATTCGACACAGAACACGAGACCACAGAGGCAAGGTCCTGGGCGGCGGAAACAGCTTTTGATTGCTGATAGAGTACTGTTGCAAGCCACCCGCCGCTACAACCGCAAGCGCAGGTTTGTTGAGCTTGGTCCTGCCATAAGCTTTCCGACATCTCTTCGTTGAAGAAGCCCAGCCCCAGGACCTGTTCTCCACTGGTGATGCTTGTTGTGGAATAGCTGAATAGCTGTCAATACGTCCCTGAAACTTCAGTCTCTCGGGGCATCGCTGCCCCGTGGATGGCTTGCAGGAAAGCTGGATGCACCTTTGAGATTGCGACTGCGATCCACGCAGACACTGACAAGCTTCGGATCCAAAGAACCCGGCAGAGAACTTTGCAAAGTCGAGCGGCAAACGCAGGCCTCACGAACTGTCTGCCGCAGTGCACATCACCGTGAGGCCGGGTACTTCCAGCAGGCTGAAAGGGATCGGCTTGCTTTCATGCCCGAGAAACTCTCCCAATGCAGCACTGTGTCGTGCTTCTTTTTCAGACGGAGATGCGAAGGCTTTTGGGGGCCCATTCAGGCGCTCAGGCGCTCCTGCTGGCTGTAGTGTAAGTCGTGTGACCGCAATGCCCGTGTGGTGCGAGTACTGGTCGGGGCTGTGGTGGTACTCCCGCTCTTTCACAGCATTTTCAGCAGTCGCTACTAGCCAGTGCAACTAATCTAGTGGCTACTGGGTCTCGCGCTTAGTAAATGTGCGATGATAAGGCTGGGATTCTATATAACCCTACTAGGATTTGAAGTTTTCTGAAAACCCATCAGCCACTTGCTGGCCTGGGTTTGTCACGCACCATCTCCGCCGTTGGGGCTTCAGTCTGGTGATCCATCAGTGTCTATCAGGCTTCAGGTTTTCTCCGGAACCGGCGCTCTTTGGTGTGCAAGGCTTTGGGTTTGCCATAAACCATCTGCTTCTGGTAGGGTTGAGAGGACTTGGCGACACGTTTTGCACTTCTTCAGTTGCAAGCAGAGCCTGCTTGGCGTACTGTCTTTCGATGTCTTTCGGCACTGTATTTTGCACAACGGCTGCATTGCAAAGTGCTTTGGCACCGTGGGCCAACAACACTTCATGCTGCTGCCATAAACGGCCTGGAGGACAAAGCGGGAAAATATGTGTTTGCAAGATTACCGGCTTCAAATGCCAATCAAATGATGCTTGGACAAACTATGCATACTACAAGGGGTCAGCACAAAACAAAGGCAAAATTTCTCTCGGGTTTCAGAGGTAGCAACGTCTTCAGAAGGCCCTCCAGCCCCGAGTAACACAGCTGTGCTCACCTCACAGGCCGAGGGTCCTGCGAGCGCACAGTTCGCCCTTCTTGATGTGCACATCGCTGAGCAGCTCCATCGACGCCCCTGTCCGGTCGACCCTTCGGTGCACACAGCTATCAGATCCTGAGCCCCTCCAAGGGTCGGGCCGAGTGGCGAAGGGATCCCTTCTGCCAGCTTGGCTTTGAGCTCCTTTCAGAATCTGAGTTCTAGCTTCATCTAGCTTCAACAAACAGGCTGCCTCCAGCGCAGCATCTGCCACCGGTTCGGCATTTCTGCACAAGGCCTGTAGCATTGTCTGCGAAGACGTCCTTGCTATGTTCTGCCCAGTTCACTGTCTGCAGGGCTCCTCGAAAGTGTCAGAACCACGTGCTGCTGGCTGCCTCCAAAGAATCTTTGGAAGAGACTCCAGACGAAACAAACAAGCAGACTTGCTTGCTTGGTCCAACTGACCTTTGGCGTGCTGCGGCAGAGCCAAGAATGCTCAAGGTCCCGCCCAAGCTGGCAGCCAACCTTGGTGTGCTACGAAGATTCAACATCAGCTTGCTGAAGCCGAAACAAAGGATTGCACTGCTTTGGACAAACCATGACAAAACCTTCTACGCATGGGCTTGACTGCTGACACAGGCTGATTTCGTGCAGCTCCAGAAATCGGCGAAGAAAGAACCCGTCCATGTCCTAGCTGCAGCCTTCAAGCGTTTCCGCTCTTTGATGGCTCGTGTGCATATAGCCTGTAGCTGTGTAGCTGCTCCCTGAGTCGGAAGTGCCCCCACCGATGACATCGAGACTTGTCGCTGGAGTATAGATGGTCGTTAAATTCCCGATTCAAGTCTGGCTGGGGCAGTGACGGGCGTGATGCTGCCTGCAAGACATGGCGCAGGCATATGCAGGCCCAAATGCAAATGCTATGATTGCCATACAACCTCTGTACATCGCATTCTGCTCGTTTCCTTGCTGCTGTCATACTGTGCAGCATGCTCGAAGTACAAAACGTTGCCAAAGAAGTGTGGCAGCAGTCAACCCACAACCGTGCTGGAAAGGGGAGGCCTGTGTTGCATAGCGGCCGCTGCAATGTACCATCCAGGCCTGCACTTGCACACTCCTCCGCTGCACTGCCAGATGCTACAAGCGGTGATGGTTGCAATTAGATCACGAGGGCTCTGCGTCACTGCTGAGCCGGGGCTTGCTCAGCACTTGAAATTGCTGCCTCAGGTGCAACCATTTGGACGAGCCTGCGATGCCCAGCACTCTCTCATTGTTCCGCCAGGATGCTCTAGCAGTGCCAATCTCAGCCAGGTCTGACCTGTGGAGATGACACCGGCAACACAGACAGTTCAAGGATTTGAAGGATAAGGCTTGGGCCGTCGTAATCACAGGGAAGGAACAAAGGTGCCTTGAGTGCCGGCAGCATCTGTCAATCGCGGGAGCACTGTTTCGCTAAGGCTTCCGCAACCATTTGGACGTTCTTCAGTTGAACAGCCTGCAGAGCTCGAGATCGTCAAGCTTTAGAACCAGTTTTCAAGGACACTGACTCTGTTCCTACCGGTACCTGTTTTGCATGTTGACGGCAGGCGTCCATGGCCTCGCTGTGAGCCCCAGGAGTGCACTGCGCTAGAGATTCCGTGGCTGAGCCGCCGTGCAAAAGCAACAAGCAGCGCGGATGACAGACAGGTTTGATCGTAGACCTCAAATCGGAAGCCCAACACTTCCTCTTTCAGCACGGCAGGTATGGCGCAGAATTGTTGCCTCATGTTGACTGCGCTGAGCCGTTAGTGCTGCCGAGGCAGCGACCATGTGGCTGCAAAGACCGACCAGTTCTGCATCAACCTGAACCTGGCAGGTCATGGACCAAGTAGGTAGGGCAAATCAGATCGCTAACTTCCTCGCCTCGAAAATCACAGTTGAACCTTCGCGCCTTTTGAGCGACAGCAGTCGAGGAACCTGTCGAGCTCAGCATTGGACCGTCCGGCATTGCCAATGTTGCAGATTCTTGGAGCAGGCTGGGCTGAAGCACCGGCGCGGCCCAGGGGAAGGCTATTCGCCGAAAGCTGAGAGCGGGAAGTGTCTCTGGAGGCTCTCGCACATGCGGCCTGAACATACTTGCCACATCACAGCGGTATGTTGGACACGCAGGTTGCGCAGTTACAGGCTATGCCAAACGCTCCATCACATGTGGACAAGCTGTAACCGCCGAAACATGCCGCACTCACAGAGATCAATCGCATGCATACAGCAGGGAGCTTCAAGTAAGTCCATCCATGCTCGTTAAACTTCACCGGCCTGGAGCTCTGCAGCAGAGCATGGGCGTTTGTACCTTCACTTATTTCCACGAATGCACAGGAGAAGATGTGGGCCTCATCCCCAAGGCTCTCGCCACCGAACCCAAAAGACGACAAGCCAACCTCAGTCTCGAGGCTGGGGGAACAAGCAGCGCAAGGTGAAATCAACAGACTTGAACCGCCAGGTCACATTGGCACTCACCATTCCAGACAGCTTTTCCAGGGCTGTTGAAGCTTTTGCATTGAAGTCCTGCCAGTATCACTGTTAGCAAGATGCAGCGTGAGAGCCAGCAAGTTGTCCTGAAGCTCGACGTGTGGGTTCAGTGAGCTGAGGTGCAGATTTGGCGGAACCTGGCTCTCAGCGGCTGCAGCTTAGAGAGTTGAAGTAGACCAGTTCTTACGAACACCTCCAGCTGCGCCACGATTGCCAAGCACCTTGAGGGATTCTGCAGCCCTGTGAGCACCATCGTGAGACTCTACACAATGCATGCGTCTGCACAAGCCTGATCACAACGAGCTAACTGGCTGTCCCACGACCCTTGCTGGTGGCGGGCGTGTGAGCTGGCCACCGGACCGGGCTCGTAAACTAACTTTCAATGAAGCAACCGGGTAGCCGACTTTTGCAAACCCAGTGCTCCTGCAGCACCCTCAAGGTGGCCAACCTGTAAAACTGAGGGACACAGCTACGATGCAAGTGCTTCGCCAAACCCTCAGATCGAGGCATTGCTTTTCCCGGCCATCAAGAAGAGGGTGTCTAAGCGGCCATCACCGAGTGTTCCACGGAGCCCGCCAACCTCGAAGGGTTTTCGCCGCCGCACTACAATCTCGTTGGATCCCGTGCCTCAATGGGATCTCCAAGGGCAGTTCCGGTTCCATGGCACTCAACCTGCGCACAGCACACCGCTTTGGCGGTCTAGAACATATCAGAACATATCAGAACGGAGCCGAACATGTCAGGCACGCTGCCGAGACTTCAGCGGCTTTCAAGCCTGCACAACGGGCACCCGCAGCCACTCAACGGAGATTCTCTAGGACTCTAGGACTCTGGGATCTACAGAATGTGCCTGACAGCCCAAGAGCAGCGTTGATGACCCGCTGTTGAGCTGGTCCATTCGGTGCGGTGAGAGACGAGCTCCTTCCATCCTGGCACATCTTCGCACGCAGCATGCAGTATCATGCAGTGCTGCAGTGCGACGGTGGCGGGGAGGTGCCTGGTTGGCCATGGAAGCCAGTACAGTGCCCGCACTGCCCTGTCCATGGCCGAGATCCTGGCCGCAGTCGCTTTTGTGCAAACACATGGTGATCCCTCCCCTCGGCTCCTCGGAAATGAAAAGGGAGCCAAAACCCTCCCCTCGTGCGAAACCTGAGCATGTGCCGGTCGCACAGGAAGTCTCTTAAACAGAGCTCTCCAGGTGCAACAAGCTGATTGTTGGCACGGGGTAGGCATTGCGAGGGGCGCTCTTCTCGAAGAGGAGCCCTCAGAATTAGCAATTCTGCCTCCTGTGCGGCCGCAAATTAAACTTTGCCCAGCATTACTCTGCGCGTTCCGCAAAGCATTGTCGTGATGTCTCGTGCTCTTGCTTCAAGGGGCTGTTTCACTCCTGCTCAGCCGAACCGGGCTGGTTGCACGGCCTGTGTTGTTGTCATGCCCTTGTGCCGGAACCGCATCGGATCTGCCATCCCCTCCTCCAGACCCCAGCACAAGTGGCTACAAGTGTTCCGTGCGACAATTGGAGACAGCTCGTGGTGCGGCAGGCACATGTGCGTCGCACACTCACACCTCCTTCAATAAGTACCAGTATCATGAGCATCGGAACATGTAGCAGGAACGGGGGATCAGCCACAAGCAGCGCAGCATGTGTTGCCAGACCAGATTCTTCTGCTACGTCGCTACCTTTCAGCGAGAGTAAGCTTGATATGGTTGCTGCTACATCTCGGGGGGTGAGGGTGAGCCACTGGCGGCTTCATCGATCTCTTGAGCTTGGCTTTTCGGTTTGATCACCCTGCCCAAGTACTTTATGATACGTCTTCCGTCTTGCAGTCTGCTTCCATGCCTGGAAAACTTGCATCCGAAGCGCCATCTGCAGAAGCGTCAAAGGTTCTGCAACGCCCACTTGCGGACAGGAGCCTTCCGTTGCTGAATGCGACGAACGGTTCCTGAGTTCAGTTTGCATGCTGAGTTTACTGAGCGTACGGCTCTTTCTTCGGCTCGTCGCCAAGGCTCCACAATTAAGTTCAGCTGACTGCCGCTGCAAATGACAGCTTCTAGCCCGGCACGCAGTCGCAGAATTGCAAGATCCAAGGCTACCAGCGTAGACGAACAGGCTGTGTCAACCGCGACGCTCACTCCCTCCAGCCCAAGGCAGAAAGAGAGACGGTTTGCTGCAATGCTCGCCTAAGATTGACCAGTCATGGGCGTTGAAGACACCGCTGTTGCTGTTTGTTTTTATGAGTTCTCCTTTTCTTGCTGCTATTACGAGTGTGAACACTGACACTGGCTTATGCTTCAACTGCAGAAACGAGGCACGTGTGTGCCCGGTCCCATGAAAGTGCCCGCCCTTCGCTCCCTGGATGTCTTTGCCCAGTCATTGGCACATTGGCCGACGAAAACACCAATTGCGGATTTTGCCAAGGACTTGCGAAGCCGCCCAGCGTCGTGGCAGGCCGCATAGGAGACCTCCAAAGTGTTTCGCTGTTGTGGATCAATTGCAGACGCTTCGTTGCTGGAAATCCCAAACATTCGGTGGTCGAAGAGATCAGTTCCTTCCAGCATGCTGGCATGCCGGGCGTATGTCACGAAATCAGCGCCGGACATGTTAGCATCAAAGCATTCGTTGATGTCAAACCGTCGTAGCGGGACCTCTGTGACAGCATCGACTTCTTTGCAAAAGATCTGCCAAGCTTGCGAAGCTTCCGCAGCCGAAGCAGTCGAAACATCCACTCCCGGAAAGCGGCATGAATTTCCTTGAACTGCACATACAGAGACCTTCTTCTGGATGTCAACAGAGCTGGTTCGTGGTGCTGCAGAACCTTGACTTTCCAAAAAGACCGACACTTGCTGGGCAGTCGGATAGTCAAATGCCAGAGTTTGTGGTAGCGGGATGCCACTGTCGGTCGAGAGCTTTCGGCGGAATTCCACGGCCGAAAGCGAATCTAGGCCGGCTGCAGTGAGTGGGTCTTCTGGACCAATCTCGCCGATCAAGCCGGTCAGAACTGCCAGTACCCAGTCCAATGCATTCTGGTAGGGCGAGGGGATGCCTATGCCTCTAATCTTCTGGTTAGCATCCTTTTTCGCAACATCAATAACGCGCACATCGCGACAAGGCTCCACGCAATTGAAGTATTGGCGAGCTTGCACCGGTCTCAGAAATGTCTCCCAGTCCACGATTGCAAAACTGACCGCACTTTCGACACTCAGAAACGACATTGCAGATGCCATGGCGGCCAAGCCTCAGACGACAGCGGCCTAAGACCCTCGCTCTATCCTTGACAGGCACTACCGCCAGGACGTGGGTGTTTACGAGCTCCGCTAACATATGCACCCTCTCGAACATGTCGCTTGGGTTTTTCTGCCGTGTTCCGTTCTAGCGCTGCCACGATGGGCCGTAATTAGATGGATCCAGACTCTAGAATCTGCAGCACGACAGGCCTACGGTATACAGCAGCTGGCTGCCTAGCTGGTGTATGCCGGCGTGCTTTCAATTCTTGACACATCTACAGAGATCAAGGTAAAGGCTTTGGCAACGACAGCGGACTGAGGCACGGACCCACATCAACAGGAATTCCCTGTTGACACAGGTGCCGCAAGCTGTGCGGCTGTGCCATTCCCAAGTTTAGCCATGCTCCCCACTGCAAGCTCAACGTCCTCTGTCCAGCTAAACCTTACAGCTCTCACGACACCCTCTGGCTCATGCTACGCATGCTGCTCCACAACATGCTAAGTCAAAGACGACACTTGTGCATCATGGCATCCATGCACGCGTTGGCGGCTGCGTAGTTCGCCTGTCCGGCCGAGCCAAAAATTGCGGCAGTGGATGAGAACGCGAGCACGAAGTCCAAGTGCTGCCATCGATTTGTCTCCATCAGCACCTTAGGACAGCAGGCAGAGAAGACGAAACCCGCACCTCAAGCCGAATTAATGCCCATTGCCATAACCTGTAACGAAGGCAACGCTTAGCATGAATTCTCGGGCGGGACTCCTGCTGGAGTACATGCAGCCCACGAACTTTTGGACCGAAGGTAGCCTGCAAGTCTTGCCTGTTCAGCCGTGCCAACGAGCCATCCTGTATAATTCCTGAGAGATGGAACACGGCGGCAAGAGAGCTCCATCCATCCTTCTGTATCAAGATCTGGTGGGCGTCGGCCGCACTGAGGTCGCCTTTTCGCTTCAGGTGCTCAGGTGCGGTGCTCAGACCAGCCGCGACTAAGGGCAAACAAAAGGAACTGTTTTTGGACTTTTTGGCAGAGTGACATGCCCAGAAGGACACTTGGACAGCTGTACGTGCAAGCCAGGGCATCGATGGTGCAGTGCCGCTTCGCGAGAGGAGAACCAAATCCTTGCAGAAGGCAACAGCTCCCTCTTCGGAGTGAGCAGAATGATGCTACGAGGACGGTACACACAGCTTGTCGTGCCGAGTCGCTTCTACTCCCTCTTCCAAAAGCGCACGGCTCAGCGCCAGACCCAAGGCGCCAGTTCCGCCTGTCATCAAGTATTTTGCTCCCTCCCGGACTTGCAAGAGTGATGGCACTGTGACGACGATCTTCCCGATGTTATCTGCTTTGCGAAGAACTTGTAGAGCTTCAGAGCAGGACTCCAAGCCATCAAAAACTCTGGAGGGTATCGGATCCCAGGATCCATCCATCATCCTCGCAAGCAGCATCAGTCTGTAAGTTCGCCCATCTTTCGAAAAAAGGATGGAAAACCAGGAAGATGCACCACACATCTTCTTCTTATTCCGCACAGTCAAGCTAGCAGGGGCAGCCCTAAACCCTCTTGCCTCTCTGCACCACACACTTCACATCCGTTGTCGCTTCACTTCACTCAGGGTCACACACACACACACACACGTCTCTCTGTCTTTCTTTCCGTAGACTCAAAGGAGGGATTTACACCCCCTCTCCGCTCGTTTGCTGCTCCAACACTGTGCGGGCAGCCATGGCGAAACTACCGACAAGGCAAACTGACGATAGTCTGGGAACTGAAGCAGCCAAAACATGATGCAAACAAAAAATCAAAATATCAAGACAGAGCACAGGCCAGTGTTGTATCCCGTTCTCCATGGCGTGGCTGCTGGCTTCTGACTGGGTGGCAAAGAAAACCTCACCGGCCAGATAATTATGGACAACAGTACTCTACAAGGCCCCTGAGAGGGTTCGAGGAATTTGAAGGCTCCAGCGGCCGTCCGAAAACCCCTGAAAGGCATTCAGCGGAGTTGGACGGATACACTGTACTCAGATTGATTGATCTCTTCTTCCACACAGCCAAGGGAAGTAGCAGTCGCCCCCCCCCCCCCCCCCTCGTGCGCATTGATTGATCTCTCTCTCTCTCTCTCTTCGGCTTCGGCTTCGGCTGCGAGGGAAAGGTCCGCGTTCACGGACCCGGGCCAAGGCCCCCCTCTCCCCACTGTGTTGGTGGAAGAAAGGGCTTTGGGGTCGTTGGTAGGCGATTGCTTTCAGCAGTCGGTTTGAGTGGTAGAGTGCGTCTGTCAGTCAACCCGAACCCTTTACACTAACGCGCATCCCGGCCTCATCTCCGCGCCCTCTTAGGCAAGTCCTTAGACCCTCGACAGACGCAATCCCCCCACAGTAACCAACGGAGTGTAGTCGTCCCCCTGTAGCAAAAGCAACCAAGGACCGAGCCGAAATAAGAACATAACACACGGTTGGGTGGACGATCTACAGGTTAGCACTGGTGACTGCTGTTGAGCGATCTGATCCCCCGCCCTGGTTGGTAGCAACAAGGAAAACCACAAACCGTGCAGGTAACGAAGACGGCGGGTTCACCTGCCAGGGAGGCTTTGTAGTGTCGGGTCCCCCGCCCAATCGGTAGAAAGCAACAGCGAAAAACAAGCAAACGTGCAGGTAACGAAGACGGCGGGCCCCCCCCCATGTTGTAAAAAAGCCGGTTGAATTATTTCTTCTAGTATGGACACGGTCGGCGAAAGCATTGAATTACTGTGGCGGTCGGTAATATAAGTCGCAGGATGGCGACTGGTGCAATTGAACTGGGCTTTCGGTCGCTACTTCGAGCTGTTGTAGAAAAGGGAAAACCATTCGGTGGCTACTTCGAGCTACCCTCAAGAAGGTATGCATCTCCCCGGCAAGGGTTCAAAGGAGAATCTCGGGAACTAGGGAAGGCACATGGCAGCAGCAACAGAAAACAGGATGCCCCCCCTAGTTCCCGTCCCCCCGCACATTGTACTTTTTACAAGTCGCGCTCACGGCTCTCACGTTGGTTGCGCATGTGTTCCTGCACATGCTGTACCTGCCACATCCTGCCACCTCATGCTCGGCTGAAGTCGTACTCGTTGTGGGCTGTTGCTCGGGCTGCGCGGCTTTCTCCCCCTTGGGCTGCAGCTTGGAGTGCGTGGGCGCTCCTCCCCCAGCCTTCTTCTCCGCGGGCTTCTGCTTGGAGTGCGCGGTCTCTCTTTTCCCAAGCTGCGTCCCCCTCAGTGTGCGTCGTCTTCAGCCGCGGCTGTTCCAACGTGTTCCCCTCTTTGCTCGCGTCGGTCTTTGGCTTGCGCTGTCTCAAGGCTTCCTCTGTCTTCGGCGGTCCTGTCTTCGTCTCGTTCTCCCCCGCCTTGGCTATGAGGCTCCGTGCCGGTGGTCGCTGAGTCCGCGCTCCCCCAGTCAACTTCATCTTCGTCACACCTTTCTCTCAAGTCGGCTGTGGCTTCCTCCCCGCGGCTTGTTGGTGGTGGCTTCGAGGTAGTCGCCCCGCTGCTTTGCGCCGCTTCCGGAGCTTCTTCCGGATTTGGCGTGCCTTTTTGAGTAGTGGACCGGCTTTTTGCGGGAAGCGGATAATATGTGCTCGCGTCTCGTTGGCGAGCTTGGGCATGTATTTGTCCACGATCCTGGTTAGCTTGTCCACCGTTCTGGCTATTTTGCACCTTTCCTCAAAGCGTTCACGGTATTTGGCATACTCCCCCGCCTCGAGTTTGCTCATGCAAGGGCATGCCTGTCACGAGGTCCATCCACTTGTCGCCCTCCTTGTAGATCTCTCTCTTCCCCCACTTGTCGAGTGGTCCAGGCAGGAAGTGTAGGCCTATTCCCCTCCTTGTCGTGAACCTGGTCATGTGCGTCAAGGGAACCTGTGGGGTTCTCACGTCCCCCGGCTCCCGCGGCGGCGGGTGACTGCCTTGGGTTACCGGTCGGCTCCCCGTCCCTTTCTCGCTGCACCCATGGAAGCGGCATGCTGGATCCGACCTCTCGTGCACCTTGCGGAACCCTTGCTGACAAATGCCTGCACCTTGTCGGCATATGCGACATTCCTTCTTCCCTTTCGGCTTTTTTCCCCCACTTGGGTCCATCTGTACCACTCCACCACGGTGGTTATTGTTCTCGGTCTCCCCGCTAGTCACTTGCAAGTGTGGTACTCCCCCTCCCAGCGCGGTCGTTCGGTAAGCGAAGCTCGGCCAGGAATGTCAGGGCGCTGTTGGAGAAGAAACCCGCGTCCCCCTCGGTTCACAAGTTGAGCAGGAAGGCCTTGCTGTCCCCCGGTCGCCGGGCTGCAAATAGTGTTCGATCGTGCCGTTCAGCTTTATAGCTCACTCCCTGGCACGAAGGCTACGAGGGCCATTTAAGGACAATGGCGGCGGATGATTGGTCTCAAGCACCGCTGGGACAACGGCAGGGCTCTCTCGGAGGAACAGTCCGAGCCAACCCCACCAGCTGCCCCCCGATGCAAGGAGGTGGAACACACCCCCAAGCAAAGGCGCAGTACTTGAGCCTCTCTCTGTCTATCTTCTCCCGGGCATAGGGGTCGGTCAGGACACCCGGGCTCCACCCGGGCTCCAAGCCCACCCGCACGTTTTGCTGTGCGGGATTTATCTCTCTCTTGCTTGCTTGCTTGCGCGGCGTTTAGGGTGGGGGAAGCAGGTCCCCGACCCCTGCGCGCTAGCGCGACGCCCAGTGTCCTCGTCCTGTGAGACTGTGGGTTTGAGTGGGCTTGAGACTGCGAGTTGGAACGGCCAGAAGACAAGCTACGCAAATCCCATGTTCCTACATTGCACATGTCCCGCCTTGTCCAGCTCGCACGCTCCGAATCCCACTCTTTACCACTACTTGTCGCTTGACTCGACTCGTGGCCCTCTTGTCTCGAGCGGTAAGCGGTGCACAGGGCTCCGACCTTTCAACCAAGGGAACAGTAAACAGGTACGATGACCCCCGCTATCTAGGTGAGCCCCTCCGTTCAGCCACTATGGTACAGCTGCCGTTGGTTTGGTGGTTGTCCGCTGTGGTGGCAGTGGGTCCCCTGGGGGAGGAAGCAAAGGGCAGAGGTACTAAAAGCCAACCAGTAGCTCTCTCTCCTCTCTCTCTCTCTCTCGCTCTACTGGGCTTGGGGGTCGCGACAGTATCCAGGTCGCTTCCCCCGTGCGCGAGCGCACACCCGCAGGTCGCGGGGTGTCCGTCTGTTCCCCCTGGAGTTTTCTCTTGAGGGGCTCGGCTGTGAAGGCGAAGGCACAAGCTCGGCTCACCCCGGACCCTCAAACAAACAAGCAAAACAACCCCCCCCCGGTGCACTTATGACCGCAGAAAGCTTCACTCGGAGGGCTCGGCCAGGACTGCTCTCCCTCTCTCTCTGTCCCTCTCTCTTTCTTTCTCCCATGGTTTCTCCTCGGCTTGTGGGCACGCGATGCCAGTCGGTTTTACGCCCGAGCCTTCGGGCCGGGTCAGAATGACCCGCAGGCTTCGCCGTGCAAGGGACCATCGTATCTTGCCCCATTGACAAGTCAACACTTTCTCTCGCGGGCATGAGGGACTCTTCATGTCCCCCCGGCTTCAAGCACACCCGCCTGGTCTCTGTCGCTCTCTCAACTTGCTTTCCCGCCCCTTCCCCCTGATGCGTGTCACTCACCATCTTCTGATGTCTGGTACAGCTCGCATGTGGACCCCCCGACCCTGCGTCTGAGCCGATGCGCCTTGCTGAAAGCCGCTTCATCAACTCTTGGAACTTTGCTGGATCTTCGTCGCAAACAGTATCCATGGCCAAAGTTCTGTATTCAACATCTGGCCGTGCCCTTTCCATTTCGTCTTTCGTCCAAATGCAACGTTTGCCAATCTCGATAAAGATGCCTCCTGCTCCTACAAAAGCTAAGGATCGCCCGATGAAGTTGTCGTGACCTCAGCTCAGCGTCCAGGTTTAGTTTTGGGGAAACTCGCTCAGAATCCTAGTTAAAGCAGCTGAATGAACTTGCCCAAGGTTCTGAGACTGTTAAGGACAACATCGATCTTTGCAGAATTTTCCTTTGCGAGCGCATTGGCCAGTTCTTCCTCGAACTTGCTGCCGTCCCTCGAACTTGCGACCTGTCACTTGCATCACTGCAACGGAGCCCTTGCTTATCACATCAGGAACCGCAGTCGGGCCACACATGTCACACCCATTTGGCGAAGCAGGCTCTGCTTGTCCTGCCAATACGATCGTGCCAGTGCACCAATTCGGATCAAGCAGGACAGCGGGAGGCAGCGCCACCTCCTTCCCGGCTGTCGCATAAACCAGGGCACCAAGCCGTAACGCATATTGCACTGCTGTAAGTCCAACACCGCCTGCATCCAAGTCTCACGTTCTGACTCAGAGTACGGAATACCGAGTCTCGCCTGCCCCAGCATGGATGAGAACGCGCTGTCCAGCCTCCAAAAGGCTCTGGGGTTGGTTGATAAATGCCATTACAAGTTCTGGAATTGGGCGACTGGAACATCTGGACTAGCATTGTGAGGCTCATCGGCTGTTGCTGCAGTTGCCACTTCCATGGCTTCGTTTCCATGGTCTGAAAGTGACCAACGAGTTTGCAACGGATGCTCCAAAGCTGCCCTTGTGACAAATCGGCTTCCGAGGCTTCAACGCAGGCATGCTTGAAAATTGCAGGGTTGAACATTTATTCTTCTACAGCAAAAACCTGCCACAATTGCACGGATGTGTTCGGCTTCCAACGCTTGCAGGGTCCTTCACCTGCTTCGTCTCCGACACTTTTGAAGACACGCTTCCCCTTGAAACACGACATTGTCTTCAGAAAGGGCCTTGAGGCCGGCGAGCTCACAAAGAGCCATGTCAACTGTCGTAAAGACGGTTGGCAGAGCGGCAGCTTCCACATGGGACCAACTTGCCGGACGCTCAACAAGCAGTCTCGGCTCCTGCACAGACAGGCTGTGCCGAAAAGCAAACAAGGGTGCACCCCAAATTAGCTCCGGTATGCTCCGGTCCTTGATGGTCGCAAAGGTTCGCAAGCAGCCAAAGGAGATACCGAAAAGCCTTGTTCCAGGCAAGGCAGCGTGCGCAGCGTGAGGGCCATCCAAGACAATGCCGCTGCAGTCGAGACCAGGTTCGCCTAGGGCAAAGTGCTCAGCGAGAGCGCAGTCAGAGGAGTCACGTAGTCAGCAATGCAAACCGGGCGATTCACAGAGCGGAGTGTGCTCTCCAACGACCGGACCAAGCTCTTCACCCCTACAAGTACAAGATAGTGCACTACAGCACTGCAGTGACCAATGTGTTGTCTCCCGGCTTGGACTTGGGCCTTCCCCCGCGGGCCGATGGGACTCGACCCGCTTGAAGCTCATTGCATGGCCGCTTTCGGCACTGCTCAGACCCAGTGGAACGTAATCAAAAGAAACGCATCGGGACGAGCAGGAATCAAACCGAAAACCGAACATGTCCCCTGAATTTCTGAATTCGAGATCGACACCCCGCCAAAGTGGAAGACTGGAGACCCGAGTGTGGCGCAAAATGCCAAGGGATGCCAAGGGTCTAAGGAAGGAGCGAGCCTAATGCAAGTACAACATGCAGCAGTTCAACTGCCTGAACCTTTCCAGATTCTCACGGTGACCGGGTGCTGTGAATCAGTGATGGCCCAAGTGATGCAGAGTGCCCGCCTGGGTCGCCAGGATACAAGTCCAGAACGTTCAATACCTTCAGGATCAAGACCGTGGATAGAAGGAAATGTGCGGAAGCAGTCTAGTCTAGAACAGCCGTGCACCTTGACAGGCATACGAGATATACGAGTACATCAGATGAAAGATGGTGGCTGCGGGCACTTTGCGGAGACTGAGCTCCAAGCATCTCTGAAGTTCAAGCCCACTGCTGCTACACCTCAGCTGAGGGCAGTGACAGCCAAGTTTTCGCTGAAGTGCCGACTCCCGACTCTCTTCAGTGAGGCGGCGGAAGCCCGACTTGGACTGCTGTGGCTCGGGAACCAGGGAAGAGAAGCTGCCACGGTTTCGAAGAGACAGCCTGCAGACACTGTGCACAGAAGGTGCACCAAGTGCTGAAGATCTTCGATCTTAGATGCTGTGCCGGAGCTGCAGCGGCCAACGCGGAGAGAAGGACCTCTTCTGCAACCTGTCCGAAATCTGCGCTGGCCGCGAATGCTCAGATCTTCGACCTCAACTTGTATCCGGCCTGGCAGCATATGCGGCCTTCTCTCGAAGACAGACCTCCTGAAACATTGAGCTCACAGACGCAGCACAACACAGGCCATGCAAAAGAAGCACCAAAGCTTCTAGTCCATTGCCTGCTCTTTAGGGCAGCTGCTGACACACATAAACGTGGTGTCCGCTCCATCCTGATGCGTTCGATGCTGGCAGTTCAAAGTTGAGGTATCAGGGCATCTGAATGCATCTGTGAAATGACAAGGCTCTGCAGGCAAGTCCAGGCACATGACACTCTGTTCTGGCATCTCCAGTCGTGCTGACCGAGCCAAGCCCCAAAGGCCTGCATGTGTCGGATCAAAAGTGTTCCTCAGTTATCAGCACTATGCCACTACGCAAATCATCGCCTTCTGCTGTGCTCCATAACACAATGCTGAAACGTGTGCCGATATTTCGAACTCATTGGTTCAACCCGCCAGCCCTGCGGATCAGCCGGATTGCTGGTCAAGCTCAGGTGGCTGAGCCGCTTGAGCAGCCAACACGACGCTGGTGTTCAACTTCGATGACATCTGCAGCACTTGCAGAGCGTTGTAGAGTGCTTCCAGTTGATCACCTTCTGCGAGGAAGGCGACGTAGCCAAACTTTCCGGAGCCTCGACTCACGAGAGAGAGAGAGAGAGAGAGAGAGAGAGAGAGAGAGGGTGAGATTCGCGCCTTCTTGGCGGCCGAGGAGCCGAGCAAGGAGAGCGCTGTGGTCTCGTCCCGAGCAAAGGAACAGCTTTCTGCCTTCCAAGACAATGCGGCCAGGAGCTCTCCCTGTCGCTCCTCGGAGCACCAGACGACTGCGTCACTCGCCATTTCTGCAATCTCCATCTTGGGAAGGTCAGGACGACTGCTTTCCATCTCCACGAAGGCAACGCTATACATCTGCTCAAGCTGCGGCGGCTGCTGCGGCGGCTGCTGCTTGGACTCTGTGAGCTCAGGCCGCCGGTCACGCGCTCTGCAGCTCAGGCGGCTTAGCCGTGCAATGAGCACACCATCGTCCGTGGAAATCTCCACATCACCAGACACTGCTTCAGCAGAGACAGTCCGAACTAACACGGTCACGCAAACATCCCGAGAAGGCAAGGTCGCCGCTATGACGCAGTTGTCAATGCTGAAAGGCAGAAAGCATTGTTGGGAGTCTGAGCTCGAACAAGCTAAGAGTAGCAGTTGGATAGCACCATCCAAGATGCCAGGGTGGAACTCCAGGGAGCTGTCCCAAGTCTCCAGGTTTAAGGACAACCGCCCCAACACATGCGAACCTTGGTATGGATATCGTTTTGTGAGCTGTCTAGCAGCCGATGCCAACAACCCTGCACATCCCCGTATTCCAAAAAAGAGTTGCTCGCTCGGGATTGCCCCGAAGGAGCATCGACAGAGCAACTATAACAGCAACTTGTTTTAAGACTCCATCTCATTTCCTGAAAGCCAAACCGCCGCCCACTCTTCCGCGCGGCCCGAACTCGCAACATACTGTAGTATAGCCTTCAGGATTCATCCTACAAAAGCAGAGTGTCGTTCTCAGTCTTTTCTCGGAATTGCAGTATACACATATCACCAGCACATCAGCACATGCCATGAAACCGTCACCGCTCGAAGACCAAGAGGAGATTGCACGGAAGCTCGGGCCGTACTCGAGTCCGAGCTTCTCCAAAGTCCTCAATCGCTCAGAGGCAGTTTGCCAAAGCCTAGTTGCCTAGTCTTAGCGCGGCAGCAAAGCCCTGTCCTGTATGCATCAAGTGCAGAGCGTCGGGATTGACATCTGGACTTCCATTCCACTAAGCTGTGTTGGAGAATGCTGCCACGGGCTCCGGGTCCTCCCACAACGCCTGATCTGGAGCGCTCACCCCAACAAAATCTGCAGAGCCTTCGACTCCGAGATGGTACGTTCTGGAGGTTCATTTAGCTAGTTGGTGGCACGCGCACCAGGTCCCTGGTGTTACCCTGCTGTTTCAGGCGCTTCGGGTGTTAACCTGCTGTTTCAGCGCTTTCGGGGGTGGGGGGTGGGGTGGGGGGGGGCAGTGACGACAGGTCAAGATGTCTTCGGGATACAAGCCCAAAAGCTCTAAACCCCGAAGCCTCCCACCCTGTCATGTGACCTCAGCCTACGGCGTCCGTCTTCGAGCCACAGGGCTTCAAATCGGACAGCTAGCCAAAAAACATTGGACTTGGAAATCAAATATGCACGGCCAAAACCTGCCCCGCCATCGGGGGCTTGGTCATTGCGCAATAATTTAACATTGTCGGTTACAGCTAGGCTGCATGTACTGTCTCTCTTGCATCCTCCACAGTGTGAGTTCTATGCATACTCTGCCTGGTGCATGTCCTGTGTCATATATGTAGTATGTGCCTAGAATGCCAAAGAGTCCATACAATATGTCTTATATGCCATGAATGCCACATAGACCACAGACGTCACAAACACATGAACATATGTCGACGACCCTTGCATATGTATGTACGGTACCCGTAACCTTAAGCCCCAGAGCTCTGTGCATCTCTGCGCCTTGCCTGCAAGTTCTAGAACCTATAGTGCTTCAACTTCAATTTTCGGCTCAGGTCGTTAATAGTTTTTACTGTTTTTTCAATACCAATTTTGCTAAGAAATTAGCTTCTTCCCTATAGGCAATATTGCAGTTCGTACATCACATCGCCACCAGGGTCCTGGTCAGCGCGTGACCTAGTTTCCCCGCAGCTTCTCTCGCTTGAAGCGGCGAGTAGTGGATTAAAGCCTGTCAACAATCCGGATTTCCAACCCATTCACCGCACATTCCTGTAGGTTCGACACCCGCAGAGTGCATCTGCTCAAAAGCATGCTGATGCTGGCTGAAGCATCATACTCTCGACTAGCAGCTAGCAGGCACGTCGATGTCGATGTAGATGAGGGGATTGCAAAGCACAAGACAAGTACGAGACACTTGACGATGCGTTGGTAGATGGTGACTCAATGATGCGATCTGTGATGATTCCAAACAATCTGTGCTCTTCGGGTTGATTTGCTGCTTTCGTGATGGCCTCAACTTCCATATCACATGCTCAGCATGGCATAGTGACGTCGTGCTGCAAGCCAGTGAGCCAGCCAGCAAGCAAGCAGGCCACACATGCGAACTGCAACCGAGAAGCGCGTGCTCTGGGATTGTGCATGTGATGTGTGGCCGTCTCCGCTGCGGCTTGACAACTTGGCCCCTGTAGGCAGGATCTGTACTTCTGCATGTGCTTGCGACGAAGCGGACAGCACGAAGGCGCTTTCAAAAACCGTGTCCTCGGCTGATTGGCTCAAAGGTTGGACTCTGCACACGGGTGAAAAACCCGGAGATGCGACAAGAGTCAGTGAGTTCCACGAACATCTCTGGCGCATAGGACCCCCTCGGTCGAGAAGGCCCAAGCGCTCGCACACTCTGGCTTTTGAGTATCTCACTCCCCAGCCTGTCTACTATGTTTCACTCCTTGACATGGCTGGACGAGGTTGCAGTCGAACTAAATGAACCTCGTCGTTTGTCTGAATTTCAGAGCAAGCTCTGCTTAGCCTCTGATTGTCCCCGTCGTGCAGAAGTCTGGCATGTGTCGGACAGCCCGTAATCTACGCGCCCACATTTTCCGACATATCTTGGCACTCGCATTTCGACCGCAGTCGCTCAGAATACCTGTTAGGCAAGGACTCTGTGAGTTTGCGGTCAAGCAACAAATTGCCTGGACAATGCGTGGCTAGCGTAGCAGACGAGAGCAGCAGCAGGTGTGAAGCCGCGGGAAGCACTGCCTGCCCATATACCTCGAGTGCGGCGCTCGTGTGTATGTCATATGTGTGGTAGCCGAAACCCACGTAAGAGCATTTTGATTCTGAGTCGTTCGGCTTCGGGAACCGAGCCTCCTAAATGTGCCAGACCACCACACAGCTCCGCAGCTACAGGCTGATTCAGGCTGCATGATCAAGGGACTCAGCATGCTAACCTTGCAAAGGAAGTTGCTCGCTTGAGTATAAAGCACATGTTTGACGATAGAACTGAACCGCAAAACTCGTGGCCTCATCATGTTTTGCAGGAAAGCGTGCGATCTCTACTGGCAATGATTGACACGCTGGTCAAATGCAAGTGTGGACATGCAGGTCGACAAAGCTGATGTGTTTTCACATTGGGATGGCAAGGGGACATAGTCGTAGACTGTCCAAGAGCGTGTGCTCAGAATAGGCTGCTCAAGAGGGTCAGCCACAGAGAGTTGCCACTCGGCTGCAACTGCATGTCGAAGGACGCTGTAAGCACTGTCACCATGCTGGGTGTTTCCTACCTCAAGACAGCTATACTTATACTTGCCGCTACAGACCGCGACCTCGAGAGTACAAGAGTTGCAGGAGTTGTAAGAACAGCCCTAAGAACAGCAATTAAACAACGCTATAGAAAGTTTTGGTCCCTATAGAATCAGAAGTCCAGTAGAAGCAAGTTTCTGTGCATCCCGAGTCCGTGGAATGGAACTGGATCACTCGCGCAAAACACAAAGAAATAAGTCAAGGCTTGCCCAGGGCGCGCGATGTTGGCGAAATAACCGGATTACCGGGGCGGCTGTCGCGGATTCGTCATCCCAAAGTGCTATTCGGGATCGGAACACCTGACTGGACCGCATCCGAGTCCGACTGCACGGCATCCCGCATCGAGAGCTGTGCTCGCAGAGTCTTGCCTCCGAGCCATTCTCAATCTCAGCAGAACCCAGCAGTGGGTGCAAGCAAGGTCTCACCTCGGCCACAAGTGCAAGCAGCACTAAGCAGGTGGTTTTGGTGGTGCCCTGAGGTAGGCACCCACGGTACTCGCTGCAGTTGCAGGTCGGGTGGTTTGAAGGATGTTCCCTGCAAGCTTGAAGAACGGTGGCTGGCAACAGCTGCCCGCAACAACAAGCATCCGGGAAAATGCGACTTGGTCTTCAGTCACAGCTACCAAAGCGGGGGGGCGGGGGTGACGGTAACAAACTCTTGCTCACAGTCGTCTCTGCCGATACAGATTCAGCAGCTTTTCGACTGCTTTTCGCAGGGTCGCGAGCTGACGCGAAAACTAGGAAGTTCATTCGGAAAATGCAGGATGCAGCTTCGGGAGCAAGGCCATTCTGGGCAATTGGATTGCCAAAAGCCTCGGGCCCTCTAGGTATGACTTGGACGTATCACTGGTCTGAGAGGCTCGACGAGCAGAGCGTCTCGAGCAGCTGAGGGAATTGCTTTCCCAGAAAGTTCCTTAATGGCAGTTCAGACGACGTCCTGCAAACTGCAAGCTTGTTCTGGTTTCATTGTTGCCACCCTGCCGAGGGCTCGAACGACTGTGCTGTTGTTCCTTACAGGCAATTCCGCAACTGAATGAAGACATGGCCACCCTCTTCACGGCTTCCAACAGCCCCGACACATCCCGAAACCGCTTCCCTGCGATGCAGCTCGCCCAGAGCTCCTCCTGAAATCATGCCCTCTGCTCCCCCACGCTCCCCGCTTCTCGGCCACGCGTGCCTCGTCACTCTCCCTCCAAATCATTCTGCATGCCATCAGTTATCAGAATCATCTTCCAATAAGAGCACCGGCGCTCGGGCTGGCCGAATCCAAGAACGCAGACACTCCGCTCACATCGGTGGCTTCATTGCGCGAAGAGATCAAGTCGATGTTGCTCTCGCTGTGATCCTACGACTTATACCGTGCAGTTTCCGTGAGGACGGGCGTGTTCCCGTCCCCAGCACGCGCTTCGTCCCCCGCAACAGCGACATGTTCGCTGATGGCACCAGTGCAGTTCCAAATCATGCGGCAGGAAACCGAACGGCAGTTGTGCTAATAGCGTGATCTAGCGTGTGAGTTGTGCTAGCGTGTGATCTTTGTTTGGCAGCTCTCCCCCACCCCTGGCCTTCAAAGATCGCAATGCCGACAGCATACTCTCCGTCTCGCATCGGTCTGGCCTGCGGTGCTCGACTGAACCCCTCCCCTTTGTCTTGTCGTGACTCCGAGGGCGGGTCTCCAGGCTTGGGAGCCAAGCCGCATCGGACTGGATGCAAATCAAAAGCAAACAACAGAAGAGAAGTGGTCACAACAGCTGCCTGGCCTGGCCAATGCAGCTCTGCCCCAACGGCAGCAACCTGGCAAAACGCTTCATCGACCATCACTCCGTCCATTGAAACGGCGTTCCTCCATTGACGAAGGATGACTCTCCCAACATGGAGGGAAGCAAAGGGACGCAAGACGCCCTGCATCGGCGTGTAACTCCAGATCCTTATGTCCGCAGTTTGTCGAAGGGAGACCAAGCCTTGTATAATCCTTACAACCTGCATCCATATATATCCATATCACCCATCAACATTCGACTAACTTTGCATGCGCCACCACACGATGCTCTTTGCTCGCCATCGGTAGCCCTCCTGCATCAAAACTTAAAGATCGCTAAAGATCTGACAAACTTGGCAGGGATCACAAAGGCCGCGGACCTCGGCAACATTCGAAGCTTGAGCCGAGGCCAAAGTGAGACTCACACAAGCCCTTTAGGGTTGCACCGATCTCCAGGTAGACAGTGCAGGATAGTTCGGCCAGCGATCTCATCTGAGCCGAGGGTCATGTTGGAAAAAGAAGAAGCTTGCGTGCCCACAGATTATTCTTTGATCTGCCTGAGGCCTTGGCCGCAAGGCCAAATTGTACAGGTCTCGCTGTGTCGTGACCTTGTTCTGACAGGAAACAGGCTTGGTCGTCAGGAGTCCGGAGTGCTCCAGTGAACGTGTTTGCAAATGGTCAGTGAAGCAATTGTGCACCGCGTTCGCAGCCTATGGTGCTAGGCTTTGGCTCTCTGTGCTTGTCGTCAGCTGCGACTCAGTGTGCATGAGGTCTATGTCGAGGTCAGCACTCAACCAATAATCTGGCTTCGTCATTTCAAGAGTTTCCCGTGCTCCACTTAGGCAGGAGACCTGGGAAAATGAAAGCGTAAGCCATGCAAGCGCGACAGCTGTTTGGACACTTGCACTGGAAGGTAAGACAAGTGCGAACATTACGCCTTCTGCTGGGCAGGAGAAGGCGCAGGTCTGTCAATGGGTGCAATGGTGCTGTAACGTAAATCTCAGTGGTCACACTCGCCTGGAGCTCCCTTTCCAGTCCTGACAGTGCAGCAAAACTGTGATGGAAGCACGCTTCTCTGTGACAGTAAGACCATCCTGGCAAGACAGGCGCCAACAGCTCCGAGTGCATTGCATGGAGCCTGCAGTGCTTACAACAGCTACGATCTCAGGCAAGCCGGGAGCCGGGAGCTGGGTCTCGGGGCGTCCTTTCTTTTGCTGTTCTTGGGACACCGAGCTACAGCCTTGCAGCCTTACAGCCTCTCACTCTCTCTCCCCACCAGGCTGGAGGCCCAGGGTCGTCCGACCTTGAACTCTCAAACTCTCTCTTTCTCCCTACCACCCTCTCTCTCGGCACCGTTGCGGCAGGAGCTTTCAGTAGAATACGCGTTCCTCTTCTGGGCTCACGCCGGAACTATGCTTTGAGAAGATGGCAGCAGCTCAGACCTTGCGTGATGTCCCTGGTGATTCAAGAACGCTTCCAGCCTTGCATTCTTCCGCACCCGTCAAGGGAAATCACCGCTTTAGGGCCGAGGTTGTCTGAATCCGATGCGCTTCGGTACTTGGACTTCCGTTGCTCACTTGCTTGTCATGTCACCCACGAAACACGACCACCAAAAGACTTAATTCTCTGTGGAGCGCTTCAGTCGCTTCTCGTCTGACCGCCGTCGGATCCAATCGGTGGCTTGCTTGTCTCTCGCAAGCTTGTCGTTGAAGATGTTGAAGCATATCCTAGCACGCTTCTGGTGTCCGCCAGCCCTTTTCATTCTGCCCCATACCTGCCGCATTTGCAGTAAAGTGTGTGGCCGCTTACCTTTTCCTGCAAGGTTCTGCGACACCAGCGGCTCAGCCAAAACTGCTCACCCTCTTCTCTGGCGCTCTCTGCTTTCAGCCAGGCCGCCAAAATCATCAAACCGTGCGCCTGTCCCTTATATCCCGATTCGGCAATGCAAGGGCGGGCTCGTTTCTCATTTTCCGGGTGGTTATACTCTTCGTCACTCTCGTGCACGTCGGAGCGAATCTGGAGCGGGTCAGGAACAGCTAAGAAGGGAGGCGAGGCCCTGTTGTGGACCCCACACCCTGACCGGCACTACGCCATCGCCATCAGACACAGGGCGTTCCCGACAGCGTATCTCCGAACCGACAATTGTTGACGCAGCACTGATTCATAATACTCATCATCAACATCTTCGAAGCAACACATGACTGATCACCGCTGCGATCTCTTGCACTCCGAAACCACAATGCATGCCTCCCTCTTCACTTAACTATTGCTGCTCTGTGAGGTCTGCCTGAGATGCAAGGCCTTTTTATGCAGCGCATGCAGCAGTCGATCGTTTTCACGTCGTCTTTGGATTGATCGCTCTTGGAACTCAGCGCTGCGCTAAGCCCGGCAGTTGGAAAACAACGCGTAGCAAAGCGGAGTGGCTCGACTGTTGCAGTTTTCATAGAACCGGATCCAAATCCCGAATGGTTGAAGAGACTACAGATGCAGCATACGTGTCAGAGGAATACAATGCAACCAAGTAGACACTATTCATTGTACCCAAAAGCTGCAACAGTTCAAGCCTGACCAGTGGCCAGTGGGGCACATCTGGAACTAACATCACTTCAAGCAACACTTGCTTCGGCATTGCATAGGTCCGACAGGCTTCTCAAACTTTGCTTTGTTTTTTGAGCTGTGACGCAGCGCACTGGGCGGATGGAATTCCGAATTCCGGGCAGGTCTTGCGTAGTGACGACTGCTTGAAGCCTGCACGGCTGCTATGCAGGAACGTGTAATTGGAAAGGCGTCTTCCACTTATTTCCGTGGCACGCGGAAACCTCTCGCAACCGAGAGGTTTGAGGTGGAGTGCCGACTAATTTTGTGATCGGCAGCTGCTGGCTATCATTGGAAATCCCTAAATAACTAAATTAGGATTAAAATAGGATTGAATTTGAAAAAAATTAGGTTCTGGAATTAGGAAAAAAAAGGGATCGGAAATGTATCAACAAATGAATTAGGAAACAAAAGGACCGATAGAAACTGAATCAAGCAAGGGCCTGGACCTGGAGCTAAACGCCTCGGGTTTGCGGAGCTGAAAACACATCTCAGCGCCTGTGCTGGGTGCGTTTAAACAAAATTGGGGCCGGAGTAAGGTATCCTTCCGTGAACCGTCGAGTCGTCACAAGGATCATCCTAAAATGTAGGGCCCATGTACTGTGATACTGGTAATTAAGAGCAACAATATGCCAAATAGGCTATCGGGCTGGCCGGGGCGAGGCGCGGGCGGGGAGCGCCGAAACTGGGACAGCTGGGGCTGCAAGGCCTTTGTGGGAAGGGTCCTATTTTTTTCCTATTCCCTGGACAAGCATGGGCCAGATTCCTACTTTGGGATCCTATTTTATTCCTAATTTATTCCTATTTTTTTCCTATTTTCCTGTAAAATTAGGAAAAAATAGGAATAAAATAGGATCCAAAAATAGGAAAAGATTAGAGCCGCGCAGCGAGAACCATTTCGAAATAGGAAAAAAACAGGTCCTGCGGAATGGGGTCGGGACCGGACCAGCACCCCGGGGCCAGGGCCAGGCGTGGAGGGGTCGGGGGTCCTGTCGGGACTGGGGCCGGGCCAGGGCCAGGCGCGGAGAGCTGGCGCGGAGGGGAAGGTCCGGAGGAGGGCAGCCAGGCTAGAGCCTGGGACTGGGACGGACTACTTACTACTTGGTTTTGTTTGGCTGAAACTAAACTAGCTGACTAGCTCCCGTATTCATTAAGGAAACCGAATCCAAGTCCTCCCCTACTTCTTAACCTGAATTCAGAACCGAGGCTAACTCCGATCCTAATTTTTTTGTAAATCAAAACCGAACCCCATTCCTATCCTAGTTTTTTCCTAATTTCAGAACCAATTTTTTTCATTTTTCATCCTAATTTTAATTGTATAACCAAATCCCAATGATAGCCAGAGCTGCCGATCACAAGACTAATTGGGAACTTGGCACGAACTTGCATGCATTGCCTCTGTTGTGGCAGAAGCAGTGTCAGCTGTGGAACGGCGAATGCCTGATGATCGGAACCTGAGAGTTCGCGACATGAAACATCTTGTCTGACTCGATTCGACGGAATAGAGCAGGAGCACCCAGCCTTCGTAGTCACCTCAATGAAGGCAAAAGCGACGGCAGCGAGCATTGCCAACCGTCCGTTCTTCAGCTCTGCTTCTGCTGTCCATCGTCTACCTTGCGGCAGCCAGCAAGCCATCGGCAACTCAAAATCCTGGTGCAGGCAATTCAGAGGAGCAGACTTTCACAAAGGCTTGCCTATCGCATCGCCCATTCTCTTGTTCAGCCGTTCGAGTATCTTAAGCCTTAAGTGTTGGTGATGGACTTGCCTCTATGGAGCGAAGCAGCTGTGAAACTGACAACGGCAACCGCCCAGTGCGGTGCTGAAGGGTAAGTTAAAATGTGCCAGACTGCAGAAGAAAATCACTTGTATGAACTGATGCTGATGCTTTGCATGGTTTTTCTGAGTGTAAGAGCTGCCTCTAGCTTCAAAACCTTCCTGAAGCTGATGTTCGCTGTCCTTCAAGCTCAAGGGATCGAAGCTGTAGAAGCCGGGAGGGCTCTCAGGCGCTTTGGAGAGCTCCATGATCGCCACAGCCAGCGAGATGGTGCCGAGGACCAAGCCCACCGGAGCCTCTGCTGCGCCTGCGAAGCCGAAGCCACCCTACCCGGCGTCCCCACGAGCTGAACCGACGAAACCGAGCCTGAGAGATCCAGGTGGGGTAGCTTGAGAGCCGAGTGGTCGAGCTCCGAGAGAGGCCAGAGCACAGTGGCCAGCATGGCAACCCGCGCATGCTTGAGCTCGGCTTCTTGCATCCATTTAAACGTGGCCAAATCCTCAGTGTCGCGCACTATGTGCTGCGCAGGCTATCCACGTCCCGTCTGCAGGCCGATGGCTGAGCCAAAGGCCTTCGCAAGGCAGAACGGGTCAAACCCGGCGTCGCCGGGCACATTGACGATGAATTCCCTGTATCTCGGTGGATCTAGGAACCTGGGTTCTGAAGGCATGGAGGCAGCAACTGCAAGACTCTGGAAACTCTGCTGCCCTGCTGTTCAAGAGGCGGGAGTGCTGCAGGCTGGTCCATGGCTGCGCATGCCTCTGCAGATGCATGCAGTGATGCACTTGCAGTGTGTCATCGGAGGATCTACCAGAGCCTAATTCAATAGCACGAATGCGGCATCCAGGGGACAGCACATAGCTGGCTTTGCCTTAGGAGCCTTTGCTTGGCTGGAATGCTGAATGATTGGGTCTTGCTCAACCGAGGGATCTGTACCTTTCCCGCAAACCTGCTAGTGACTTCTAATTGCCTTCTAATCACAGCTCCTCCAGTTCATGATTCATCGCTCGTGTCACTTTGTTCGTACTTGGCCCGTCTCCTTTCTGTGTTCCCGGACGCGCATTTTTGGAGGGTCCCGTTGCTTGCGTGGAACCACTTGGCAGCCGAGAAAATAACCGAGAAGACCCTCCCAGAGGGGGCATTGGAGGCCACTGCACACCCCATTTCTTGCCGTCGCGCTCTACTGGTAGACGTCTTGGATACAGTGCAGATCGGGAGGAGAATCGTGCAGTCCCGCAGCTAACAGAGTCTGAGAAGTTCTATAAGCCCCTCTAAGATCTTCCTGGAACCTCCCTGGCGCCCTCAATATCGCAGCCCCCCGATCCCCCGGGCCCGCAGCTGGGCGGGCAATGTAGCAGACTATCGTCTAACTATGTCTAAACTGTCGTGCTGTCGTGCTTGCATACGTCGCAACTGTATCTGGAAGGCACAAAGCCTCCGTTGACCTTTGCTGAAGTGCGGTTAGACCGAGCACCCGCCTCCAGCAGCTGCCGCACAGACTCGTCTGAGAGAGTGTCCAAGCCCAAGCTTTCTGTGGTCACATCCTGAGACTCCTCAAGAGGCTTGGTGGTCGTGGTGCGTGTCTAGGTCTTGGGCGGCATCACAACCTGGGGGTTCGTTTGGCCTTACTTTTTGTGGCCTGAGGCCTTTTGAGCATATGACCGTGAAAAAGTGGTCTGGCTATATAAAGGCCACATGACCGTGAAATGGCCGTGAAAAGACGAATCGTGAAATTCACGCCCCCACCAATGAAATTCACGGCCCCGTGTGGCTTATATGTCATGTGAACCTTTGTTGTCTGTGAAAAATATCGCTTCGCAGCAAAAAAAAATCAAAACCCTAATTTCACGCCCTAATGTCCTTAAATCCTGAAAGCAACACATTCAAGGCTGGAATTTAGCGCCGAGCCCCAGCACCTCATGTTCGTAAGAACTCTTCGGTTTTCTAATAGGGCAAAAGGTGTATGAGTTGATGGTGTTGTATTTTGCAATATCACTGCCTCGTCGTAGATAGCCCTTTATCGAGGTGACCGAGATTGTTTGAAGCACAATTCTGTTATAGTTTTGAAATCATCCCCCCGCTTCCCATCGATAGTTAATCTTAGGGTTCAGTCAGTAGACTATAAGCCCGAGTACCCATCTTTCTCAGCCACTGAGATTTCAGTATTATCTAGTATATGAACGAAGTAACATGTATGTAGAATATGTAGTATATAGTGGGTTGTAACTCCAAACCCTATATATACCCCTACGTAGGTACCCTTAGAGCTTGGGTGGGGAACCTTCACATGTTTCAGGCATTGTGCACAAAGCTTTGAAGCCGTAAGGTCATTAATCTTAAGCCCGTGTTGCAATGCGGTCTCGTCCTAGCTAGCTGGGAAGCAAAAAGCCTCCGAATTATCGAACCAGGCCTGCATACTGATCCCTGCTATATATATATAGATATATACACACATATTATATGTACACACACTCGTACCCGGCCCAAAGCCACATCGACTTAATGCAACGTATCACAATCCCTTGCCGAAGGTATTGATCAACCGTCGCAGCTCGTGCTAACCTTGAGCTTAGTCCCTAAATCTCCTTGGCTACATATACAGCACATATACCTATAGTGCCACTTAAATATATACAGAGAGCGAGACCTAGTATGTATGTAGCCTAGCTAATTAAGCCGTCGGTTGACCTTCACAATTCTTTGGCCTTGGCGCTGTTAGTTCTTCTGAGCCTCTATATAACCCTTCGCCACGAGCATTGGAACCCTGATCCAATTAAGTCGCAGGAGTAGTATACGCATATGAGCGAATGATTATCTAGCTATAAAATTGTGGTATTGGATGTAGCTACGACCAGATTATATCCACATATATATATTTATATACATATATATATATATATATATACGTGGATACAATCTGGTCGTAGCTACATACAATACCACAAGTAAATGAGGGTTGCAAGGATGTCTTTGTGCAGTACCGGCCCCGTGCTCTTATTGATCAGGCTTCTTTGGTGTTAAGGTTGGGCCCTGGAGCAGGCATATCTTACAACTTAATTAAGATAAGGGGATATTGTGTAATCACAACCAAATAACCGTTATCTTTCCACGGGCTTAGGGTTCAACGTGATACCAGGAGGTTATGGATGGCCTCAATTGAGGCCTTAGCCTTATAGGAGTTTCGCGGGTGGTTTACTATATGTGTATCTCTATATATGCATATAAATATAGAGGTGAAGGTAGATCTCGGTCGTCTCGGTGTCGATGGCCCTCCTCGTGCAGATTTACGTGTTGGCGAGGCGCTGCTGGGAAGGGGTAAACCATTAGAATCATTAGGACAGTATATAACAAACAGACCCAAAACCTGAAAGAGAGCTGAAAGCTTCAAAAACCGCAGCCAACATACGATTCTTTTCCCTAAAAATTTATTTCCAAAGCCCCAATCCCAAACCCGAAGACCCAATTCGATGGGGTCCAGCTATATAGGGGTCCTTGTCTTGTAGTGAGGACGCAGAGCTCGTATATAGTGGCTGGTGCCAAATACGCTTGCTAGTGTCGAAAATGTCACCACCGTTTAGGCTACCACACAACTGTTTACATTGAATTACTAATTACTGGAACGGATCCTGCTAAACCAATGTTATTACTGCAGGGCCACAAAGATTGTCAAATGGAGATGCGGTGTGGGTTTCATCCTACATATAGTCATCATGTTATCAAGGGCGAGTTAGGCCGAGAACTGGCAGTTTGCTTCCAGCAAGGGCTCCCTCTAATTACGTTTGGGCTGGCTGTGACAAAGCAAGGGCCAAGGGCTCATATTGAAGCATTATAATGTGGCCTCGATACCAGTTGTGTTAACTTAAGGCTTCATTGGATCTGTTGGCCCTGTATACGTGCCACTGTGCTTTATCCCAAGTACCATAAACCCATGGCCTGCAGCTGGTTCTTCGAGCCACGACCATCGACGTGGAGATCGCTGGAGATGGTGCGCCTGGGATTTGAGGGTTGTATATTGTAGCTTTAAGTTCTTGGTTGAGGCTTTCTTGAGCACTGACAGTGTTAAGCGTGAAGTCATGCATGTACATATTGTGTGCAAGCCCATTCCTGTGGCAGGTACGACTTTGGGATGTGCGGCACGGCTACGTCTCATCTTCAACAGGTGCTACCCATCCCAGCCGGCCTTTACTAGTACTGCCACGGCAGGGTTTCGTTTGGGGTGATGGAACGCTGAGCTTCAATAATTCTACATGATGTTGGGAACCATTATAGGGATACACAATCTCCGGGTTCCTAGGAGGTTTCATGACGTGGTTTTTGAATTTGTGCTGCTGGCATGCACTGCATGATCGACTCGATATCGAGACCTCTGTGCATCCAGTGCAATTTTGAGGGGCTCTGGTGTGTGCCATGAACCATATAGTGTATTTCCTACGTAGCTTTCGCAGCAATTTAAGGTTGCTTAGCCCAGTCGACGATCTTCGATCTGCAGCAACTCAGCTTCCTTGTACACAACAAGAACCATGAAATCTGAAGTCCAAATATAGCCCTTTTGCAGCAATGCCGCCAGCTGTGGATCAGTCTGCAGTTGCTTCCTTGGTAGAAAGCTACAAGCGGCAGCCGATCTTAAAGCAGGCTTCTTCGGTTGCAAAGCTTAGGACTTCCTGAGTTTCGGTGCATGTTGCAGAGGGGTCCTAGTGCTTGCAAACCACATTGTGTTGGTGAGGTGGGCATGAGTTTCGTTACAGATCACTCCGGTCGACTCTTTACAGCTGGCAAGAAGAAGTGTTCCTTAAAGGATCTTGCTCGCAACGACGATGCTACCTGGAAGCAAGCTCGGGCAAAGTCAGTACATCTTACATAATAGCCACGAACTTGCTGTATTCAGTGAGGTAATCTTTGCCACAATGGAGGGTCATTCGAAGCCCAGACAGAGTGCCCATCTGCTAGCGGCTGCAATCCTTGGCTTCTACGACTCAGAGAAGCTTTTTCCACCAGGGCTGAGGTCGGATATGGAATGTGTGCAGCAGTGGTCTCTTCGCATGGGGGATGCCATCAAGAAGATGGTACTTGGGTCTGCAAGACCTCTAGCGCTTCAGTATATTGGTGCTAAACCATGCAATTATTTGCATTGCTAGGTCTAACTGTATATCTTGTTAATTAACGGAAAAACCTCCAAGGTCGGACGTATGAGGCGTATCATGAAGAAAGCGAAGACCAGTAAACTCAAGCGTCTGAACCCTCTTCGAGCCCGAATAGATGCTCTGGGCCTGCCGGGTCTTGAGACTCGGCCAACAATGTTACTGTCACCTTATAAGCCTGAAAAATCTATCCAAAATCAAAACCACAACCCGTCCGGAACCCTTTTAAACCCTTGCTCGAACCGCAACACTCAGCCCAGGAGCCAAAGGCCACATCGCCAGCCGACGACGAGTCAGAGGATGATTCGGTGGATGGCCACGGAGATTGCAGCGACCTGTCTGTTTTGGGGTCTTCGAGTGCTGCTGCCTCTTCTTCAGGTAGTGCGGTGCCCTCGACTAGGACGGATAGCTTGCTCAGTCGGCTGGCTTCACAGCTTCACAAATGCAAGCTCAGTCAGGGTGATGCATCCACGAAAGCGCCGAGCTCCCCAGGATCCGGTCTAAGTGTGAGGTCAATTCTTTCTCGAGTCCAGAAGAACAAGATGCAGGAATCACCAACCTATGTGCCAGATGTTTTTGCTGGGAATGGCAAGAATTCGGGCAAGGTGGTCACCGACCTTCCTGATTATGCTCCTTAGATTGCAACTTGTATACAAGCTAGCTCTAGCCGATTCTAGCCAGCTACTTAACATATGTACTGCATACTCTGTAATGACAACTAGCCGTGCTTGGATCCTCGACCCAGGTTTTTGAAAGCTTCTGCTCAAACCAACAAAGCGATCAGTCCTCAACCCCAATTAAGGCTAGGATAAAGTGTAAACAGCAACACATCAACAAACCTCCCTAGAATAACTCGTGCTTCCTGTCAGTTGTAGCATTACTAAATAAGGGTGCTTCCAGTCCAGACCGAAGCCGCTGGCCACCAGGAACCCTCAACCCGAAAGGATTACCACCGAATATTGGCAGTACATACTCTGCATAGAGAGGCTCCTAGGTGCTCGTATGCTGCTAGCATATTAGCCACAACGGGTTATTCGACGGGTCTTTCCAATTTCGGTATTGTGCTGGAGTATGCTAAACGAAATAGACCGAGGTTCAGCATGGGCTTCTGAAGCTGCGATCCGAAAGAGCACCTGAACCGGTTGCTGTAAGTGAGCAGTACCTCGCCGCATATGCGAACGACGACGATGATCAGGATGATGATGGTGATGTGGAGGCATCGCCAAGTGGTGGTGGGGCCAAGAAGGCTGATGTTCCCAGATCTGGGGTCTTGACTAGCTTCATGCATAAGAGGGTTCCGGAAGCTGACAAGGGTCCTGCAGTTCCTACCAAGCCTGCCGGCAAGAAGGAATTGAAGAAGCGCAGGGTGAATCAGGACGGCCCAGCGGCCCCTGCCAATTACACCCCGCACCTGTACGCTGAGCGACGTGTGCACTTCATCCAGCAGGCCAGGGCAGATGGTATGAGCCTTAGGCAGGCCCAGGAGGCTTGGAATGATTCCGATGCGAAGGCGGCTATGCTTGCAAGTGTGTCGTTGCCGGAGCTCAAGCGCCGGCGATTTGTTGATAAGACATGCACAATCAATCCTTTTATTGCTCGAGCTGGTGGCTAGATGTCGAATACACAATCGGCCCAGCTTCATAATTTGGATTCGACCCGCTGCTGTGAAATTCACAATTAGGCTTGCGTCTGTCGAATTGATTTCATTCGCTGAGCGCATGCACACAGGACGCCGAATCGATCCCAAAACGATCCTTTGTACTGTGCTCCTCAAACATCGGTTGCACATCATTACATGATGCAGCCCTGCATGTGTCAGCAACAAGTATGCATGCTGTTGGTTAGGCTGTGCTCGAGATCGAAGGCAGGCAGGCAGCTTAGGGGCCTTTGGGTTTCGACGGGATGGCGGTGGCTGAGATGCTGGCAGCAGAAGCCCCTCCCATTTTGATACTTCTGGTCTTGCTGCTCACGTTCAATTCCTGTATCAATCTGAAGCAGGACTGGAAAGTCAAACACATTGCAAACACTCGATTGCTAAAGGAATGTAAAATCTTAAACCCCGATCCTAAATCTAGCTTCCTAGATAGACTTTAGATCTATGTGATTAATGACCCATACTCTTACCTATGGAACATTCGGGCCCAGCTAGGACCGAGAGTTTCTGGAACTCTTTGCGGGTCAGATGGCCGTCACAAAAGCCCTCCGAGCAGTCCCTCGGCCGGTGTGTATACGGAACCCGAAGGATGCAGACATATCCTGAACCATTATCCTTTTTCCGAGGCACGCCTTCGTGGAGTCGCCGTGGACCTTCAGCTGGACCCGAGGACGATGGATATCCTGCAGCCAGCAGGATTCTGGTGTCTTGCCAATGCTACGGATTGCTTGGTGTCTAAATAGGGATTAACAACTGTGTGCAATCTAAGTCTGGCCATGGTGGAAATCCTACGACTGCGACCCGGGTCACTGGTGGTGATAGCTCTAGATTGCCGATCGTTTTCCTCAATGTGGCTACCTTGGCATGCCTGGACCTGGCTGCGAAACTGTTTCTAGCTGTGCTGTGTATGTACATTATATAGGTACCAGGGCACCGTATCAGTGATTGCACCAGGTCAAGATGGAGCTCTGGGCGCTCCCTCATCCGACTCTGGGGGTACAAGGACCGGGAGTTTGTGGCTTCGGGTAACAAGCTATCTTCCAGGGTGGCCCTCTTGCTCTACCTGTGCCAATGGCGAAACGTTCGGTGGCTGCTCGAGCAACCAGATGGGTCCATGCTTCCCCATCTGCCCCGCTTTCAACAGTTCTGGCGAAAGTATGATGTGCTCGGGCTTTTCTCTTATGTCTCATTCTGTTGATCCAGTGAATATGTTACCAGATTCTAGAGGTGGTCGTAGTCTACAAAGTTGAAAACAGCTAGCTAAGGTCTACCATTCTTACTTTTGGATGGGGAAGTTCAATGGGCCAACGCCCAAGCGCCACCGCATCTGGTCAAACTGCTTCGATCTGGTCGATGGAATACAAAAGAGAGCAGGCCACATGCTTAAATCGGAGATGAAGCGACTGACCAAGCGGCTTGTGCACAGATATGATGATAAGTTGGGCACGAGAAGGTTTACAGGGAAACGAAAGGAACTTCGGGACAGCCAGATCCTTGGCTGATCCCATATCCAAGTATATAGACTCGAATCCTCTTGCAGCCCTTAATTAAGGCACTGTCCTTCTTGTAGCCGAGGACGTACACGGTGGAGTTCGGCAATTTCTTGGCTGGGTTGTTTCGACGGCTTCAAGAGGCCACCCGAGATTTGTTTTACAGCTTTAAACCTCCCACCCTACACCCGGAACCCTACGTCCCACGCCGATGTCCCTTGCCCCCAAAATTCCCGCAGTCCTTATGTCCCTTGCTTCCATAAAAAGAAAAACCCTAAACCCTGTAAATCCATATGAGCCACAAACTCAAAACCTCACTCAACCCTGAACCTAATGGATCTAAGAGCCCTAAACCGAATAATTATGCACCTTAGGGTTGCTACTATATAGTAGAAGGCCGTCACTTTGATCTCCAGTATAGCTGATGTGGATCGAAGAAGCACACTCACGTACACCCACCCGCCCCCAAACGCAGGGCTTCGGAATTGAATGCCCCAAGCCTTTTCGAACAGCTACCGATCTTTGGCAGGCACCCCTGCAGACCTCGACAACTTCGAAAACCGCCCCGACCCTGGATGATCGGTTGACTGACTTGGAGATGTTCGAGCACTACTGTCTGGACTTCGAGTCGGGTGAGTGCAAACTTGCTGGGGATTCGTGGCCAGATGCCACTCTACTGGACTCGGTTTCGTGAAGTGCGGGTGGGTTCTATATTACTATATATCAGATCCAGTAGATCTTAGGTCCTAACTAGTATATAGTTATAGAGCCTGGATACGATCTCGAGTGTGTACTAATATTAGGCTAGCAGTGCAATTACGACAAAAACGCTTGTTCTATTCCGGGGTCCAATATTTGGGGTTGTAAGTCGATATACACATATACCAGGCTGTCGAGAATATCTGCCCCAACGTGCTGTAAGGCAACCGAAAGCCCCAGCACGAAAAAGATGGATGTGATGTGAAGTGTGCCAGTTACATTACTCGAGAGCTGAGACATAGCTTGTGAAATGAAAGAGTCGTATTGAACCACTAGATGTATGTATGCCACCAAGCACCAGAGCCACAAAGGCCCCAAGCCCAAACGATCTCAACCATAATATATCTCGTAACCTACACTGAACCCTAAAGTGAGCCCTAGACTAAACCTTATAAATGAAACCCCAAACTAAGCCCCAAACTAATCCCTAAATCTATACTAAACACGCAAACCTAAACTAAACCCTAGACCAAAAGCCCCGGGGCCAGCCAGTATTGCAGCCGAGGCAGATCTGATGCCTGTGATCCAGTACTTGAACTCGAAGCACTGCATGGCTCCTGGTCAATGGGACACTCGTGCTGCTAACGTTAAGGTTGATGATTTCAATAGTTTAAAGACCATAAAGTACAAACCCTGGCCCGTGAATCCTAGGATGGCGTGTTGAAGAAGATGGGCCTCTTGTGAGACTTGGTTGGCCCTTTCGATCGTGTATAGCCGTGAAATTAAGCGTTGTACCTTACAGCGCACTACGCGTGAAAAACCGAGACCCGGACGTGAGAGAACGTGTCTTGGCCACAGAAAAACGGGAATCACGTGAATCACGAATTGCAGTGTGAATGATTGTGTAGCACGTGAATTCACGAAGTTCGGTGCACACACAACTGTGAAATCACGCTTGACCTTATGCAGCACATTTCAGCTAGTGCCTGGATCTTTAACTGCTCTACAAGCGCCATGGGTAAGAAAGGCGGTGCCAAGAAGCTCACCCCCGAGCAGCAGGCCCAGTACGAAGATGTTATGAAAAGCTTGCAAGCAAAACACAAGGTACTGGAACCAGTTGCAGAGGAGCCGAAGGCAAAACGTGCACGCAAAGCTGAGGCAGAGGAGAAGCAAGCCCCAGGAACCAAGGAGCCCCCCAGCAAAGCAACAGACAAGCCCGACGCGCCCAACAAAAAGAAGGCACCCAAAGCGAAGGCCAAGCAAAGCAAGGCAGCCGAGGACCCCAAGGATCCGGAGGAGCCCGAGGAGCCCGAGGAAAAGGAGCCCCCCAGCAAAAGCAGCAAGAGGGCGGCCCCAAAGACCACGGCAAAGGGGAAAGCGAAAGCCAGGGCAGCAAGCACAGCAAAGGACGAGGAGCAGGAGGACCTTGAGGAGTTTTGGGATGACGAGCTCGGGGTCAATGTTTCCTGGGCCAACTTTGGCCCCGTCTGGAAGAAGCTGAAAGCTGCTCAGCCCCACGAAACCCCAGATGGTCTGATTGAAGGTCTCACTGAAGCTCTTGGCGCCTGTCCTGAACAGCTTCGGCCGATGGTGGACGAGCAAGCCAAAGCCTTGGCTGAGGAGAACTTGAAGGAGACCCCCAACAAGACCCCGAAGGAGGCCCCGAAGGAGACCCCGAAGGAGACCCCGAAGGAGACCCCGAAGGAGACCCCGAAGGAGACCCCGAAAGAGACCCCCAAGGAAACCCTCAAGGAGACCCAGAAGGATTCCCATGAAGAGGAGGAGGAGGATGATGAGGAGGAGGGCCCATTGGACCTTCGAGCCGACGAGTGTGATGAAGAGGACGATGATCAGGAGGAGGAGGCAGAGGAGGAGGATGGAGATGAGGAGATTCCCGAAACCTTGAAGGATGACCCTGTGCCCAAAACGGCCCCTGGAAGTAAAACCACGGCCCCCAAAGAAGAGGCGCCCGTGTTGACACGTTCTCTGACGGATGCAACGACTTTGGTTCTGGGTGAGGCCAGGTACAGTGAATGTGTACGTTTCAGTCAAATGATCCTTACATGAACCCAAGCCGTGCATATAGGAGCCTCGCAAAAAAAGCTTGTGGAAAAGCTTCGATGATGAAGTGACCCCGGACAAGAAGCCCTCGATCCTGCGGCAAGACTCCTTGAAGTCCCTTGCTTAACATCTAGATCGAGTACACTTAGCCCTTGTGTTATTACGCTTCTCCTTGGAAATTTAACTAAGGTCCTGTAAAACTTTGGTGGAGGGCCTCGCTCAGGCTGATGCGCAGGCATATTTGGGGCGAGCCGCTACAGCACCCAACCCGAAAGCGCTTGAGACCGAGTCGGAGTTGTACAATGGGTCCCCTAAGCTGGCCATTAAGTGTGATTGGATGTGTACTGGTTGATTCTGAATCTGTTATATAACTATATAAATGCCATATATATATATATATATGTGTGTACACATGCATGTGTGTATGTAAGTATGTATTTTTGTATGTATGTACGCATGTACCTATGCTACATATACAAACACTACCCTGGTACTGGTGTGCACGTGTAGCTGTAGGTGTGTACCCTATATATACGTGTGTATATTTATATTTATATTATATGTATGTACGCATCTATCCATGGGTACATACATTACCATATAGTGTGTTTCTGTACACGGGCGATCTGAGGCTGGACAGTGCATCGCAAGCTGTGTCCAAGAGCACAGCTGACAGCGAGCTGAAGGCGATGATCGCTCAGTTGCTGAAGGACAATGCAGATTTGAAGAAGCGGCTCGAGGAGAAGGACCGCCCTGCCAAGCCGAGCAGAAGGGTTGGGGCCGATGGCTTCGATTCGGATGATCTAGAGAGGGCCATGGAGGCCTCTCGTGCTTCCGCTGGCCTTTCCAGCTCTTCGAAAGCTGGCTCGATCGCCCCGAACCATGAGGACCTCGACGGCGAGGAGCCCATGGACGATGACGAGGAGGAGGACGCCCGCGAGGACACAGAGGAGCCCGTCAAGGAGCCCACGGAGCTGGAGAAGCCCGACAAGGCCGACGATGGACCTACGAGCACCACTCACAAGAAGGAGTACATGATGTTGACCCGCCGTATGGAGACGGCCGACCCCGTCAAGTTTCCGGAAGTGACGGCGCTTTGGAATGCCTCGCGGGCCGTGCCTTCAATGCATATATACAGTATGCACACATGGATGAAGTTTGATCGTATGTGGCCATTAATTTTTTTACTTTTCAAACGTCTCCTTTTCAGGAGAAAAGGGAGCTCTTCCGGAAGTGGCTGCTGACGGGCAAGAATCTGGAGTCCACGGAGAGCCAGCTGGTTGTCTCCAAGAGCAAGCAAAACGAGACGGTCCACCAGAAAGAGCTGCTCACGATTTCGGAAATGGTTGCGAAAGGCTTCTCGAAGAGGGGGCCCTAGTGCTAGCATGTGTTTCGTAGTGCCATCCGGCAACTTAAGTTGTATAGCTGAGGTACAAGATCGAGATGTTGGTGCGCAAGGGCAACTCCGTTGCCGATGAAGATGTGCCGGATGACCCAGAAAGCACACGCTATTGGTGCTCGACCGGGGCTGTGAACAAGCTTACGGACAAGGAGAAGCAGAAAGCCTCAATTCGTGCAAAGATCGCACCCTCTTTGGGCTTCGCGGATTCCCTGATGAGTGGAACCGATGGCCTTAAAAGGTCATTGAGCTCCAAAAGCTTGACACCTCGGGATGCGGAGGAGGCCTTGGCTTTGGTGGGCACGCTTCATGATGGAGCATCCAATGCTGGAGCTTGGCCTTATGTTTAGGTGTATGAGTGCATTTCTCAGTGTACTCTTATAACTCTCGTGTTCTTCGTTTTCTGCATCATGTGCAAATTAAATATTTGTATCTATCTATCTCCCTCTATCCATATATATCAAGTATATTGTCTATATATATATATATATATATATATATGTTTATACCTATGCATGTACGGTCTGTATGTATACATACCTACACATTTGTTATATGTGTATATATATATATATATGTATGTATGTATGTATGCACATAGAGTACATGTGTGTATGCACGTGTACATATATAAGGTGTGTGTGTGTCATACATGAGTGAACATGCACCCAAGGAAAGAACTCTGGCAAGCCGAAGGCCAAGGCCAAGAGCAAAGGGCCTAGTCAGCAGCTCCCGAAGACACCCTCAGAGCTTCAGGACGACATCCGCAACCCTGCTGATCTGACAGCTAGGGTGTTTAGTTGGGTTCGAGTTGGGCTCAGGCTTACATATAAGGGTCATTTAGCGTACATATTCCCTTATACCCCATACCACAATATGAAAAAAAGCTAAACAAGCAGCAACCAGATTCAGTTAGATTCCATTTAGCCTAATAATCCCTGGACATCCCAAATTTAGACCGATATCCTAGTCCCACTGCATCCTCTAGAAGCCCCGCAATTCCCCGAGTGCCCAGGCAAGGAGCTGAAGAAAGAGTGCAACGCGTGCAACATCGTCTTTGACCTGCCCAAGACCCTTGGCATGAGAGCCATTTTGGAGACCAAGAAGACCGCCCTCGAGGAGGCGCTTAGTGTGTGGAGCCCTGAGCTAGATAGTCCATCTGAGATCATGCGCAATGTCTGGGAATTAAAATATACTCAGGCTCGGTGGTGTGAATGACGAGGACCTCGAGGCCTATGCACAGGAATGTGCAGATCTGGATGCCAGTCTTAATTAATAGATGGGTGCAAACCCGAATTGATCGCACGTGTACACAATCTTGTATCCTGTTATAGATTGCTTTCTGTTTCAAGAAGAACATGTTCATATTATGTAAATACATACATTTGCTAATAGAAAATATATAGACATGTTTGTGTGTATAGAAAATGTGTTTGGGTTTTTTCTCGGGATGTTATCTCTCCTTAGGGTTCTTCGGGGCCGGGTGTCCTGTATGGGGCCGGGTGCAATGTCCCATCCCTAAGCTAGATCTGCTATCCCAATTGTAACCCAGAAGCCTAATCGGAACTTTCGTGGCAAGCCCTTGGGACCCTGGAACCTTAAGCTGGCGACTCTGACGACAATGTGAAACCCTTCACCTTGGAAACTAAATTTAAGCACTCCTCTAGAGAATTCCCGGCCCCTGGATACACGTAATTGGGTCCGTATGTTTCCCGAAGACACTGAACACTTTAACCCTAAACTTTGGCATCAAACCCAACCACGACAATGGACCAAGCTGGCTCGCTAATGAACTCCTTTCCTTAAGCCCCCGACAATTAACTCAGCCCTGCACCCCACCCTCCAAATTCTAGTCATCCTCCTGGCACTTAAAGAATGCCGTGTGCTGATAGCACCTGTAAAATCGACCTCTAGGAAGTGTCCAACACCCATCTAAGATACAATCCTCGCTCCTGCCTAACCCCACAGGATGTATATAACCATGTACTAGTACCTCCTACTCCCTAGCACTCGTGCCATTATAACCCCCTACAGACCAAGATCGATCATACCAGTATTCCCCGCAATCCCTTAAACCTTCCCTGATCCGAATAACAATAATAACAGCCGAGGTGGAGGACGCCAAGATGGTTCGAGTTCAGGCACGTGCAGTCGTGGCTGAGCTCCGAAAGAAGCAGTGATCGATCCGGGCTGCCAGCTGACCTGTGGATGTGATTTTGAATCGTCCAAGATGGCCCCAGCTCTTAAGATCGCATGGTTCTAGATAATAGTATTATACTTCTGGGTATATGTATATGTATGTACATATATGGCTTACACTAAGGGTCTTTGGGCCTTAGGCTTGGATGATTGCGATTCTTATGGTCAGTCTACGTACACGGGATGAACCTGTGTGCCGGGGAACCACGACGCCTGCGATTGTAAGTTCATCAGACGATGTTCCTAGAGCAATCCAGGCACTTTTGATTTCAACTCCACGTGCTAGCTGCTTAGAATGCTGGGGCATAGCATCGCCTTTGCATCGAGTGTTTGCGTGCGAGCTCGACCCTGCTGCTCTTACGTGCGATCGATCGAGTGGCTCCTGAAAAGCAACGCGAAATCTACAGTGCTTTGCCTTATACTACACTCCATAGAACCGGAATTTCCCAGCCCCATCTCCCACCGCAGGTGCTGATCATGCAGAGCAACGCCGACGACTGGATGATGCGCAACTCATCTGTCAACCTATGATCAAACCCCAACCTGACAAAAACAACTGTGAATTCGCTTGAAATGATTAAGGTTGGCTCACTCGATTGGACGTGGCTACTTGTCTGTTCGCCACGCCAGAGAAACTGCAGAAGTTTACGACAGTGAACTGATTACGCAACTCAGCTGAACCCAATATTGCTGGCCTTCAAAGTGCTCCAAGCTTTTTGTGTGAGTCGAGCAGTACCTGATGCAATTAAGGTCTGGGCGGGAAGCTGGCCTACATGAGCGGGCTGCTCGAATGCACGTCTCTTTGGATGCAGAAATCACCTGGATCGGTTTGCCCTTGAAAGCAGCCCCTGATGATCCTACTCTGACCTGGGTCGACTGGCCCTGCATTCTACCTCAGCAGATGGTGTCTGGGTTTCAATAAGTATCTTATAGCCCTAATAATATAAAGATGTTGGTATGTTTCCTATGGTACACACTCGAACCCTGACGATAAGATACGGTCTTTAACCGAGGTCCGTGCAGTGATCGATGCAGGGTATTTCGGTGAACTCGTTGGGGACGTGGCTGCTATTCCGAGCTACTGGAATCATTTCTTACAGGATTACCCTGACCATCCTGTCGCGAGTTCCGAGCACCGCAATCACACCCTCGGCCTCACCTTGTATTGTACCTTGCCTGCAATCCTTCAACCAAGCCCTGATAATTTTTAATTAGGCCCACATATATGATAATCAGACCACCATCAATATGATCATTTTCAATGCTTCATGTCAAGGCGATGAAGCAAAATGCGCCAATGCACTCTGGATGTATGTAATGTGGACATGCGACATGTCCCCTCACTTGACTAACAGTGCCGCTTCGCGAAATCTCATCGCCGTGGTACCAGCCGAGCGGTACATCTTGGATCAGACCACAGGCATTAATCTTACTTTGCAGACACTCTATTTGGAGATTGCCAAGAACTGCAACCAGCTTTCACGCCAGGGTGTCAAGATTTCAGACCCTCTAACCCATAGAACGGTTGTTCGGCTTAGTACAGCAATGTCTTGTTTTGTATAATTATTTTGGTACTATTGTGCAGCAGAATATATGTTATTGTCTTGAAGCTATCGCGGGTCGAGGTCATGGATGTGCGAGCATATGTCACTGGTTTCAGGGGAGACTGGAAAGCTCTGAAGCAGACCTTCAATTTTGTTCGGTATGCAGACCAGGATGCAGCCACTTTGTTTATAGATATGGTTCCTACATTACAATTTTTAGTTTCGTGAACTCAAACCTAAGTATAAGCCCAACTAGGATCGTACTCGAACTGACCCGCTAGACGCAAATGTAGGTATGCTGGATGTGCCTCGCGACGAAGGGAGCAGAAGACATCCAGTACTCGTACACAAACGTATCTGCAACAGCACCTTGGATATCAACCATTGGAACCGTTCCTGCATGGAGGCTTTCGCCAAGCTATACTTTGCTGGATGGGTTTCATGCTGGGTTTATCCAGGCAGACTTGCTTCATATTTGGCATTTAGGGACCGGACGGGACCTAATTGCATCAGCTTTGGTGTTCATGGTCAAGGCTGGGCTTTGTTTTGTTGGTGCGACCCAGGACATTCGGCTCGACAATGCAACAGAACAGCTGAGAACATACGCCAGAAGGAATAAGCTTACACTCAAGCTTAAAAAGCTTTCGAAGGCCAAGCTGAACTGGAAAGCAAGGTGCATGCCCGAGCTTCGTTCTGGAGGTTATGATACTTATGTTGTTGGACGATGGTTAGTGGACGATGTGCTTCCGAATCACAGTGCCGAGCTACCACAAGACTTGTGCATGGCCCTTTGGTCGTCTAATCAGTTTCTGTCGATCATGACCAATGGTGGCCGGTGGCTTACCAGAGATGAGCAAAGGAACAAAGAGCAATTCGGAGCCTTGTTTATGCGATCATACATTCGGTTGGCCCGGCAAAGCATTCAAGACCGAACCCGGCTCTACAAAATGAGGCCTAAGCTGCACATTCTTCATCATATGCTGATGTCCTCACCACCTTCCCGATTGAACAATCATGTTTATGCAACCTGGATGGACGAGGATTTCTTGCGCAAGGCCATGAAGGTCCACTCGAATACAGATCCCCGAGGAGCCTCCTTACGTGTACTGCAGAGGTATCTGATGGGCCTGCCCAAAACCTGGGAGAAGTTGCACGGTGCTTAAAAAGCTAAGATTGCAGTCCGAAGGGCCCAGCAGCTGTGCAGCAACATCCCAACCAGGTCGTCGTCGATCAATATTACATGATAATCTACATATATACACATGAAGGGATTTGAGTATATATGCTGTTAAGTGGTTGTATAGGGTCGAACCCCCCGAACCTTAGACTTAGACCCTTAACCTCCTAAGTTTTGTTCCCGCAGGTGCAAGCTTGGGGCTTCGGATTCTGAATGCATAGGCTGGTGACTCGGCGAGCCCTGTATCCTAAACCCCAAAATCCGACCCAACACCGATAGTTCTACATCGATCTTTATTCTTGTAGTTGAGCTCGAGAAATCAGTCCTATATGAAAAAGAAAGGACAACAAACCACTGAACACTCCAATAGTTCAGGGAGTTCGGATCTTATAGTCTTTGGTTTGGGATTCGTGCTAGACCTTGAAGTCTAGATCGGTAATCGACTATAAGTCTCTAAAGCCCACAACCTAAACCTTTAAACCTTAATCCCCGCAGTTGTTTTCATTTTTTGTTCAAGATTCGATTTGGCTCAAATCTTTTGCACATGATGCTTAAGTTGTGCTCTTGATGCACCTGATAACTCATGATTCTCGCCAACAGAGGGGGTGTGAAAACCATATGGCCGTGAAAAGGCGGTATGGGCGTTACAAGGTTTTGTAATGGCCGCCAGTGGTATGACCGCACAAACCGTGGCCGAACAGACCCCCAGGAAGTCTCCCGAAGCTCCTCGTTGTCGGCACGCCTTCTCGTGCACATACGACGTCGGTGCATGGCTTGAATGGCCCCAACACCCGCAAAGCTCAGTGTCGCCTCCAAGCTTGCTGAATGTGAGTTCTGTCAGTGCCTGCACACCGAGCTGTGATTAATCCAGGCCAAGGCTCTTGACACGATGTCCAGGAGGGCTGCGCTCGGTGTTGAAGGGTTCCTGTTGTGCTGGCTGTTGAAAAGACCTGTTTTCCATCAGCTTCCGATGCAGAGGGGCTGGCGCGGTGTTGATCGCACTGCACCCGCTGCCAGGGAGAGGTGCGCCTGCAACTGAAAATCGTTTCAGACGTGTGGTGCCAGTGCCTCCAGTGCCAGTTTTGACCGCCTCTCCCACAGAGGGAGCAGCCTGCCGCCATGTCGGACCTTCAGGATGCCAAAACTACTCTGCTAAGTGCTGTTCGGCAACGGTACCATGCCTGCCAGAAACCCCTGCATCTCAAGGGCACCACATCTACTTGCTTGAGCACTGAACTGCGCAAGAGGCTTCATATGCGGTGCAGCAAACTGACTCGGTGAGAGGGAGCCAAGGCCGTGACGATGTCAGCTTCCTGCTTCTGCTTGGGAAAAGACTACACAAATCCTCAGGGCATGTCGGCGCGATACTGCGCTGACTCTGACCGTCTGCACCGACACGACACCTCGCCTCCACGAGGCTGGCACGGCCAGAGACAACCTGAAACAATCCGTTGAACTCAGAACTCTCGGCGCGCTTGGTCGCTATGAGAAGTCTCGGACTGTCTGACTCGGGCCGTTGATTGCGGCGATGGTCAAACCCTGGCTGCGGGCAGATTGAATCTTCTCCTCGGAGCTCCGGCAAGGCCGGACAGACTTGACAGTACTCAGTATGACCATGAAAAAACCGCAACCCGCAAACGCGCAGTGAGAACCCGACCATGGCAATCCTGACCTTCGGGTCAAACCGATTTGGCTCCACCACAGCAGCGAAACTAAGAGACGCGGCCTCGTGACTTGGTGCAAAGACAGCGGCCATTGAGCCCTCGCCAGGGGTACACCTTGAAGCTACAACCCACGTTCCACTCCCCTTCTTGATACACTGCGCATTGTGTGCTTTGGGGGTCTCTGACTCAGGAAGCTTCATTTCATCCAGCAGCCGCCCACGTGCCATGACGACACGAATCCTGAGGCAACTTCGGGGCGGCTAGCAGCTAGCAGCTTGGGTACCGTGCCAGTCTAAGCTGCAGGCCCATCTTCCAAAGACAAAACCTGAGGGGTGGAGCGCAGATGCAGACGAGAATGCGCTACAGACGGTCAAAGTCACTTGGAATCACTTGGTAGCCGAGTGGAAAAGCACGAAAAAGTACATCCCCACCGTATGCGGATGCATGCAGGAACGGCACTACCAACAGCTGCCAGAATACAAAACAACCACGGACAACGTATCCAGGTCGACAAGTGTTCATGAGCGTCTGACACCGGCGGCCACTGCTGCCGCGTATTCACCCAAGCCTCGCCATTCACGAGCTTGTGGACTCACTTTTCAGCTTTAGTCTATTAGTCCCTCCACATTTGGAAGGGTTGACACTCGGTCTCTGACTATGTCCCAGAACTGCGTGCGGGCGCACGCCCCATGATCGCCAGGCTTCAACCTAACTTAGCTTCTGTTGAATCAGGAGATGAGCCGGCAGTACTGCCATCCCAGCCTGAGGCCCAGGCTAGCGCATACTCTATGCAAAACGTCGCCGTGAATGAGGTTCGACCTTCGTCCCCGAAGCCATCAGTTTTGCAACAGCGACCTTTCGGTGCTAAGGCGACTGCAAGTCTCTGCGGAGGTCGCGTCCTTCAATACACATCAAGGTTCGAGCAAGCACTACGAAGGTGCTGTGTTGGCCTACGGCTTCTCGCCCATTCAACTGAGGGGCGCGCTCCAAACAGGATGTCCAGAAGCCCTTCATTGAGATCTGAGCATATTGTCGCCTTGCTGCTGCAACCCCATAACCAGCATCGAGCGCGTGCAGAGCTGTCTTGCACTGCACTTGCTCGTATCTGTGCTCGCTCTGGGCTTTGCACACAACGATCCAGCGCCGCTCGGAAGGCTGTATTGGCAGCATAGAGCTCTCTGCCCAAGCCTGGCCTGCCCGAGGCGTCGCAATCCGCCGCTTGCACGTCTGTGGATGTGTGAGGTGCCGATATATGAAAACAGTTGCTCGTTTTGCCTACGACATCCTACGACTGAATCCGAGCCTAACGCATCCTAGGCGTGTATGGAATATCGCATGCGCAGGCAAGGGAACCAGTACCTCGAACGATGTAGCTCGCCGACCCTGATACATCCACTTGGCCGTGAATGCCGGGCGCCGCCAAGGGAAGTCCCCATCGCAAGAAACAACTGACTTGGGTTCTTTGCAAAGACGTCTTCAAATGCCTTCGGCATAAATGAGAATGCCCGCAGCTGGAAGTGTCGCCCCTCCGTGAAGGATAAGCAATGATTATGATACGCGTTAACATTCTCTCACGTCCCGGCGTGACATACCCTGGGTGATGATGGATGCAGAGAGGTTTGTTGATGTTGTTGACGCCGCTGTTCATGACCATTGCGGGGGTGGTGTAACTGGTGGCAATGATGACACGACGATGAAGAGCGTCTTCCAGGCACTGCAACACCGCGGACTCACTGCGGCAATTGGCAAGGCCCGGCAAGGCTTGACTTGGCTTGGCCGCCTCAATCTGCTCTGACCCGTGAAGAGCATTGCAACCTGCATCTGCGTGGCGCAGCTATGAGCTTGCAGCTTCCAGAAACCGACTCTTGGTAGGATGCCTTCGGTGCTGAGACGAGTACTCTGTGGCCTCGCCCAGACGATGCACCTGTCGAGATGCGATGATCCGAGGCTCCCAAAACGGCATTCTGCAAGGCCGGCCTTTCCTGCGACAGGCATCCTCGGGCTGGGCCAACAACACATGCGCATTGCTCCCACCAAATCCGAAGGAAGATAAGCCTGGCAATAGTCTCGCACTTTCGGCGGCTGTGAACATGTCCCAAGACGTCTTCACATGCCCTCATCGAGTTGGACTTGGCCTTGCCTGACGTATGGCACCACCCAGCCCTCACCCTAGCGTAAATCCAACACCAACATCTTAACCCACTTTAGGAACACATGCGCATCTCAGTCTCTAGGTGCCATACACCCCAGTAGGCAAGGAGTTCCTTACAGACTTTGGTTCAGGGTCTTCTTAATCTTATTTTAACCGTCTTCAATTGTCCTAGATAGTTCTCCGGATCTAATCATTTTGTTTCGTATCTGTTCGAGCACTTTTCCCGCTAACTGCTTGTCGTAGTGTTCGGGAACGGCTATAGAGCTCACATCCTTGACAAGTGAATGCACCATCCTCAACTGTCTTCCCACCGCTTTAGCTGTTATGTATTCACGACACCGATTGCAAATCAAGAAACACGACTACATTCTTGGAATTCGTGGTGGGCAACTTCTTCTGAGATACAATTGTGATATTTCTCTACACCGTTTTGCACAGAAGTTCCATCCTTAAGGCTGTGGGGTCATTGGTTCTGGATTTATCTAAGCCTTCAGCAAAGAAAAATACCAATTGAATATAACAGCGAGAATGTGCACCAACTCAGTATGAACGAGCGTCTGAAACAGCATATACCGATCGCTTTCTTACATAGTAATACGGATATCTGTTTCACTGCATGGCCCAAGACCAACTGACATGTCGTCTACTTTTACTGGCATTATTGCTAAGGTACGCATCTTGTCACATAGTGAGAGATGAGGAACATGTGCATATGGACAACCTTAAGCTTTCATGAAATGCGAAACGAATTCTGGTTTCCACACTTGTGTAGTGTGCTCATCAAAGGTTGTGTAGAATACTGCCGGGCTAGGTGCAGGTTTCACGGCCTAGTGTGTAGTCCAAACTGCGAATTGCCTTCGTAGCCTGTCATGGTACTGCTCATTCCCTGGAAGCTTTTCAAGTCTGCTACTTCCTTCTCTAAATTCTGACTTCTGTCGCTGGCTTCTTCTGGAGCTATCTTTCTCCGTTTCTGTTTCCATCCCGTGTCGTCTATTTCCACATCACCTGATTGAATAGCCGCTTCAAATTTTGCGTTTGTTCTGAACATGTTTTGACGATGTAGGGTAACACTGCGACCAAGGCGGAAGCTACAATCTTCAACGGTGTTAATCACTACGTCACTGCAACCCTATCTTTATTGGTTCTTGTCTTTGTCGCTTTGTGCAGCGTGTTACACATGCATCTACAAGGCAAACAATCTCATCCATCTTTGGTCAGTTGAAAGCCACCATCGTGTTTTACCATTATCTTCTTCTACGGGCGATGATATTCTAGCAGACTTCTTTTTCCTTCAGTTTTCAGTACTGTAGAGTACCCCTACAGATTTCCAATAGTCATTAGCGACACCACTCACGAAATCGATCCTTAATCATCACCTGTCCCATTTCTTCTAAGTCGTCAACGGCTTCAAACAACATATCATCCTTCATTATCACCATATAATCTGTAACAGAATGGAAGATAGCCCTGCAGTGAAACCGATAGAAATACCATAAATACAGGTTTGTACAGAAACAGTAAATGTGATATGATGCCAAGACTACCCAACCGAATGTTGTAAGTGGCATCTTCAACTGATGGCACAACAGAACTAATTCTAAAATTGATCTTACAAATCTACCGAGGATCAGCTGAACGGATATGCATCCTTTCAACTGCTGTTCATGCTGAAGACACTTGGGCGGCAGTCAAGAAATGCATAATCGACGCGATGAAGGCAGACGCAGAAAAACTACGATCCTATTGCACTGAAGAAGGTCATAGACACTTACGATCAAATAGACAATGTTCAGAAAGAAGAACAAACAAACAGATCTGCGTAGCAGTCTGTTAATCAGTGGTGGGCGAGTTCAACGACGATCCGAAATTCGTAAGATACTACAAGTTGCTAAGCTACATGGGTTGTTCACGAGAGGTCGTCATAGTGCATCCAATATAATTTATCAACTGGGACATCTTTTGTGTTGGCGCATGTTGGCGCGAATCATTTGACTCAACGCATCCGCATTATTCATGGTCAGTAACGAAGTCAATGCATGTTTGAAGCGCATTACCCTAGAACCCATGAAACATCCATAGTGCACAGAACAGCATGAAAAAACCTCTTGAAGTAAGTGGACGAATCTTCCAACATGTAATTTTCTATAAGTCTATCGAGTAGCATGGTAGCTAGCGAATCACAAACACAATTTTATAGAAGATCTAGATAAGAAGGCATCTTCGAACTTGTCAATCATGACAACAGATGAAGCATCAAGCCGTTTCCGAACAGAGATGCAGAATTCTTGAAGTGCAACAGACGATGATCTTTCTCATAGGGCATTGCAGGAGGCGGGAGCAGAGGAGGAACACGTTCATCGGCGAGACCAGAAATGTTATGCACACCTATCGCAGAGAATTTTCATGATGATGTTTTTGATGCAAAACATATTACACGAGAGAAGGAGTTCTACAAAGAGCAGAAGAAACACGCCAAGCGAATCAGCAAGCAATAACTCAAGCAAATCAGCAACATACAGATCAATGAAACCGGTAAGGAGAAGGTAGATCAAGAACAATCGGGAGCGGAGCAACAGTATATGGCGGGCGGGGTCAGCCCTCATAGGGTGACGCAGCCATCAGAAGAACTAAAAGACAGTCTCTTTCAGGGCTTCTGCGTACAGCGATTGCACCAAACATAAGGATGAAGAGAAAGACAACGATACAGAACCCGACGCAAGAACAGCGAACATTGGAAGTCCCATAAAGCTACTGCTTTCCATAATCCTCCAAACTTCCGTAAGAGACACCAACCAACGATTCCCGATGTTGATAATGTCGGATATCAAATCATAAGAACAAGCCAACATTAACAGTTTGAGTTCGTCTGGGTTCGGAGGCGATTGACGGAGCCCAGCGGATGCGAAGTTGGCACGCTGGCTTAGTTCGTGTGTACAGTGTGTGGCAGAGCCGGATCATTCACCAACTCCAGGGTTCGTCAATGATGCAAGTTTGAGCACAAACCACAAGACAACACTCACAGGCCTGATAAGAGCTTTTCGTTCGGCGATGCAGCGAGCTGTGTCGCCTTAGCAGCAGCAGAGGCAATCAATTCAATCCGAGGAAGCAAATGGAAGCCCCTTCGGGCTGACACGTGCGACCTGATCTGCGCCTACTCACGACACATGTACAGAATTGTCTACAGCCTGGGCAATGCTGGGAGGAGAGGAGTCACGGTCGCAAGCGCCTAGAGCCGCTTCAAGAGTCGCCAAGGAAACCTCCGACATCTTCCGAGCAAGGCGCTTGTGTGGGAATAGCCAGGCCAACCAATTCGATGTGCGGGTTGAGCTCGGCGAAATGCAAGTTAGCAGGAACTTTGCCGTTGTTCAGGCAGGCAATCACCTGCAAGTCAAATCGCAAAAATGGAATGGGAGGGCACGAAGCACGTCCATTACCTTGGCAGCACCGGCGAACCCAGCAGCAGCCTGGCGAAACGGTGTCTCGTCCCGTATATGATCCTGTGACTCCAAGTCACCTCGAGGTGCCCAAGATTGGTCTTCCCTGCAGCCAACCACAGCGGATCCTAGCACAGCGTTGAGCCTTTGAGTGTGGACTAGCTGCCGTGGGCTAGCTAGCGGCTAGCTGGACTCTAGCTCCCCTGCTGTAAGCGTTCGGAAATGCCCGGCCTCGGCTTTGGAGGTCCCCAGCACCGCCGCCAGGGCTCCTGCCTTCAACAAAGTGCGGAAACAGAGACTCCCACCGCACGTTCTTAGCCCATCCTCGATGGGATCACCGAGCGCCGTCCCAGTGCCATGGCATTCCACCATGCCCACGGCAACTGCAGGCACGCAGGCCATCCTTTGGCGGATAATGCGACAACATGTGCTCCAGAACCGGCGAACCTTGAGTTCACCACGACAGGGCATCCAAGATAACCTCAGCTTCTTCTCAATTCAGACGAATGAAAATCTGGGCCCACAGGCAGAGTTCAATGGAGGTGTGATCTAGTTCAAAGATGCTTAAAATTGAAGGCATGACATACCTGAACCTGCCGTCGGGAGGATCGCAAAGGGACCAGCACAACCCACAGAAAGGTTCATGCTGCGCAAAAATGACCCTATGGCCATGAAATAACATGGATGCGCTCGCGCACTCAGATTGCAGCGTCTTGCTGTGAATGTCGGTTGGGTGCCGTGAGCGTTGCACTTCGCCCATCCTGGCCCCAAGCATATGCTTGGGGCGAGAGTCAAGGGAACAAATAGACGGAGAGCATGACAGGAAGAGAGAGAGAGAGAGAGAGCTTGAAGTCCCAAAGCCAGAGAAGGACACGCACGGGCTCGAACCGGGTTGCTCACACATTGGCATGAGTGGCCTGGTTGATAGCAGCGGCGCAAAGGAGCACCTTGATCGATGTATAGACTCCGCCACACTTCATGCTGAGTCACTCGATAGCCAGGATCCAAGCCGTGCCAGTCCAGGATGCGTGCTCATCTATTGTAAGCACAGCAGCCTCCCGCGCCACAAGTTCCACTTCACATGGGTTGATCGGCAAGTGAACGACGACGTCCACTTCACTGCGCTGAGTCTGAGACTCCACAGCCTTCGCCCCTGGGACAGACTGACTTGTAGTGTGTTGTGACCACCAGGCGGTGTGACACCCAAGGCTCTCCCGAAATTTCTCTAGCTTCTCACACTCACACAATAAGAACTTAAACAAGAGCGTGTCGACGAGATGATACCACAGACTCAACAAGCGCACACACACACACACATGCATCTGCACACATATATACTGTACATAGACGTACACATAGCCAACATACAGGTTCATATACATACATGCATACATACATACATATCTCCATACAAAGGCACATTCACAGACATACAGACACACAGACATATATGCATACATCACCCAAAACACAATACAATATCATCCAGTACAGTACAATACAAGACAAGACAAGACAAAACAAAACAGCACACACATATTCTACACTACGCTGTAATACAATAAAGGCACCACACTGCGATGCAATACAGTCATATGTACATAGATATGAGACATACATTGATAATCCCGGGGGTATCTTATCTCTACTGTCACTTTTGAGGGACCTTGCTCTGGCTCCTGCTCGGGCTCTTGCTCCTGCGCTGGCTTTTGCTTCTGCTCCTGCTGCGTCTCTTGCAATCGCTCCTGTGCTTGGTCTTGCTCCTCTTCTTGCTGCTGCTCCGGCTCTCCCCCCTGCTCTTGCTCTTACTCTTGCTGTTACTGCTGCTCTTGCTGTTGCTGGTGCTCTTGCTCCTGCTCTTGCCGGTGCTCCTTCCCCACACGGATCAAAATGGCGAGGTCATGGCACAGGCTTGACACGAGCAATGCGAGCAGCTCGCTGAACGAGCCGCATCAGGATTTAGGGCTCAGGGTTTTGGGTTTAGGGCTTCAGGCTTTGGGGTTTTCTCGTTCGGGGTTGGACTGTGCAAAGATAAGATCAATCCTGTGAATTTGACAGAGTCAATGTCACTGACACGGACTTAAACGGAGTTATAACTTTGAATGTAATTTATTAGAATGGGGTCTTGGGGTTTGTATAGTACGCCACAGTACAACTATAATCAAGAAACTAATGTCAGAAATCCGCATGAAATGGCACACCAAAAGCCATGCAGTCGGGCACTCCTTTTTGCATGGTGGATTGGTGTGGCTGCCGACTCCCGGGAGAATCCCTTCGTTCAAAGATCCGAACATCATACACCAAAACTGGGGGGGTCCCGTCACTCAGGGCCCACGGCACCTGGTGTTCGGGGTCTCAATCTAGGCCCTCCCTGACCAATCCGCCTCGAAGTTCGTGCTGCAAGCATTTTTGCATGCTGTCTCGACTTGTTGTCTCTCGGTGCTTGCACACACACTGCTGGCTGTGCTTCGAACCCTAGCACCCCCACGCATCCGCAGATGTGTCGTTGATGTTACCCTGCTATGTCGAGTTCACTCTTGTTTGCGTGAAAGAGATGTTTATGCCCGGAACCACTTGCAATCAGGGGGCTGTTCCCCTCTTTCTGTTGCCACCGGCCTTTGGATTTGGGCCTAGGAGGCAGCACGCACAACAGCGAGGCAGCACGCGTGCCCGAGACAGCACGTTTGCAGATGATCTAGCGACAGCCAGGGCACACAGCCAGCCTTCTCAACCTGTGAAACCATTTGCACTCGGTGCTGGTCTCCATTCCTGCGCTGCGCAGGTGGCTGGCCTGCTGCATGCCACCTCGTCGTCTGAGCGTCGTCTCGGCGTGCGCGCGCTTGCACTGTGCGGAAGCGCGTCTTCCGAGGCAGCACGCAGTCGCCACAATCGAGGCAGCACGCATAAAATCAAGAGTGGCTTCGCGAAAGGATGGTTTAAGGGATTGCGCGGCCTTGCAAGGATAATTGCATTCCACCTCAGTAATTTGCTGTCGGATGTTTGCTAGCACACATCGGGCCCCAATCGGGTCAGGCGACACGCAGACAAATGAAACAGCACGCAATCACCGAGACAGCACGCTCGGGTCCGCAACGGATGTGAGGCAGCACGCAGAACAGGCGGGTATGCCTGAGGCAGCACGTTCACCTCAATCTCAACACGCAGGCCCCGCCTGTCCTTTTAAAATGATCAACTGCAGAGGAACGGAAATCCAGGCCTCGACTGGTTTTGAAGCTGGTTCGTGGACCCAAGCTCTCAAAGCAACAGCAATGTTTTCACAGGCTGAAAACATGTAGGCAGAGACAGAGAAACTGCATGGCAAGGAAAGACATGTTCATCACATCTGCAGATGCATGGGGGTGCTAGGGTTCGAAGCACAGCCAACACTGCGTGTGCAAGCACCGAGAGACAACAAGTCGAGACAGCATGCAAAAATGCTTGCAGCACGAACTTCGAGGCGGATTGGTCAGGGAGGGCCTAGACTCAAAATCAGGCACCGGGACTGTGCCGTCCAGAAAGAAGCCTGTACAGGAGGCAGCCACCACCTCACCGGGCGGCCTGCGCGGGCCCATGGGTGAGGTCGCTTGGGTCATCGAATATGCGACCCTCCAGAATCGAACGAATGAGAGCAAAATGTGTGAGCACGGGTTCAACCGGCAAACAGAGAGAGGGTGTGAAACCTTGAAAGTCCGGGTGAGCCGGTTTGTCTGCCCACGTGTTGAAGTCGCGCTTCACGTGCGAGGGGGCAAGCTGCATGCCGTGTTGATGCAGCTGAAGCAAGATCTCCATGAGGATGACCGAGGTGGGCATCTTCTTGGACTTGTCGTTGAGAAGCGAGTATATATTCCCTTGGTTGTCACTAACATTCACTAACCAGAGGGAGCCGCAGGTTCGGGATGAAGGCAGGCGCCTTGTCCATGAGGAAGTGAGCAAGGACCAAAGTGCCGAACATCTCCAAGGCAGCGATGCATTTCTTAGGGCACCATTTGTCGAAGGCCCAGGGATGCTTCTCCGCCGTGATCTGGTAATGGAACCAGAAGACTTCCGACTTGGAGGGGGGTCCACGTTGGAGAGCCATCCGCCAACATAGGCAATGCCATCATCGGAGGCACTAGCGTCACTAGCTCCCGATCAAATGGCAAGCGGGGCATACGGCGAAGCTTGCCGAAATCGCCGTTCAAAGAGAGAGAGAGAGAGAGAGAGAGAGAGAGAGAGATATAGAGAAGAAGAAGAGCGGCCCGTGCAGAAGGAGCTTGCTTGGGCGACCCGCTGTCAAACAGGCCTTCTTCCAGGCCCAAAACGGTTGGAGAAAAGGCTTGGTCACGGGGCAGGCAGTGGTAAAGCCCACTGAAACCTACCCAAGGCACCAGCAATCTGGGGGGCAGACGTGACCTTGCCACTCTTGAGCTCTTCGAGGATACCAATGACAAGCAGATGCTTGTCTCGGGCCAGGTCGATGACGAACCCTAGCCAGGTATTGACCTCAGCTAGTAGGGCCTACTAGTAGGGTCTTCTTCCAGCTCAGGGGCGTTCCCAGAGCTAGCAACAAGAGGCAGATGGACGTCGCCAACAGAGGGCCAGTCGACTTCAGGGAAGACTGCATAGACGATTCGCAGAAGAATGGCAGCGAGTCGGCCCCAGTACAATTGGGCACTCGCCATGCCATAAGTGCCCACGGTGTTTACCCACCATTCGTCACCGAGCTGGGCCACTTGGTGACGCCATTCCTGGGGAAGGATCTTGATGCGTCTGTGTGCCTTAGTGACATCAGCCTTAAGTAGGACCCACTCGTTAGTGGGGCCTGGGAATTCCCAGGGCCGGCCCAACCCTGCGCTGGGGTCCGCCAAGAAAGGGAACCGATTGGCCAGAAAACTTATCACGAGCAGCCGTCCCCGGTTGCACTGTAGCAACCCAAGGGAGCATGCGCACCAGTGAGGTGGCGATTTCCTTCAGCATTGATTCGGGGCGGCGGATGCCCGAGAAGTCCTGTATCGCTGTCTTGGGGTGTTCCGAGTGAACACACATCTTGCCATTCCAGTCCCAAAGGGGGAGGTTGGCCACTGCCCGTGTAGGGCGGCTGGTACCAAACCCGAAGTGACAAAGGTCAACATGGAACGAAAGCGAAAGATCCCTGGTCCAGTCTCTGAGCGCCGGAGTGGTCCAGACCGACGAGCAGCGTCTCCTGGAAGGGGAGGTGGCGCACCTCGCAGGGTCCTCAGCAAGTTCCAGGAAGCAAAGGCATTGCAGTTCTTCGTGGCCTTGAAAGCCAGCCAAGAAAGCAGAAGAAACCTCAATAGCAGAAGACTTCCCCATCAGTCTCCTCCAGAGCATCTACTGGGAGGGCTTCCACACCCACCCCGTGAAGGAAATCGCAGAAATCTTCCCCTGAACCGCTGCAATACAAAGTGCACCATACAGGGGGTCATCCAGGAGGCCCTTGCCGTTCGGTTTTCTTGTGGAGTCAAACGCAACTACTCTCGGTGAGAGTTCTGGGGCCTGCGCGTGCAAGAGAGATTCCAGAGAATAAGTATCATCTCTGCTTGCGAAGGGCAAGACAATGGCACCTCCAGGTACCTCAGCGGAAGGTGATTCTGGAGACCATTTGAGGCGTTCAACCAGGCGCCCGGGGACTTCACGGATCCATTCCGGTGCTATTGCCAGGGCGCCAGGATAAGGATCCTGCGAGTGCCCACTGTCGGCCGGCCCCTTCGCCGTCTGTGCTGCCACAGTAGGCTGAAGTTGGACACGAGTCCTTTTGGGGATCGTGACCTCGCCCGTTTTCTGGCTGTTTCAGGGCCGAGGGCGCCTGACAGCGGGAGAGGACCCAGTGTCCTCTCCAAGCAGCACTCTTGCCCTCTTTTTTTTTTTCCCTTGGCGAGGCCTTTCAGGAAGGACTTGCCCTTCTCACCCCTCGCAGTGCTTTTGGACCCTTCTCCCCACACCTGGGGACCCTTTCGTAAACTTCGCGGGTCCAGAACAGAGCATCCGAGCGGAGCTCAAGCATCGATTCCTTGAGAGACTTGCCTTCGAAGACAAGGTTGTGGATCGAGCTCCAGGCGTTTCTTTCTGCATAAAGCAGGGTCTTCTCAGAGGGATGGGGTGCCCGACCTGCGATGTCAGGACCCCAGAACCAATCATACCAGTCATCGATCCAGATGTCGTGTCGTGGTGGGGAGCTTCCGTTCTTCCTCCTCCCCTTCCTTGTCCCAGCCATCGACCGTGATCTTACGTCTGGTCTTGAACGGTTTCTCCTCCAGCTCAGGGAAGGCACTTACGACTTGGCGTTGATGAAACCCAGCTCCCCTTTGGAGCAGAAGCAGAACGCTCCCGTGTGCCTCCAGCTTAAGCTTGGGCAAGCCCATCTCTTTGGTCCATTCAGTGAGAAGCTGCTGTCTGTCACAGAGGACTTCCAGTCCCGAGCGCTCTGATGCCCCTTGACCCGGGGTAATGCGCGAGCGAGGTGCATAGATGTTCTTGGTTATGTCCTTTGCCGCCTTGACTGCCTGGAACAGACGCATGGCAGTGAAAGCACTGCTGTGCTCCGTGAAGCCGTTGGTTCCAGGGTCGAAACCTAGGGTCCTGGGGCCATTGGTTCTGGCCGCAGCTGCATCGTCCCAGCGGTCTGCAATGTCCTCGAGGGTGATGTAGCCATCCTTGGCAATGGCAGCTTGCACCGAGTAGGGGATCTGCTTCCTAGCGAAAAGAGTCGCCACTTCAGAGTGGAGACTCCCAACGTCCTGAGAGTACCCATCCGGGATCGCCTCCGGGGGCTTCGCCATGGGTAGAGTGGGCGGGCGAAATTTTCAAAGGACCCACGGTCCGAAATCTTGGGCCAAAATGGCATAAGCCATTTTGGCAGACGTCTCCTGACATAACCCCTGCAAACCGGCAAGCTCTCGCAAGTAGTTATTCTTCCGACCGTATGGCAAATTGAGTCATGTTCTAGAATCTCCAGCGCAAAGCTCAAAACCTGAGGCTCCAAAGACGCGTCTCGGCGTACGTTCGCTGCTTTTCCAGAGTTAGGATCATGCCATACTTGGCATCGTCATAGTTAAGGATACTTCCAGGCCATCGAGCTCTACCCAGAAGCCTACAGAAGCCATCATCGCAGCCCTTATAAGACAATTCAATATGTAAAGCCGACGCAAAGACCATGGTACAGAGGAGTTTGAAACCATTCTGCCTGACGTAGCCGTCTGCGGTTGAGTTGAAGGTCTTGCAACGGCCGGTTGACCTCAAGTCCATGCTTCGAACACTGCTCGTGTCATCAGACTCTGAGCGCATCGTAGGTTTGCTGGGCATTGATGGGCATAAGTCTAGATCGCATGGGACTGTCTTCGCGGCAGCAAAGTCGTTATTGCAGATCCGAGTTGGCCCTCCAAAAGGAACACGCTGCAACATGCCTGGAGAAACCCTCTCCGATTTTAGAACGATTTCGTGGTTTGGGAATGACTGCATACGTACCTTGACACGGCGCTCTCGCTGATTAGAGTGCCGGGCTTTCTATCTTCGCTGAGTGTCATTGATAAAGGGATGAGGGAAGACGTTACCAGAAGGCTGAAGGTTTCAGTAAGAGATGTTCTCGGTGTGCCCAAGCATGGAGTGAGCTTCCTGGCCAAGGGATCCATCGACTGGAGGTCACAAGCGACAGCGACAGGCTTCCCTTGCATCCATCCCCGAACAACCTTGTGGCCTCTTTAACACGGGAGAGGTGACCACACTCAGTCAGTCGCGAACCGTCTGTGCAGGCTCAGAGCATCGCGAAAGCATCCCCGCAGCATGCCGCAGTTGCATGGGTTTTGGGCCCAGCCTGCGGATCCACCATCTACTTCCAGGCTTTGCTTGGAATCGCGACCACTGGGTCCACGGCAGAAGCTCACACCCTGCTGCAACCTCGATAAATTGTGTCCGAATCTGCCAGGACATGCCATTTTCGAACACACGAATACCGACAAATGCTGGCCGCCACTCGGTTGCAACACACGGGCAGTCTACAGCTGTGGTCGCTGCAGCTATGTGAAAGAAATAGACACACAAAGGGTTGCTGTGATTCCTGCAGACTCCCGGATGCGCCGGCGAGATGCTCGACCTTTCTTGGCTGTTCATGCGATCAGCCAGATTGGAACAAGCTTCTGCCACTACGGAACTGAGATGGATCAGAAAAGATGGCGCTAAGAGTTAAACAGTCACCATTGCCGTCAGACACCCCAGCTTCTGCATATCCGCCAAAGAAAACTTGTGCATCATCGTCATCACCACCACCATCAGTGCCAGCATCATCATACTATTAGTGTCCGCCGAGATCGGCGGCCTGGGGCGTCTTGATCTGGATCAACGGGACCATGAAATGAAATGGCATAGACCTGCCCCCCCTCCCCCCCCCAGGCACCACCAACTTGTTTTCGCTTGCTTCATTTTTGAGGGGTCCGGCCCCTTCCTTCGCGACTCCCGGGAGTGTTTTTCTACAGATACGGTTTCACAACCCCCCTCACCGCCCCTCTTCCTCCACCTCCCTCACTGTTTTTTGCGCTCAGATTCCATCTCTCCCCCCTCCTGCTTGTCTCCTTCATCCTCTTTCTTCTCTCGAAAGTCTTTGTTTGCCTTGATCAGCTAATGTTTGTCTCCCCCCCTCCCCCTGCGCTGACAAACGGCTGCGGACACCTCTGACCCCGGGACCGTTCCCGAGGAGGCTCTCGCGCCACCAGTACAGTAGCGGTTAAAAACATTATCCTTACCTTACCTGTAGCATTGTTGAGTCGTTGCTCCCCGTCCTCTCTCTGCTGCTAGTCATTTCTTCCGCAGCAGCAGCAGCCCGGTATCATCGATGGCATCGTCATCTTATCCAGCACCCCCGTCGTCGACTCGTTCACAACATCATCACGACATCATGGTTAGCGACTAGGATCCAGATTGTCAGCACCACTATGACGAATCGACTGCCATCAACATCATCATTCTTGTCATCGCTGCCGTCATCAGCAGCCCAACGACTATCTTCATGTGCATCTTCACCATCATCATCAGCGGCGTCAGAACGATCGGTGGCATTCTCAACAACTCTCCAAGTTTAACATTGACATTGCCCTCACCATCCAGGCTGCTGCTGCTGCTGATGATGATGGTCTTTGCCAAGCCATGAAGGACGTGGTCGCCATCATCATCACCACACTACCGCCACCACAGCGAAAGCGGCTTCCGATGTTGAGGCTGAGTATCAGAATCACAGGTACACCTGCAGCACTTCTTCGTCATCAGCCAAAATCTCATCACCGTTATCATGATTGCCACCATCACCGACACAGGCACAACTGCAATCCATATTGTCCAAGTCAGATCTCAGCCATAGCCATCACCAAGGTCTTCTTGCTCAGCAGGCATGCCAAGTTGAGCAGAACAAGTTCGATCAAGATTGTTGCGAGAGTGACTGGTATGCTGGTATCTGATGGTGGTCATGATGTGGGTGACCATGATGATGGTCATCTCAGCAGTTTCACCCTCTTCACCATCATCCTCGTCAGCATGACCATGTATCAGCAACAGATACTCATCGGCATCGCTGTCACCAACATCTTCAGTGCAGGAGAAGCACGGTCAGGCACCATCACCGCCAACAGCTTCTGGGGATAGATTTGCATGAGGTGACTGACACCGCCTGAAGCAGCTGGACGCTGCAGCTGCGCCGATGCTGCTGAGAGAGCTGTCAGCGAAGATGAACCTGCAGAGGGCAGAGAGCTTCTTGAAGAAGCTTTCTGTCCGTTCAAACGGCATTCCTACTTGTTAGGCGAAAGTGCTTAGGGTTGGGCTAGCTACCGACCTCAACTGCCGCGCCGTTTCCCACGTGACTGGTTTTGCACAACATTCAAACGCCCAGCGGGGGGCGGGGCACACGCAGTGTCGATCGTCATACTGGGCCCGCGAAGACCCAGCGAGAACGATATACGATTTGCAGCCAGAGCTGCAGCGACCCCAGTACCTGCATCCATATCAATGTTGACACCTTAAAGAATCTCTGTCACTGTTGAGGCCCGACACGGCCTGCAAATACGCTGGTCGGGCCGTGCTCCTGGCTGAACGACCAGCTGTACCAGTCCTTGCAAGATCTTGCATCTGCAGTGTCTGCATATGTTCCACAAGTGACTGTATGATCCCTCTCCTGGTTGCTTACTGCGGCAAACACCCCGTACGGGGCTCCGAGCAACGTTCCCTGCTCAGGTTTATCGATGCACAAGAAGGTTTCGAAAGCTTTGCTACCTTGTCATGTCCAGACTGGGCCAGGGCTTCGTAGCTTGTGCGCAGCCTGACGAGATAAACGGCTCTCTCCTTTGCCCATCTTGCTGCCATCTGAGCTGCATGCAGCAGTCGTTGCTGCGGATCCATGGCCTCACTGCTGTTAGTGACTTTGGGGTATTCCTGCACCCCCTCGAAGCCCTTGCCACCCCCACGCTTCACTTATTGCACTTCAACCGCATACCGACTTTACGCCTTTTGTTCGGGAAATTCTCTGACGAGCTTCTCTGGGACCCGTGAGCCTCCGTTGTTGAACATATGGTCTAGTGGGTCTAGTGTGCGCAATGAACCCTTGCTCTGGATGTCGCTTTCGAAACCTAGGAATTTTCTGCTCTTGCCCAGAGGGCTGCTTTACGTTTCGAGGCGCCAAGCGGAAAGTGAGTCATGTGGCCATGTGGCAAGTGGACTCATTGGAACTTAATTCTGATTTGATTTGTCACTGTCTATCACCTTCATGATGATTGCAAGCCACCACATTTGACTAGACACAGGCACTGTATCGTGGTCTTTCGCCGCGCATTCAGCCGCAAGCGCCTTGGGACTGCATAGGTACAGCTACAGGGCCCAATGCAAAGTAGCAAACCGCAAAGTGGTCGAACATTTCACGCGTCAAGAAGACGAAGCATCTTCTTTCAAGAGAACCTCTGCATACTATAGTCCATCAAGAATGCCTGAAATTGGCAGAACATCAGGATGTAATAATAGACGAGGTTGCATGCAAGAATTGGAGTTAGGCCCGCCGGCCTGTGCTTCCGCTGACTGAAGGCCTCGAACAAAAAGAGACCGAGCTGAGCGGATTTAAGTTGAGAGCGCTTGGCCAGGCACCAAAGAAAGATGCATCGAAAAGGTCTGCCCCTTCGAGAAAACTACCGTGACGAGCACCTCCGATCACGGAAAGAATCGAACGTAGGCGAAGGCTTCGCAACCAAACAACCCGAGCTTCTCACCAGGGATCTCGGCATCAGCCCAATCCCACCTCCCAAAGACGGCTGCAAACTCTACAATGTAGAATCTGACTGTGGCTCCCTGCCTACGGATAGGAACTTCCTGAACATCATCCACCTCTTGCTGGGAAACAAAAACTAAGGTACCATGTCTAGCATTGACAGGCCATGCCTCTGTTTGCAGTCTTGGCCAAAGCTCCTCACTATGTCGGAGCAATGGCCCAAACCCCAGCAGCCCCGCATGCCCTTGCTTGGTTTGTACCTGCAAGTCGCTCGCCCCAGGCAGCTCACAACTGAAAGCCGAGATGAGGAGATCCGCGGACCCAACCTGTTCAAGTCACTGCGGACCTCTGCTTGCGAACTTCACAACAGCGCACCTCTCAAGAACAGCCAAAACAAAGGAAATGATGCGAAAAGGATGATGCAAGTGGGCAAACCCGAAGGTGGCTTCCTTGTCCCGCAAAACTCTTCGAGACCCTTTTGTCTTTTTCCAACTCTGGTCGCTCGGTCCTGGAGGTTTTCTCGTCTGTTGTGCTCAGGAGGCTCAAGAAGCAATAGAATGACCGCCGGATTCTCTTCCCACTTTTGCCACCCGGCTTGTAAGCAGATGTTTAACACGGTCGCGCTTTCTCGTCCTTCATTCCAGATTGATTGGAGGCTGCATGTAACTTTACCATGGCAGCAAGTTGCTCAAAGCACCTGACGAATGAGCTCGTCTGAAGCAGTGCCGTATCAAGCGGCGATACACAGCCAGTCAAGATGCACATGATGCCACAGAAAGCTTGAGAACACAGCAGGGGTGGCATGCACTTGTGGGGTTGGCTGGGTAAGGATTGAATTGAAGAACCGTTTCTGTGAGGCGGATGCCTCGCCTGCTGTACATGGACTGGCTTCGCAGGTTTGCCAGCGAGTTCTGGAAGGCCTGAAGGCCGCACACAGAAAACGGCCTTTTGAGAGGCCCGGAGGCCCGGCATGGCCCGGCATGGCCCCTCCGCCGAGTGAGGGGCCCTCCACAATCTCGGTCAAGGTAGGGAAGTCGAAGAGGAGCGTCGCCGGAAGTCGCTTTCCGGCAAGATCTGGGGCCAGGACCGCACTAGAAACCGATGAGCTCGAGCACGACTTTGCCTGCTTCCAGCTCCTTCTCCAAGGCGACACTGAAACGCACCGCCTGCGGGCCAGCAGCAAGCATGCATTTGAGACTGTTCGAGTCCGAGTGATGCACCGTCGCTGAGTCGGCACCGAGAGGAGCCGCCTCTGCAAATAGAGGCTTCGCACTACTTCGGTTCGCGGCCAGCTGGTGAGTAGCGTGCCAGTGGCAAGTCTCCGATTGGGATTGCCAGAGTGTCGGCTGCCACTGTCTGTACCAAGCGCAACAGCTCCGAACCTGGCAACATCCCATTCGACTCCGCAAGCCTCCTACAAAAACCGCGAAGGTATTCGGTGGATTTCGCTTGAAATGCACTTGCAAAGACAAAGACGTGCTGAAGCAGGTCGGCAGCACGCTGTTTCCTGCAGCTGGGTGCGCACAGTGCGAGCAGAGGCTTTCAACTCCTGCGAGGGCCCCTCCTTATGAGGAGCTCTTCTCCAGCGTTCTTTCGGTCAGAAGTCGCCTTGCCGAAAAGAGGATGAAGCTTTCGGCGGGCCAGACGATCGCCTGCCTTGACAAAGCTGTCGATTGCACTTCCAGCGGCCTCAAGAAGCGCTCAAGACAAGGCAGTGCAGTCGCAGTCGCTACTTGTAGATGCCTCCGTGAGAGCGGACAAGACCAACCTGGACATTTTCGCTTTCGGAGCGCTGTAAACAAGATAGGCTGGTCTGCATCAAGGACGCCAGGACACCAAGACAAGACCAGGATCACGAAGACCTGGCTCGTGCTAGCTTACTTTGGGAAGCTCTGAGCCTCTCCCTGTGGTTGAGGTGCCGAGTGAAGCAATTCCCATCGCTTGATGTACCCGCCACGTCCTGTTCCACTGGAGCGCTTGGGCTCGGAGACTCCCCCGAGACTCCCTCCCGAGGCTCAGGCAAAAGTCTTCCCAAAACCTGCAAAAAGGATGCCCTCAACACAAACAGCAAGGCTCTGTGCACCTGGCCTCGCGGAAAACCTGGACAGAACGGCAAGCAGATTGCGGCTCTCTTGGGGACTTGTAAACGTCACCAACTTGTCACCAACTCTTGTCCCTGCCTCCGCAAAATTAGTTGTGATGATTCGTTTTTCAACAGGGCCGGGGAAGGTGAGCTGCGAGCCTCATGGGTTCGGAAATCATCCTCGAAGACAGTTGGTGCTGTGATAATCAGGATGGAAGATGCGATGAAGTCTTAGACTGGTAGACACGACTGCGGCCAACGGACACGGTTGTCTGACAGTGTGATTGCACCTATCGGGTCGGGAGGTGACCCAAACTGCGGCCAAAGCTGCTCAGTAATTGAGCTGCGCAGTAATTGAGATGGCATGAACCAAGATTAGCATTTGTTCGATCACTGCATATCATTCTTGGCATGAATGTGTGCAACCGTGCAAGTCATGCCCGTCACGTCAACTCGTTTGCTGAACGTCGATGGTAGATTCCTGTGAGTGCAGGCTGCACATTCGCATGTCGCCTTCACAGGATGTAGCAGAGCTTTGTGATCACGCTGCGGGGGACTGCAACCGCTTCGCCGCTTCGCCCTTCCCCTTGTGGTCGGCTTAAGCTCGTGCTGCTCAGCTTCTTGCCTCCGAGCTCTGTTTCTTTTGTCCAGTACCTTTCAGTCCTCACTCGGATAATCACGTGCCGGAGGAGCAGGTACGGTACTTGGACCCGCTTCACACGATTTGCGTGCTTTGTGGTCCCTGGAGTTAAGAATCTACCATGGTCAGAGTCTCTGTCCAGAGTCTGCAGTCTGATCTGCATCGACAATCACTAATCATGGCCTTTAGCTCTCATATGACACAAAGTATGTAAATATCATACCCCTCGTTGCACAGGTGGGACGTCTTACTTGAGAAGGTCGTTTCCTCCGCAAGAAACGCAAAGGCCTCGCTGCGAGGCATTGCTGACAGGAGATGAAGAGCTTTCTGCAGCCATGCCTGTGGCAAGCGATGTCAGAAGGCAAGACACTTCTCAAAAGATGTGTCTCATCGCGCATCAGAGCATCCAGGCTCGGGCTTCGACGAGAAGCAATGCGAGCACAAACAGCTCGCTATATAGGAGAGCATACCAAGCAGACCTTTCAAAGTCACAGCAGGACATAAGTAGAACTGGCAGCGACAAGGCGAGGAAGACACCCGTTGCGCCAATCTGCTTGCAAACCAAGAGAGGCAATGCAACCAGCAAACCTGGGAAAGTGCTTGCAGCGGCAACTAGGGAGAATGCTGAGTCTATGCCTGCAACAACTCCATGCCCGTGAATTCTGAGGCAGAGTCAAAGCTAGACAAGCCAAGAGGAAACGACTTTTGCCTGGTGGGGACTCCAATACTCTGCGCATGCGTATGTGCCGGTGCTATGCGCTGCCGGACGGCTGCCTGTTGGCTGCATCGCCGGCTCGCGAAGCTGCAAGGAATCGAGGGGAGCCACATATGCATTTGTCACTTAGCACGACTGAGCTACCCTGTACTGGGAACATTGCAAGAAATCACCAGCATGCAATTCTCCCAGAAGTTGCCGATGGAACATCGTATGTCTTGTCACAGTGCAACTCTTGCAGCTTCTGGAAAGCCAACAGGCATACAAACGAAGGCATGTGGCTCTTCGCTGAAGGATACCGACATCTGTGCAAGGGTCATCGGGGTCATCGCCCGTGCTGCTTTTTGACTGCTCAGCGCTTGGTCATCCTCCGTGATTTCTTGGCACCTGTCCTTAGCCCGGATGTCATGGTGAATGCTCAAGCCATCCCAAGCCAAGATCTCAAGATCTGTTTCCAGCGGGGACAAAACTTAGTAGCTGGCACCCGACGCTTTGCCAAATATGCAACCTTGAGTGCAAAGTGAAACCGCTGTGTGAAATTCCGGAGTGCACTATCCGCTGGGACATCGACGACGACTCCGTTGTCTCGCTTTGCTGCTTGTATCTGGGCATGTTCTACAAACACTCCCTAAATATGATGCCGACAAAAGCTTAACAAACTGGCCTGCCATCCGATCTTCTTCAAGACAGCAGGCTCGAAACCCAGCACCAGCTGCTCTCGAAATCCAAACTGCGGAGAGACGTCTACGGCTGAATCCGTCAGAACCAGGCATCGACAAATATCTCATCTTTACAACATAATGCGAGAAGAGCAGTGACCTGTTCGTCATCCGTGTTTGCAATCACGAAGAAGCGCCCGGAGTTCTCCAAGCCAAAAGGGAGGTGTCAACGTGTACGTGATGCACACCAGATCTGCGATGTCCTTGAGCATAAGGAACATCCGCCTTAGCGCCGCCTGCCAAATGACTGCAAACAAAGACACACTGATCAGGAACCATCACCTGTGCAAAACACGCACTGAGCAATACATGCGTGAAGCGCCTACATGCACGACCAATCTGCGGCAGGACATGTACGACATGACTCTGCAGACTTCATAGATGCCCAACAAGGTCCCGTGCGTCTCAGACGTTTCAGAGGGTGGCCAAAGACAAAGGAGAGCGGATTTACGGACATGCCGTGCTCGGCTCGTCTTGATCTGGTCGAAGGAACTCGCTTGCAGTCAATGCATTCATGTTTCGGCGACTGTCGTCGCAGACTTGGTGCTGGAAAGCCAGTTCCAAGTGCTGCAGATTGCTGAAGATGCGGCATTTGCAAGCAGTGAGAGCCGAGGTAAAAGGTGCTCGGAGGCTTTGCTTGATGCAAGTTCACAGAATGTGCTCAGGCGATTTCCCAAACAAGTTGTGCTTTTGTGTGCGGTCTTCATACTCATCTGGCACAACACCAGGCCGTGTGTGCATGCGTCTCAACTTCATAGCATCATGGAAGTACCCTCTGCTCATCTAGCAAGTGATCCCGGGCTTACCTGTAGTCTAACAGGTCGTGCAAGTGTGCATCGAAGCTTCCATGCTGTGACAACCATGTACGGCTAAGCTTCAATGTTCTAACGGAGTCATGTCCACCGATCGCGCTATGTCTGTACTTGCAGGTGCAGAGTGATACGTCCATCACTCCATTCACTTCATATGTTTGCTTCCCACATGACAACGTGTTCTTCCAAGCTGAAGAATAGTCGTTTGCGTGTACGACAATGTCCCGCACAGATGCAGACAAAGACAGACAGAGTCGTGGCAGCCAAAACGACAGACGAAGACAGATACAGTAGCCCGGGAAGCAGTGAGAGTGAGACTGTGTGTGTGTGTGTGCGCGCCCCGTCCCAGTAGACGCAGTCATCGACACGAGTCTTTCCGAAGATCCACAGGCACACACTGGGAGCACACCTGGCAGAAATCATCAGAGAAATCATGATATGCAGAACTGCAGCGAATCTTGGCAAAGACAAAAGCAGCAAGACTTCCCACAGCAAATGCTCGTCCATGATTAAAACTCCCCGACATCTCAACGTCTCAAAGTACGTTTGTAAATTGAACGTCTACGCCCCACTGCAAGTGTTCAAAAAGGGACAAATATGCTTTGCACCTCCGGTGGCTCGATACTGCAGCTACGGGACACACGACATTCCAAAGCAGCGCTCAAAGGGTCTCGCTTCCGTGGAAACTGCTGCCACAGGAGCAGAACAGGTCTTATTTCGCGAGCTGCTGGCAGCCCTCCAGTCGCAGTTTACATGCCTTTACAAAGAACACCGTTCGGAAGCTGTGCCAACCTGATCCCACATTGGTGTCGAGCACTGTGCTGCAAAGCTTCCACTAGACAACATACACTGCTCCCAAGTCCGGAATGTAGGAACACTGTTGATACAGCTTGCGTATTCAGGCTGGTCATGCACAAACACTGAAGTTCTGTGATAAGCTTGTCCAGAACAGTGCCCTGCGGACCTCAGTACCTTTCGCTCCCAACTCTGTGAATGTGCCGTCCGACATGAAGCCAATGTCCTGTGAGTATTGATGCAGGATCTACTCTAATGAATGATGTCATTGACATGAGGCTGAGACAACCGAGCCAAGCTGTATCTCTGCAGGCACCCCAGCCTGCACTACAGCTGGTACAATAATTGAAAGCAGGCCCGACCCAGTGCCTTCTTCCAAGTAAGAGCTTGGAAATCCGCACCCATGTCGTTCGCAGTCTGCGTCGTCGGAGTCTGTGGAAATCAGCGCTGCCATGCGAAGCAGGTCAGACGGGGAGCGCACGGCTTTCATGAACATCAAAGTTCTCTCTTCCAGATCACCAACTTTCTCGCCAACCGCCACGATCTTGTCCATATACCACTTGCCTGTCAAGACGGCAGAAGTTTGCAGGCCTAGCTAGTCATACTACATGCTTGACTCTCGATCTAAGCTTGTTGCATTTCTCTGGCTTCAGATACGACCAATACCTGCGGCAGTTGGATGCATGTTACTGGACGCTCACTGAAAGGCTCCGAACGCCTGTCGCTGGAAGGTTCGACTGCCAGCGCAACGACTTCTGTCTTTGGCGGATACGAAGGCAGCCACAGACTCAAAGACTCCCCAACCTTCGACTGTGTGCAGACGATTCATTCTTAGGTCCAGTATCTTGCAGTGCGGTCTGAGGATGTAGCAAAGCTGTCTCGCTGCCAGTCGCTCGGGTCCTGGCCAGCAAGCTTTGCAAGGAGCGTTTCAGAACACACTCTCAAGAACTTACAGCAGGCCCGGCAACTGGGTGATAATACCGCTGGCCGTCCAGAAATCCACCAAAAAGTTGCCGTTGTTGAAGGTGGGCTCTCGCGCAGCTTCGCGAAGCCATCCCTCCTTTGTTGCGGTGGTTTCGAAGGTGGGTTAGGGGAAGCTTGCGATGCAACGTGAGACCATTGCAGACGCAGCACCACCACCAAAACACCAAGCCAATTTGTCTGAAGCGATCCAGGATGTCGAAACCTTGCGTTGGCGACACGTGGATTTGCTCTTCCCGAAACTGTCATAGCAGCCAGACAGCTAGCTGCTACTTGTAGCACTGAGAACCATGGCAGGAGTAAGAGGCCTGCCATGGCGGAACAGCAGGCGAAGCTCATGAGCCTCCACCTTCACAAAGTGAAGTGCTGTGCGGAGAAAACCATTCCTGTCCGACCTGTCTCGCCGACAGGTGCTGTAGCCTCGCTGACCGACGAGGCCTGAACCTGCGGGACTTTGCTACGTCACGGCTGCTCCGCTCAGGCACGAGGGCAGCGGCTTCCGCTTGAACGATCGCCTCTTTGACCTCCGTCCGAGTGCATCGAAGCATCCTGGATGCGAGATGATGCGAGTATTCCGCAACACGAGCGTAGGTCTCGACCGTCATGTCGGCCCAGGAGGGAAAGAGCAGGAATCCAGGGTTGCTTCAATGGAGCTTTCGCGTCGTGTTGAAAACTGAAGGGATTTTGCAAACCAACAGCATCTTCCGACGTTCCCGGCGACGTGGAAAGGTTGAGGTTCGAGATTTAACTGGCCGATCTTGTGGAACTTGACTGACCTTTATTTGCATAATTGAAGTCACCTGCCCTTCTGTCCCGTTTGGGGGCCTTCCGTCGAGTCCTAACCTGTCGAGCTAAAAGAAACTCTTCTGGCCTTGGCTTGCCCTGGCGCGTAGTCGCACCGAAGGTTCTAGGGTTCAGCAGGGCTGAGGCGGCTCCAGGCTTCCATAAAGTTTCGCCTTCTGGCTAACATCTGACGGTTCTGCCGGTTGCTGCTGAGACATTGGAGGAGCGTGATGCGACTTCTGAGAGTGATTCGAGGGTTGAACAGCTCTGGGTATTGCTAAGGATCGAAATCGGTGTCATCCAGAATCCAGACTTCATGTAGCTGATTCCCATGAATAACTCATGATTCCACTGTTGCCTTTTCCAGGGCCTGCCGTGGCGACATGTACCCACGGGGCGGGCGGGGGTGGCACCTCCTCCCCCGAACCTCCGCTCGGTTTCGGGCGTGTGAGTCCCTGCTAGAGTCCTGTCGGTCCTGTCTTCGATTCAGAAACGCCCGCAGCATCCTCGGCTGCACTCGATTCTCCGTGCGGGCGGCAGCACGGTGCTGAGCCATCTGAGAGCTCTGCCCAAAAGAGGTGCGCGGCATCACAAAACCCCCCGCATGATTGGATATGATTGGACAGCCGTCTGATCTTCATTTCGGTCGCTCAAGAAAGTATCATGTACCTTTGAGTCCGCTCCCGCATGGACCCGAAGCCAAACTCGCTTTGATTAAAAGCGACACATGAACCTGAGATCACTTGCACTCTGCTTGACTTGAGCCTACCAGTGTTCCCAGGCCGTTTAGGAGGTCGTCGCAGACTTCCATACAAAGTCCTTATGACTTCTGCTTTGAGCGGGTCATTTTGTTGTTTCGAGCTCAAGTTCTGCCAATGCCCTGGGCTTTGCCCAGAGGCCGAGCACCTCGGGAAGGGGGCCCCTGTAGGCCCACTCTGGGTGGCGGCGGCGCAGATCCCGCAGCAGACGCAGAGCGTAGCCCGGGGGACTGGATTGCCTGTGCTTCCAGCCTGGCATCTAGCTGTACAAGACCCTCTTTGTTAACCTGATGCACACGCAACATGGCCAAGGATGCAAAGATGCCCATCACAACAAACGTACACATGCAGGCAATGCTTGCTCCTAAGGAGGCTTGCATTGGCCAGGAGTGAGATGTGTAAAATGCCGCACAGGCTGCTTGCACTGCACTGGCAAACAAATGGATGCTGTTGATTCCAAACTTTCGTGGCACAACCAGCTGCATGTCATGATCGCTTGCTTGGCAGACTGCTAAGAGCGATGCTGCTGGAAGATAGTGCAGGGCTGAGGGGTTTTGCTGCGCATCCAATTCTGGTGGCAATGACGACTTGTGGCTCTTGACACCAGTGCGGTGCTGCCTTCCCTTATGTCGAAGGAGTGTCCAGTTGTGTCCTGGGCGATCTCGACCAAGCTCATGAGCGAGGCAGCGCATAGCCGACGGAAAGAATCCGAAAAAGAGAAATGCCAGGAAGTGGATAGCTGCTTGATATGTCAAAACGGCAGCCTGAAAGAGGCTAAGCTCGTCCCAATATGGCGCTTCCCGCTCATAGCGACTGTTCAGCAGGTCCAACAGGAAAACGACACCAACTGTAGCATCTGCTACTAAGACAAGCTCCCAAACCAGCCAGAAGGTATGCGGCAGCTCGAGCGATGCAAGCACAGCCGATCGCTTGCCACTGGTGCAACACTGAAGCGAAGGGAAAAGCGAAAGGCAGGCTGCTGCACCTGCAACGAATGGCAACCATGTCCAAGGAGGGTCACCATGCGGAGATGGAAGGATTGGAGCTGCCGTGCTCTCTAGAGCATACTCTGGCTCAGTGAGATCCAGCGGGGGTCGAGTCGGTGCTGGCGTCGCGGGAGGAACATACGGATCGAGAGTTCTGACGAGGAGCATAGCCAAGCGCTTGCTTCTGTGTTGGACATCTGCTTCAGCTTCACATGACCTCAGATCTTTCGGCACAAACAAAGGCAAAGCAAGCATGTGCGTCTGTGAACGATCTGAGCTGACTGCACAGAGACATATATATGTGGCTAAGCTTTGGACACCGTGTATGTTGTCGATGGAGCCAAATTCGTCATGGACAAAGTGCAGCCCCGACTGCTACAAATAGCAGATGTTCGGGGAGGTGTGCTGATGCCAACTGCGGTGACATTACCTGAATCAATCAGCAATCAAGCCCAATGCATGACGACAAACTTTCACCGCATCCATCTCTGCATCAGCTGTGTAAACCAGACCTGAAGCAAATCCTCAAGTCCTCGCAAGCACTGGGCTTGCTACAGCGAATTCTGGTGTTCTTGTCCACTGCTGCCAACATTTCAGCCTGCCATGAGCAGGTTGACTCAACATTTAAGTTTGCCTGTGGGAAAATGCATACTTGTTTATGGGTTTGGTGGCTGTGTGGTATATTATGCATATTCATCAGATATAATATGTATGTATATAAATATATCATATGGCAGCTATGAAAGCTGCGGCTGCCGCTGCTGGCCGCTGCCGGATACGTCCTGCACATCGAAACTGACACTGCTGTGCATGCGAAAATCAGGTGCACAATCACTCATGGTGCCATCACATCACACGGGCAACGACTTTGTTCCCCACCCTCGGTGTGGGGTTGTTAAATTTAAAGTCAGCTAGTACTCCTCGCCCGCTGAAATTACCTCCTGCCCAACCCCACAGACTACCGTGAGAATCCCTGCATTCCCAACCCCACACACTACCGTGAGATTCCCTGGAGTGCCCAATCCCAACTTTGGAATCTGCCGGGGCTTCGCAGCCTCGAGGCTTAACTCATAATGCATCGGACTCGTTTGTCACAGGCAGATTCCACACATACTCTTCTGTCATATTTTGTACAACATCTTGTGCTATACAAACACACTTGTTCCACACCTAAACCCCCATCACAACGCGTGTGAAACATCAGCCCTAATCTTGCTGCGTTGGCCGCAGTGTGGCGGCCCGCGGGAGGCCCGCGGGAGTGCTCGGGAACACCAGGGTTTTGGGTTTAGGCTCGGGTGCTTTAGGTCTCAGAATTTGCGCGTAGGAAGGACAAGGAGCTAGGGTGGGGATGTTCGAAGTAAAATATTTTTTGTCAGCCGCCGTGACGTAACTGCTTAGCAGCTGCCACCGCCGCCACAGCCAAAAGCCTCCGCACAGCCGGAAACCAGAAGCCGCTGCCGCAGCTGGAAGCCACAAGCCGCCGCCCACAAAAGCAGCCATAAGCCACCGCCACAGCCTTCGGGGTTCAGGAATGACAATAGCTCGACACAATCATGCCAACCTGTCTGGCCTCACTTCTGAAGAAGATCGAAGCACTTCGGCTTGGTGTGCAGCTCAGTGAGATCCTTGCGCGGACCTGATGGGTTCAAGCAGAAGAAGACGACAAGTTCAAGGGACAGGAAAGGCCACTACCCCTCACTCATGCAGCGAAGTGGCTGCCCTGAAACAAGTAGCCGCCGCTGCCGGGCTTCACCGGATGACAATCTTCTCGGATGGGCGCCTTCGGAGTTGGCCTCGAAACCCGAAAACAAATCTCGAAATCTCCCAAACCCACACAAGCCTAGGGGACCATCGGTCCCGCCCTAAACCCTCAAGTCCAATCCCCACCCCCGCCCCTCCAAACGAGCATGGCCAAGCGGCATCGCTGCAGTCGAAGTCGCCCGTCGCAGATGTATTTCTGTATTGGTATATACATATATATATATATGCAATATCGAGATATACGATATAGACATACTTATGTAATGTGTATGGAGTCCTGGAAAGGCAGATAAGCATGCGTCCAAAAAGTATTCAAGTGTGGTACTACAATGCAGAGCTGATCATCGTTTAGGAGAAGGGGCACGAGCACGGATGAGGCTAACCGGCCCCTCCCCCAGCAGGCAGAACTTATTTTCGTTGGCCCCATTAGCTTCGTTACAGTCAAGGAGCCCAGTTTCAACTTGCATTTGACACCCCCGGCCGTGACATCCTTGTCTTGGAGCATGGGGCTGGCACCATAGCAGATAAGTTTCGATGGACTCATGTGGACTCAGCCTGCCAAACATTACTCCACATCAACAGTTCATGTGGCTGCTGATTTGGTGTTCACTGTAAATGGAGATCAGGACCTTGTTAATCGGCTGCGAGGGCCCTAAACCCCTGACCGCGCCGGGAAACCGCCCACAGGATCAAGGTTACGGCACCACAACTACTGTGGTGCGGCAGCTGGCAAGGAACTACCAGTCTGCTGCACACTGTCTGACATGACCAAGATTGCCGAAACTTGCAGGCCGCACGGATGTCGTGGTCACGGACTGTGTCTGCAAAGGCAACATCGTCTCGTCCCCTCAAAAGTGATGCTTCCACTCAGGACAATACCAGACTCTGCCCTTCGTTGAGGTCAGCTGCCCGTTTCCACTGAGGTTGACACCGAATCGACCGCTCGTCTGCTCCCATATGCAATTCGCATGATAGGCGAAGTATGGGCCATTGCAGTCACAGCCTGCTGACAGAACAAATGTCAAACCATCTCCGCACATCTCTCAGCCTATGCAGTAGGCCTGGAATTCCAGCAGTGATGTTCGGCTTCTGCTCACCGTATTGGCCGTAGTCAGCTCCACAGCCGCACTTTCCACGCAACCTTGGCGAGGCAGTGCGAAACATCGCGGCGAATAGGTGAATAGTCGAACCCCTGGTGTCTGAGTCTGAAGCTGGAGGCCGAAGTAACGAAAGCCGAAGCAGGCATCGGCCTTCAGCTTAGCTCAACTTCAATTGCTGTGGTTGGTGCTGAGATTTGCGGTATACCCTCCGCCGAGGCTAGGACGCAGGACACCTGCAGACAAGCAGTTTGGTCACGTCAAGCCCCAACATCTCTCCAGTGCTGCAAGATGCAAGAGATTTCAAACACACTCACATGCTTCCATCCTTGATGCAAAGATTTCTCCGCAGGGTTGACTTGCGACTCAGTTCTTGACTCAGCATTATCGATCAAATTTGATGCGCCTACGCCGCTGACTTAGGTCTGCATTCAGCTTTGCTGAATCCAATATGACTGCAGCATCTTGCAGCAATGTGAGATGTGCACGCCTGCGAAGTACAGAGTGCGCCGTGTAGGAATTTAAGAAGTCTTGCATGTAGTGCCCAGTTTGGGCTTCTCCGTGTCCAGAGCTGCGCAGATAGAAGCTTCTGCGCAAAAAGAAAGGATTTCGAATTATCTCAAAAAGTGCCATCGCGAATGTTGGTTTTTTTATGGTGGCCACCGGCGCTCACGGCTTGGATCCGGTCGGCCTGAAGGGTGCAGTCAGATACGGCGGAGTTTTTTCTGCTTTGGGGCTTTGGCAACAAAGCTGAAGGCCTCCCAAAGCTGCAGGCACGGAGGGAACGGACGGGGTCGTTCGAAGGGTAGGCAGGGAGCCCATCCTTGCCATTCCCGAGTGAGGTGCAAGCGGAGGCAAAGAGACCGAGGGCGCCGAATCCTCTCAGACAAACATTGACAAACGACCAAGCGCAAGGCAGTGCGAAACGTAAGTCCGACAGACGGACAGAACAGCTACCAAAGCCATCCTGCATGATGACGGCGGTCACATTCTGGAAGAAGCTGCGATGTTCCGGCGATATGTCCTCATTCGATATCTATCAAGGCACCCATGGACAAAGGCAACTGCCTTGCTACATGAAGTCAAAGTGCCATCCAATCAGTATTAGTTTCTTTGCCAACGGTCGATGCCAGCGGATCACCTTTCAAATCCTGAGCGGCGGCCGTGGAAGCATCACTTGAGCCATAAGCCGAAAGCATGCCAAAACGGGGGCTCCTTGGATGGATTCCGCCCCTGGCCCTGGCCCTCTCGCGTGGCCGAGAAATCCGTTGGCAGCCGCAGGTCGGGCCTGGTGAAGGCATGGGTTCAGCATGAAAGCGAGAGCGCCCGCCGCATTCCCCGCCTGTGCCCTTTGGCCTCTTTGCCTCGGTCCTGACCTTTCAGCTCCTCGTGACCAGACGACACAATCGTGGGGTGTGAAAGCTTCTCTTTCCTGTTTCCTGCCTGGGCTTTGCATAGGAACCCTTGCAGCTCTTGCGCCTCAGCTCCGAGACAACATGTTGCTATGTCAAGACTCCCATGTTTGAGTCTTTCAGGCCCAGCCTGGGAGGAAAATGCCTTCTCCAATCGATACAGCCGTGCATCCACCGAGTTTTTGGCCGCCTTGTCTGCCTCTGACAGCTCTTTCAGGGCTTCGTGCCTGGCGCGCAGCTCAGCCGTGACCTTTTGCAGCTCATCCAACTGGACTTTACCATCTCGAAGCTGGATCGCAAGCTCCTGGCAAAAAAAAATTGAAGCTTTCGTAACGAAGTTTATGCAGGTTTGTCCTGGATACTCTTGAGCACCGCTTCCAGTTGTTGTCCAGTCTGTGCATCAGGGGAATGTCGTATGCTGCTCTCCACTCGGCCCAGACGCCCGTCGATAGCGGTGTGATGAGCCATGCGCGAGTTCAGCTCGCTGGCAACTTGTTGTTGCATCTCCTGGAAGCTCCGCTGGAACTTCTGAAGTTGAAAGGATTGCTCGGATGCCAGGGAGGCCATGGACTGCTCCAGGTGTGCAAAGCGCTGCTCGGCAGACCGGAAGTTCGCATCGCGCTCTTCGCGCAGTCCCTGAATAGTCGCCTGTAGCTCCTGCATCGAGTTGACGAAGCCGCCGCCATCTTTGTTCCGATCCTCCAACGTCTTCAAGCGCAAATTCCAAGCGCCCTGCTGCTGCGCAAGTTGCGCGGCCTGTTGTGCTGCTTGCGTTGCTTGTGCCTCAGCGCTGGCCAAGGACTGCCGTAGCTCCTCAATGGAGAGCTGCGCTGGGGACCTACTCGCTTGCAGCTGCTCGAGAAGATTTTGGAGGGCCACGATCTCTTGAGAATTTTTACGGCCAGCTTCTGCCATCAAACCTTCAGCATTGGTCATACGCTGAGCAAGGGCAGCATGGTGCGCAGCCTGAGCCCTAAACTGACTGGCCATCTCAGTATGTGACGTGTTCTGTAGTTCTAGCATCTGCTTTTGCTTGTCGTGAGCGTCTATGAACCCTGCAACTTTGCACTCCAGAGCATCCAAACGAGATGCCATGGAGTTCTGCTTGGACTCATGCGCGGCATGTTGCCCTTCCAAGGCTTTCTTGACCTCCTCCAGTCTCCCAGTCTTGTCACTCGAGAAAGACACATTCATGCGTGCCTGGAGTGCTTCGAACTTCGAGTTGAGAATCTGCACTTCGTGACCGGCCTCGGGAAACCTTTCCCACAGCTCCTTGACCATTGCCTCGGACCGCGATGCCACGTCGATGGACATTGCAGCCTTTGTCCTCAGTGCTGCCACCTCCTCCCCTAGAGCTTTCACGTTCTCCACAAATGCCGATGTGACCGCTGACTGCTCTCGGAGAAAGCGATGTTGAAGATCCTGACGAAAAGTTCAGACAGATCTGATGGCATCTTGAGCGGAAGACTCCCAGTATGGTTTTCTGTCCAATGCCGTGCAAGCTATGCGTGGCAGACCGCCGCAGACCCTGCTGGAGCCTGCAAGTCGAGAACTGAACGACGATTCTGGGTGCCTGCGGGACTCCAACGGCTGGAACAGGCCAACTGCTGTACTGCCAGCAATGCTGGTACTGGTAAGGTCAATTAAATTTGACTGACTCCGCCTCCGTCTGTGCGCCATGGTTCCCTTCCTGTTAGTGAACCAGCAGACATCAGGTGCAATCCTGCCATTGTTTTCGGAGGCGTGAAGCTTCGAATGACTGAACCACAATACAATCTGATCGGACGTACTTTCGTAAGTCTGGACAGGATTGCTTTCTTTGTCAGCCCATCGTGCTAAGTATCTCAAGGATTATCATGGACTGCATGCACGAGCCGAACTAGAACACTTTTTGCCATCGTGGCTGCAGCATCTTTCAAGTCAGCTGTCACACAGACAAGCGTTCGCTGCAAACATAGTGTAACAGGGGTAAGCAACACAGGGTCCCAACCTGAACTTGGCTGCCCCGGTCTTCTGGCAGATCCTTGCCGCGCTCAGCCAGGCCGCTTGCTAGACTTAGAGTGTGAGTGTGAGTGCAGGTCAGTGTGGGGTGGAAATAGAGCGAGACGAGAAAGAGCGAGCGAAAGGCCACAAGACCCGGGCTGGATCCGCGGGTCGATCAGTATAGCATCCCATCCTGAGGAGAGGTCTAACCAGCAAGAACTTGGACACATGAAGTGGTCCTGCAGACTACTAGTAAGTTGTCGGCAGGCTGGGAACTGGTCGCAGCACTCCCACACGACCTGCAAGCATTCAGATGACCAGAACGTGTGAAAACCGTGCTATCAATCAAATGTAATCCGGAGGCCTTTGCCGAAGATCTCCGAACCACCAACCACTTTGCATCGAACCTCGCATCAGGCCAGGACCTAGGACCCCCAACTTCTCTCTCGCGACTCTCTGCCTCGAACTCTTCACCGGCAAACTCAGAGACCTGAATGCCTTGGGCTTGGGAGCATCCGTAGAGCCGTAGTGTCGACTGGGAGAGCTCAGCCGCTCAGCTCTGGGGCCCTGTGCCCTCCACGTCTGTCGTGCCATTCACAGAATCTGCCGTGCCAAGGCCCTGGAGCAGGGCAGCGCCCCAGCAGCGTAGACGCTTTGCGATCGTAAAAGCAAAGATGTCTGCTTTTAACACGCATCTCTCGCAACTTTTGTCAGGGAGCAGAGTAGAGCGCGACGTCCAGATCAGCAGAGCCTCAAAACTCGCACGTCGACTTCACGCTCTTCATCGCCTTTGCTCCGAGCACACGGCTTGGCTCCCATGAGCCCAGCGGCGCCTCAGCAACCAACATTTACCGCCGAGCGGAAGAAGTGCCAACATGGTGACCGCATGTGCCTTAAAGGCCGCACATCGGACCGTTGCCATCCACTGAGACGTCAGCTCCACCCTGACACAGTGCTCAAGGATGCCATTACACCGCTCCAGCTTCGGTGACGTGACGTTCAATCGCACAGTAGCGCACGCCCATGTGTTGCACCGTTGCACTGATGCAAAGCACGTTTTGAGACGCAAGTCGGATAAGCATGTAACCGCATGTTGGAAGTCTCGAGGTGAAACTTGAATGTCAAGACTCCTGCCACTAGGTGACGGATGCTCTGTGTGGATGACCTGAGACTGGCAAGAAAGCATCCAGAAACTCCGGCCGGGGATGCTACCCGAGGTGTTCACTTGGCAGACACAGCAATGGGGAGGAGGAGGTGGTGAAGCGGGACTGCATGGCACGGATATGAGATGAGGTGAGAGAGAACAAGTGTGCGACGCCTTGCTACACAGTGTCGAGAGCCATACATACGTAGATTGGGGCAGACTAAATGCCTACGCGCAGATGTTTTGATCTGTACTAGTAGAAGCTTCATCAAACAGGTGGCATCGGCACACTGACCATAATGCACCAGCCTCACCAGCTTCTATGGTGATTGGGCTTCCGCCATGTTGCACGTTTGGGCTTGGATGGGCTTGAAACCTTGATCTGCATTTCTTATGTTGTCCCTGAGCAGCACCCCGCCTTTTAGCACTCTAACACCCTGAAAAAGCCAATCCCTTGACGCAAGTATTGAATTGTGCCTATCTCCAGATCTACGAGTCTACTCCGGCGCTGCACCTGGAATAAGGCATGCAATACGCTTTGCCATACAAAGACTGGGAGATACTGGCTCCCTCGGCCTCCAGCAAGCGTTCAGTCGAGCAACCCTTCGAAGTGCCGTAACAGAAGCAGCTCGACAAGCAGCCACCACGTCGGCATAGGTCACCTTGAAGAGTGCAGGCTGTGATGTCTGCAACGTGAGCACTGGGTCCCGAAGCCTTGCAGAGAGATTCCAGCAGATCCTCATCAGGCTGCAATATTGTGGCTTGATTCCCCAGATGCCGTTGCATCAGGGCAAGAACGTCCTCGCATCAACTGCACATTCTGTGGAGATGTGCGACAGCGGCATGCTTGCAAGTACTGTCCTTCTCTGTGAGCTTGAATGTGAGTTGAAGACAAGTTGAGAAGCGGTAAGGCGCAAGAAGCCAGCTCGGCAGCTGATGTGGGACCTTCGTCGAAGTTCCCACGACGAGAATCAAAGCCTCGGAGGCCCTTGGGCTAGAAGAGATTCCAGCTCGGAGTTCTCGGTGCTCTTGTCGCCTGGCCTTGATTGTGTCGAGCTCCTTTCGGAGAACGTAAGAGATGCAAGTCTCGGGCGCCGATTCCACTTCTCCTTCTCCAGCTGCTAGGTTTTCGAGGTCCTCCAGCACAATGACACTAGGTGCGCAGCCTCTGGCTGATCTGAAGAGGGATGCAAGGAGCTTCTCAGCATCACCAACACGTGATGCCAACAGATCAGCTGGAGAGGCATTGAAAAGGTGGGTCGACAGTTCGGCTGCCAGCTGTGCAGCAAGAAACGTCTTGCCACTACCAGGGCGCCCACTCAGCAGAATTCCAATCGGTGGTTCGGTGTTGCATGTTTCCTCATTCTGCATACACTTGAATGGCTGAACTACCATGGATCGCAGAAGAAGGACTGCTGCATCCTGACCGATAACCGCATCCAAGCCTGGGGAAGAAGTCTTCAAGAGGTTCAGCAATTGTGGTTTCCTGGCACAAGTTCCGCGAATGGCAGCAGGATCCACGAGAGCTCGAGCTGACTGGAAGTGAGTTTTCCTCAACTTTGCCCTGGTGCCTTCACCTTCAGCAGCGGCCGCCAAAGTGGCTGCACGACAGAGTCCCACCAAGTCTGATGGCAGGAAGCCAGCAGTGATCTCCACCAGCCAGGGCATCCATTCCGCCATGTTCTCCTCCAGTTCCACATTCTGTAAACAGACCTGGAGGACGGCCTCGCGCTGTTTCCAGCCTAGCGGCACTGGCAAAACCACGGACCCAATCGGACCAAAATCCACGCTCGCGGCACTCTCCAATGGCCACGGCACCAGCAAGAGGATGGGAAGCCGCTCGCGGTACCACATCTGCATTTCTTGACGCAGCAACTCGAGAAAAACCTCCCTCAGACACAGCTGAGCCTCCTCTGCGCTCTCGTCGCTGTTTTTCTCCACAAGAGCTTCCGCACCTTCCAGCAGCAAGACCTCCAGTGTTGGTTGTATCAGCATGCCTTCGCCGCGCCGGCTCAAGTAGCAATCTATCTATTCAAAAGATGTTCCATCTGTCCCACCACCAAAACACAGCAGATGACATAACTCCTCGTACCGTTAGTTTTTGCAGCAAAGTCTTAACCCTGTTGCGGCGAGCCTTGTGCACGTTGTCGAGCTCGTGCCGTAGACATAGACAAGTTCGTTCGAAAGAGTTCCAGGCCTTCTCTGTTAGCTTGTCCGTGCAACATGCAGGGGCAAGCCCATGCGAGGCCTGCCGAAGGGAGCAACTGGATCCGCTAACGTCTCAAGATGTCTCAAGGCACGGTAGATCTTGATGGAAGTGGTCGGAGCGTTGTAGCTGTCTGCGATCACCGAAAATTATGCTAACACGACCTCCTCATCCTGCCTGGAGGGTCTAGAGTCTAGACTGCGGCCGAGAGACTGCTCCTATTGCTGTCGCAACCGAGTTGTTGCGTGTTGTGATAATGTCCCGTGCTCTGCTACCTACCTCATTACCTACATACGTGCATACTATACTATACTTGACTCACGCTCAGAGCTGATCACTTTTGCTGCCAGATGCACTCCTGTTGGGTGCTGCCAGTTACGCGCTGATGGCGAGAGCATCGGAAAGGGCAAAACAAGGAGCTTTCGCGAATGCTCCTTCGGAGCACCTTGATGCTCTCGCTTCGAGCCCCTGTGTCCCCCGGGGTGGAGGAGGGGCAAGGGAGGACCACCAAAATCTTGAGAGAAAACGATAAGACGGCAGATACCTTCACAGCACAAGCTGTCAACACACTATTTAGTAGCACACATGACTCACGCTCAGAGCTGCTCACTTTCGCTGCCAGATGCACTCTTGTTGGGTGCTGCCAGTTATGAGCTGATGCCGAGAGCATCGGAAAGGGTAAAACAAGGAGCTTTCGCGAATGCTCCTTCGGAGCACCTTGATGCTCTCGCTTCGAGCCCCTGTGTCCCCTTAACCACACACTGTGCCCTGGCCAATTCCGCCTATTGTACGCGAATACACCGAGAGTAAGGCGGATGCTGTTTCTTCACATTCAAGAAGCTGTAGCCGTCGCCTTAAAGCATGTTGTGGGGTGAGCACTGCATAAGGGACGAACGCCGCCAATGACAGAACTCATTGGCCAATCCTTATACCTGGAACCTCCTGCGGCAGAAATTTTCGCCGCAATGCATTGTGGCGTTTATTTTTGCCTCATTTGCTTTTTTCTGCCGCAAGCAATTGGGAAACGCCGAAAGATTTTTCGAGGAGAAGCCCAAAAAGAAGAAACGCCGCAGCAAAAGAAGAAAAGCCGCAACTTATGCGTCTTCGTGCGCTTTTACCCAAACTTGTGGATGAGATTGTAGCGACTACCACACTGCGTCGTCATCATCATCATCAGCATCATCATCTTTGTTATCTTTGTCTTCATCAGTCTGCATTCCCATCATCTTCAACATCTCACATTTGACAACATGAAAACCACGGTGGTATCACGATCACCACTGCTACGTGCATCTTCGTTTTTGTCTTCATCAGATTCACCAGCATCAACACCAATGAACAGTATCTTCCAAAAAACGTATCATCATCCTCACCCACATCGAGGGATCCAGAAGCTGTCGTGTCCAGCGGGCTTTTTGTTGTAGGCGGGGAGTAGCACAGCAGAACGCTCGAAAGTTTAGCCACAAACCTCCAAAGTTTCAGGTACTAATTGCAAAAACATACGAGGTCCGTTGCTGCTAGCAGCCCCAAACACAAGCCTAAAGGAAGACAAAAAGAACAAGCGGCCAGTAGCCGCTCCTTTCCGGCGAATGGGTCAGCATATACCGCATCAGGCTCTACTGACTCTACTGTTCATTGCCCCTTTGCACCGAACCAGAACCACAAGGTTTAGATCCACAGGGCTTTTTCGACAGAGTTGGCTTTTAAAGACGTTTACAGACTTTTAAAAACTTTCAAATGCAAGAAAAAACATTCTAAAAACTTTTAGAAGACTTTAAAAGACTTTTAGAAACTTTTAGAAGACTTTTGCAAACTTTAAAAGACTTTTCAAAACTTTAAAAGGCTTTTAAAATATTTAAAAGACTTTTAAAAACATTAAAATACATTTAAAAGCTTTAAAAATACTTTAAAAGACTTTTAAACGCTTTTAAAAGCTTTTACAAACTTTAAAAAGAATTTGAAATACTTTTAAAGACTTTAAACAACTTTTAAAATTTTTTAAAAACTTTAAAACAAAAAAAACTAATGTTTTTTCCGAGAAGACGAGGATGAAGAAGACCTGGCACAGGGTTTACAGTTTCAGGGTCTTTAGGGTTTGGGGTTAGAAGGCAGAGTGCCATAGTATTAGGGGTTTGAGGGTAATGAAAGGGTTAGGGTTAGAGTTTCAGGGTCTTTATTATATTTAGGGTTTGGGGTTAGAAGGCAGAGTGCCATAGTATTAGGGGTTTGAGGGTAATGAAAGGGTTAGGGTTAGAGTTTCAGGGTCTTTATTATATTTAGGGTTTGGGGTTAGAAGGCAGAGTGCCATAGTGTTAGGGTTTGAGGGTAATGAAAGGGTTAGGGTTAGAGTTTCAGGGTCTTTAGTATTTAGGGTTTGGGGTTAGAAGGCAGAGTGCCATAGTATTAGGGGTTTGAGGGTAATGAAAGGGTTAGGGTTAGAGTTTCAGGGTCTTTAGTATATTTAGGGTTTGGGGTTAGAAGGCAGAGTGCCATAGTATTAGGGGTTTGAGGGTAATGAAAGGGTTAGGGTTAGAGTTTCAGGGTCTTTAGTATTTAGGGTTTGGGGTTAGCAGGCAGAGTGCCATAGTGTTAGGGTTTGAGGGTAATGAAAGGGTTAGGGTTAGAGTTTCAGGGTCTTTAGTATATTTAGGGTTTGGGGTTAGAAGGCAGAGTGCCATAGTATTAGGGGTTTGAGGGTAATGAAAGGGTTAGGGTTAGAGTTTCAGGGTCTTTAGTATATTTAGGGTTTGGGGTTAGAAGGCAGAGTGCCATAGTATTAGGGGTTTGAGGGTAATGAAAGGGTTAGGGTTAGAGTTTCAGGGTCTTTAGTATATTTAGGGTTTGGGGTTAGGAGGCAGAGTGCCATAGTGTTAGGGTTTGAGGGTAATGAAAGGGTTAGGGTTAGAGTTTCAGGGTCTTTAGTATTTAGGGTTTGGGGCTAGAAGGCAGAGTGCCATAGTTTTAGGGTTTGATAGTATTAGGGATGCACAAATCGCGTGAAGTGGCTACGAACTGCTGGATGTTGCGCTTTTCTGCGTTGACCACACTGTCAAGCGAATCACGTGCAGGCGAAGCAGGGTACAGCTGGGTGACGCGACAACGTCTGGCACTCTGCCTTCCCAGCTGCTGGCACTCTGCCTTCCCGCCTCAAGATCCATTAATTATTGCCACCCCAACTTTGCACTCAGCTGGTCGGTCAAAGGTATTGCTCCAGCATCAAGGTCAGGAAGTTCCCCCGGACCACCGAGACGGATGGCAACAAGTGAGAGGTGTTTCATCTGAAGGACAAACTGCCGTTGTTGTTCATCTTCGTCGTTCCAAACATAAACAAAATCACAAACGAGAGAAACGCGCGGCAACTCCAGCGGTTCTTCTCCTTCACCCACCTGATAACACTTCGGGAAGGGGCCTTGGTACCGTCGAAGAAGCCTGAGGCCTCCTGTAATGCGGGAGCCAATACGTGGCCAGTAACGCAGGTAGCGAACCATGATTTCCCAAGGCACGTCGTCATAAACTTCATTCCATGTCTCAGCTGGTTTCCACTGGTGAGGCGCTTTGGCCAGTTTTTCGCAAGCGGTTTTGATCAAGATTGGGGAGAGCTCGCCTCTGAAGAAACACTCTCCTCGTTCGATCGGGGCGAAATGCATTGCTCTGGACGGCTACTGTTCAGTCACAAGCACGCACGGCTTCAAACCACATGTGCTAGTTTGTGCGGCTTCCGGGTTGTGGCACTCGAAATGATTGTCCATGTGCTTGCACGTGACAAATTCCACATGTGTGAAAATGCGAACATGCTTTCGCAATCCGTCTTCCCCAAGCAGAAACACACAGTCTCTCGGACGCATTCCAATCTAGCAGGACCCGCTGCCATCAATGCAAGCACACAGACAGACACACAACTTTTCTTTGCAGCGCAGGATGAATCCTCTAGTTGTTGCCAGGCCTCCTGGTCGGGCCACAACAGGGCCTATGGTCAATGACGTGTTGTCTGGCCTGCGCTTCTGTCATCTTGGAAGCCACACGTCCCCAGTGATAGGGTACGAGGTGGCTCCACTCGCCTTCAATGCCAGACACACATGGGTTCATGTAATGTGACACAACACACAGCAGATCAGGCAACCACATCGAAGCTATAACAAATGTTCCGAATCTTTCCAAGAGACCGCCGTCTGTCACACGAACTCGGAGAAACCATTTTGCTTTGTCAGTGCCACCAGGATTCGGGTCGTACTTCATCTCACCAGCGATCTTGGGACACTCCGGGCATTGAACAGGTGTCCATACCCCTTGGTAGTCAACACGGTTCGGCCGCCGCTGATGTTGGGGGCCACGGACTGCAACCTCCCGTGGCTCGAGTGCTGGGATAGGCACTGCAGGCACCTCCGGCATCTCAGCAGGAGGGGCTGGCACTCTGCCTTCCTCGGGCTCCACGTGATCATCAGGCTCTGGGACAGGGATTGCAGCAGGCACCTCCGGCATCTCAGCAGGAGGGGCTGGCACTCTGCCTTCCGCGGCCTCCACGTGATTATCAGGCTCCGGCTCCACCGGCACCTCAGCAGGAGGTGCTGGCACTCTGCCTTCTGCTCCCTCTTGACCACTTTCATCAGGAGGCGCGGGTTGCTTCCTGGGCAACATACGTGGGCGACAAATCTTTCTCTTGGCTTTCCGTTTGGCCTGTGGCTTGGCCTTTGCTTTGGTCTTTGCTTTGGCCTTGCCCTTTGCCTTGGCCTTTGCTTGCTGCGTCTTGATGGCCTGCCAGGTTTGATGCACCCTTTTGATTCTGCGTTTTCTGACTGCGTCTGAGACCATTTTAAATTCCTGTTTGTCCTCAGCAAGCAGGTCGTCAAGAACCAGCTCATCAACAAAGTCCCCCATGATAATGTCATCCTCATCCTCATCCTCTGTTGAATCTTTGGCTGTCGAATACATAGCCTCAATTTTGCGCATGAAATCCTCATCTTCCGGAAGGTGATGAGAAGCGATCAGGCTCATGAGCTTTGGACGGCGCATTCGTTGCAGCTCCTTTCGCTTTTTTTCGTCTA